AGTTGTGTTGTACGGCAGTGAAGCATCAGTGCTGAACACTGATTTCATGCTGTCGATGATGATGATGATGATAATGATGTTGTTGTATGATGATGATGAATTATCTGGTAAAACACCGTTCAATATCACCCGTAAAGTAAACTTGCTGCCCTGCCGGGCTTGTGATCTTTACAGCTACAATCGAATCCCCATTTCCGCAGTGAAAGTTCCACCACCTCAGCGCATCATCTTCCATCTCGATTACCGTTTTGCATGTGGATGCTCGAACAACTACCTCGACAGAACTGGGGAGGAACTTTGGATTAGGCAGGTTGAACAACTTCAGATCATGCTACAGCGGTGTGTGGATCAATTTGCCTCACTATGCTGAAATACAAATTCTTGTCCAGAGACAAATATGTGGTCGACACTGGCCTCCTCAATATTTCGTTATTTATTGAAACTGGGCACTGTGTCTATCCGACAGCCTCGTTCCATATCGTGTACTAGACCACGGGTTGAAAGATGGCACAGTTGGCTGAATCTATTTCTACTGAAAGATCGAAACCAGAATTGTGGTAACAGAAGTATTCGAACAGATGATTGATACTCCCTTGGTGATTAACTTTTTTCGACGTCCCAAATATGAAGACTTAAATGTTCACAAGAGCAGTCCACCCATCAGTTTTCCTAAGAATTTGAAAGGTAAGGACTGCAACACCCCTGGAGTACACCATGGATGTTTATGGTAGCATACAAATGAGGATTATTCAGCTCAGTGGTTAGATAATATCGGACGCCAGCAAAAATATCAGTTCTCTTCAAAAGGGCTGAAGCTAACATTTTAATCTGTCGCAACAAGCTAAATAGTCTCTTCAGTGACGGACCAACTTCTTCATGGTAACCCAAGGAGGTTCTGCAATTTTGAATTGAGATTCTGTCCTGTAAATGAAGCCAATCTGAGCGGAAAAGTCGAGCATCACTGTGCAGCTGTTTTATTCCGATTATGAATGACTGGTAGTGCGCATCTCACAAAAATGAAGAGTCTCGAATTCGCCAATGCCCTGCCACTGGTTTCACCACAACCCTTTGGCCGTAATCAGCTGACCCTAACTGTAAATTACTCGCAATTATCTGATGGAACTTTTTGGCAGGATTACTTGAAAGTTCTAAACACTTTTTCGCATTTTTCATCAAAACAAAGCCCTCAAAATACTTGTTTGAGTGAGTGGTAAAGTCGTATCAATATCGCTGTAGTCCCAAGTGTGCATACTGTCGAATCATCACATTTGAGCACTATCTGTGTACCGGTGGTTTCACTGTTATTGAACAGTCCGAAAAAACACTACTCAAAGAAAATGCTATCGACTATACTAACTAGAACTCACCAAATCTTTCAGTTGAGTATCTACAATGGGAAAATGGTTATTTTCGCCTCTTTTTGGTGTGCCGACTGTACTCTAGTGCTGAACCCTGCTGTACTCTAATTATCAACTGTAACACCCCTATTTGGGAATCATCAGCAGTGAGCATCTCATTTAACTCAGGGTCTCCGGTCACTCATTAAACACTTAAACATTCCGGCATACCATCTGAACAGTGGTCGTAATTCTCACTCAGACACACTCAGACACGTTTTTGCCGTTCATAGGAAAATGAAAATTACCGGTTTGTAATGATTCGATGTGAGAATCGTTCATGAGTTTTTCTGTCTGTTGTACCCAAATGACACTCAATTACTCCAAAAGTAAGGTATACACTGTCACCGTTTCTTTACTCCCGTTGTGCCAGTAGCAAACCACACTACCTGGTTTATTCAGATCTCACATGTTCGCATCATTGGACGTGTCTCCATAGGACAACATTTTCCGCCCACTCGTGATGTATGCATTCTAATAGATCTAGAGAGGGCTTATTGTTTAAGGCATGAACTGGAAGGTTCGGGATTCGAACCCATCTTCTGCATCTCGACTGCTTCTGTTTGGGCGTATCTCAGCAGTATCTCAGCAATTATGCTTCCGTCGGGTGGCATAGCACCTAGACATCAAAGAGGGACTACAACTCGGTAATTTTTGGGGTAAAAAGAAGGCCTTCGCTGCGAAGTTATGTACAAAAAGGGTGATAAAAGGTGCTGAGAAGTGCAAGTTGATTTGAGTAGTGGAAATGCTGATCCGGTAGGCCTAGAACACATGACCAAAAGAAAAGACTACTCAAATGCTGCCCGCTTGTTGGTCACAATGTGTTGCTATATTCACATGATTCGCTACCAACAGGTAAGGGAATTTTTTCCACGTTCGAAGAGACCGCCTTTGAAGGTGTGGTTGGAACATAGCAATGGATTGGAATCCAGTGCAAGTGTAAGGGAATTTTTTCCACGTTCGAAGAGACCGCCTTTGAAGGTGTGGTTGGAACATAGCAATGGATTGGAATCGCTGCAGTGCAAGTATTCGGATCACCTATTGTTCGGTAATTTTGGTCCCCAAACATTTTTGTACATTTGATGTTTCCAAAAAGTCAGCAAGATAGATGGTCTGCGGGATTTTTCAAAAAGCAAATTTGGTTTCCATGAGGAAAACTACTCACAAAGTTGCTGAAAACTCTTCGACAGCCCACGACCCGTTTCGCCCTTCCTGGGGCTCACGAGGTAGGCGCAGTCCCCGAGTTTCCGTCAACCTTATGATCTACTTGAAACCAAATTGCACGGTTTTCGAGAAGTACACTCATTTGCAAGTAGAACATAAGGTTAATGGAAACTCGGGGACTGCGCCTACTTGATGAGCCCTAAGAAGGGCGAAACCGGTCGTGGACTGTCGAAGAGATTTCAGCAACCCTGTGAGTAGTTTCCTTTATGAAAATATACTGCGGTATCTCAAATATCGTGCCAACTGAAACATGAGGCAGCCTGTGTGCAGCACATTCAGTTGTAGAATATCATAGACGAGAGATTCAGTTGAGTCTCTCGTGAAAACCAAATTGAGTGTATTTCTCAAATTTGGTTTCATTGGATCACTAGTCGGTTTCAGTTTCTCAATTTACCACCGAGGACGATGCCTAAACTATCCGTCGGTTGACTCGAATGAACCATCTCATGCCTGTAAGGAAAACAGAACTCAGTAAGGATTGCTAACTGTAATCGGAAACTTTGTATTAATTTCCTGACTGCATGGTCATTATGCATTTCGAATGCAACTGGCAATTATTTATCATTTGAACCAGTCTCACAGCCCTAATCATGCTTGTAAAGATCTCGAAAAGCCACAAGGCTTAGTGACTACAAAATCAGTGAACAGCTAGCAACGGATGTGTGCTGAAAACTTCCGCTGCTCAACAAGAGTGAACCCACTCAACCCTGCATTGCCGATGTCACCTCGATTGGTGATGAAACGTGTGCAATCCAACTGCCAAACAAGGCGAACAGACTAACAACTAGGAAGAAAATAAAAGTGAGAGAACTGATGAATTCAGTAGAAATTTTAAATGTGACTGTTGCAGTCATTTGTCAGAAATTCTCCAACCCGACGTTCCGTTTTCGTCCACACACCACTGGTTTGTCATTAGGGTTGGTATTACGTTCAATAAGGCCTTGGAACGATAAATCTTAGATGGTGATCTACATTTACAACGTTCTTAGGCCAATGTCCGAGCGTAAAATATCGGCGGACTATACATGCACTTTTTCTGACTGCTTGGACCCTTAATTGTAGTACAAAACCGATCCGTTCTGGTGTGCCTTAAAAAGTGTTATCGTGATGTATGAACTGGCTTGCGTTGCAGTGTCGGGCCATATCTTCAGCACAGATTAAAAGCAACACACAGCTGGGGATCCGTTTTGATCTCGGGCGTGCATACAAGATACCTTCATTTGCATACCGGTAGTTCTGTAGCCTGTGTGCATCTTCTGATGAACGATTTATGCACGGTTTATGGGAGTCCACTTTTATATCAGTTCATTACTACTCATCCTAGTAATTACTGTATACAAAATGTACGCCATAGCACTCTTGGTCTTTTATTTTATACAATGTTTCAATGATTGGGTTTCTTGAGTGAACAGATAACAAGTTTTATGCACCATAATGCCTCACGTCAAATAGCAAATTTAAGTGCTTCCATTTTTATTCTCATTTCAGGAAAGTGTGAAGTTTCGGAAATGCTTGATGGTGAGCTGTAAACTGTTTTGATTACTGGTTAACACAAGTTTATTAAGTAATACTGTTCAACCTAATGCTTGAGAAACTGTAAAAGTGCACAGTGCGGGTCACGGTAATGCAGTGGTGTGACCCTACGGGAGCAGTTTGTGTCTTGGATAACTCGCATATCCTGGTCGACGCTCACCTGATAGTACCAGGAGACCAATCTTCTGACAAAATATAGGATGGCACTTTCGAATAGAGACTGAGCCCAGCGCGTCTGAATTACTGAAGTCGACTTGCAGGCGGAAAAGCAACGCTGATGTTCTGATACCTCAGACTAATGGGAAAATATGCTGCTACTTTCGAGAAATCTTATTGGCCAGTCTACCCAAGTGGAGCTTTCCTATTTTCCAGTGCCAGTCAGTAAGGGCTATCCTGGTGTCAACGTACTCTTCCTAGGCTGGTAACTTCAAAGTGAACCATCATTCGGTTAGCTCAGTGAACTGAGCATTTTTGAACGGTAGCCCGTGTGTGTGGACTTGACCTACATTGATCACATTTAAAAATTTAAAGAGATGGGCAAAGTCAGAACGGCCGCTTCACAGCAGATTTCAAGGAAACTTTCATCTAACATCTAACCATTACCCCTAGTGGACAAACATCATCTCACTAGAGTACAGAAAACGACATTTCTTGTTTCCCAGAACATCCATTTTGAACCACGTGTGGAAGCGTTACGGGCAAAGTATTTAAAGCAACGAATTGATTGAAACGCTGACTAATCGTTTGATTACTTTTGAGTGACTGCTGTTTTCCACTGACTTCATGGTATTTCAGTATCAGCTGTTCCAACTAACTTTCCGACGTGAAAAGCAAGGGAGCTAATCTGACCCCAAGGGATCTTTCTTAGAGCGATGGGCTCAATACTTCCTCAAAAAACAATTGGCTGCAGCTGGTAGTAGAGTAGAACAAAATTCATATCCACAGAAGACTACTCATGAAGTTACTGAAAACTCTTCATTGGATCGATTCCAGATCGATTCCGGGTCGTCTCCCGTCAAAACCAAGTTGGTATGCAGATGAGTGTGGGTGTCTGTGTGATTAGCAGAAAAAGTGATAAGTGGGAGAACCAATGTGTTGGCACAGTCTGCATTTGTAACGGGCTGTCTTTTCTACTTTTGTAGAAGTCGCTAGCTACGAGGGTGAGACGGACATACTGAAGATTATTCAAGCGTTGCGCGAGAAACCAGCAATCAAGTTTTTCTATCTGACTCATGCTTTACCCAAGAGCTCAACGAAGTATCACTACTACAACCTAAAGTAAGTAATAATTCGAATTCAGTGAGCTCACTTATTCAATCTACACACAAGGGGATATGCTCGAAACTTCAGGGTAAATGTAGAGTTGGAAAAGGATAGTGCGACGGCAATCGCATGGCCTTGTTGTGAGAAATATGTTTGTCACGCTTGTACTGGATGCATTGTTTACGTAGAGGGAAGACCCTCAACGGGACGTCTCTTGCATGCTGTTTAATAAATCATCTACATGCTAACTTCAACTTCTTTTACAATATGAGCAGCTCAGTATATTTAGAAACGAGTGCGACTTCAGAATGATGCAGCCTGGTAGCAACCCCATAGGTAAAGGTTTTGTATGAAAACTTGAAAATTAATTATGGTCACATGGATGATCAATAAGCGGATTGCTGTGGCAGCAGAAGGTGGTCATATTAAGTAGAAAGAAGTTTTACGTGGTACGCTGTCTTCAGCTTTAATAAATGTGACGCACTTGCAGTGCGCACGAAAGGGAATCACTATAACCTGATCTTATGGTTGTTGACCTTGTCGCCGGACGTGGGAACTGGCACGCGTGCGTACGTCGATGACGTCTTTCCTGATGGTGATCAAAAGTTTGTAAGCTGACTGCCAACCTCGACAAATCAGTCTACAGCCACCCAATCAACAACCAGCAAACTCAACCGAGCTACGACATTTTGCCGCAGTACCGAGCGTAGTCCTTCTGTAACTTGGCTTCGTGAAAGTTTTCTCAATGGATAAGCAGTTCAAATCCATCCAGACAATGGCCAATACTTCGTTATCATAATCACTGGCGCCGTACTAGTTAACATCTGAATCTGGAAGCTGTTGACACTCTGGAGTAGCTGCTTTGACAATGAGACTCAGAAAACGCGCGGGCTTTCAGGAACATGCGCATCGAGTTCGGACAACTAGCTGGTCGTCAGGCCATCAGTGTGATGAGCATCTTTTCGTGATGATCAGTGGTGTAGTATGTACTTGACAGACTGTGAAGTAGTTTTCTAACAGTCGGAATTTTGCCACCGTTCTAAATGTAGCGGTCAAACCTTTAACCAGAAAGAAAATTTCAGTCATCTGAAACGTTAGAAATTTGAAACTTTCGTACCAACCATGTGGTTCATCGGAAAAGGAAACAGACAGGTTGCCAGATGTCGACCGCCGGATAAAATCGTCGTGATAACAGTTAAAAACCGAACTTAACACTGAGCCTTGCGACGTGCATCAGTGAAAATCCCACAGAAGGGATATTTTTTGAAACGTTTACTAATATCAAGACTAAAATAAGAATCGCAATTTTTTTCACATTTTCCACACATCAACTGGTTAATCTCAGAACATCATTGATCGATTTCTAGGTGAATCTAAAAACTCTGGCTTACTGGCGTTTCATTTGCCTGCTAGTAATTTAAAATGGTTGAAAACGAAGTTATACATACGTAAAATTGCGGTTGCTTCATTACTTGACTGGACCAATCAAAAGCGCCGAACAGGGAGAATGAATCAGCATGAATCACATTTTAATTTATCCGGCAAGTTATTCTATACCAAAGGCTCAACAGAATGACCATCAGGTTGTATGAATTAACAATACACACGAATGACTAATGCATACAACCTTGTCATAAGTGAATTCCCTGAGGAGCCAAGCGTTGGAGGACACAACGGAATGGTTTGAGTACAACACGGTTGGTCGGCACCCAGTGCGTTCTGTATACACAAAGGTACAGATTGGGGACAATGATTGAACAATGATTCGAAAACAACCGGTTAGCTTGTTCCGGAATTTTATTTCTCTATCGATGAACCCTAGAGTCATGCTAACGATTGCGAGCTGTGTTCTGATCGTTGATTTTTCCGAGATGCCCGAAGGTTTGTCGACAAAGGCATATGCAAGCGAGCTGACGGATGAACTGTGTGACGGAATGGTTCGATGCACGTTTGGAAGCCCAGACACTGCGCTTAAGAACAAATTGAAATTTCTGTCTGATGCCATTCGCAGTACAAACGCTCACGAAACGTTCACACCATAGGATGCCTCCAAATGGAACCATACTGCTTTATCGAATCACAGGCTTGGTCTGCTAATTAAGGTGACTACTCGAAATCTATTATTCATCCGTTTCTACGTCTGCTTCAGACCTGCTTCTTGCTGAAGCGTAGTTTGTATAGGCCCCAAGACTAATACATTAACCCTCGCCTGGGCAATGGTTCTTATATCCATCGTGCTGTGTTTTGGAAAAGCAATTTTTTCCTCCATGATTCTATTGTCTAGAGTGGCCCCTTTCGATAAGCTGAATCGGAATAACTACTACACGCTGAGTCTGCATGGCTGTACACACGTGGTGACCAACGACGAAACAGAACACATTTCACTGGAGCGTTTCGAGACTGAATACAAGACATTTATGAACATATGTAAGGTACGTTGCGTCTTGAATGTTATGTCTCTGAATACTACTTATAGCGTGATGTGATCGCGCTTGCGCCAGCATCTGCTACCGAACTCTTTGTCTCTTCCCAACATTCAGCATTGGTTGATTGAAAGCAATACATAGATTTCGTTTGAGCTCCTTTTCCACATGCTTCCTCGAATGCCCCGATTGGTTGGTACTATCAGCGGCGCCATACTTTTACAAAATATTCGTCTAGTTTCATTTTGAGCTGGTGGTCCCACTTCTCTTACGCCACTACACTCTACGTACTTTGTCTGCTCACTGTAAATTCCTCTCCACATCTCCCGTCCTCTGATCAGAGCGAAAAAATAACTAAAGGTCATATTCCCATCTTTCTTCGATGACCTCCCTGAGGTAATTGTCTTCTCTTGTTGATACAACACTGCCCGTAAGAATGCTGTAATCGATTCGTCATCCACTACCGGTTTCGTCCTTCTTGTGGGTCATCAGGTAGGCCTAATCCCCGAGTTTTTATTAGTCATAGTATCTAGTCGAACACCATTTTGCAATTAATTGGATTTATATACTTACGTACAGACGACAAATTCAGCCTATATACCTACACTTATCTCTCTTTAAACCAGAGCGAACAGGATGAACTCGTCAGATTTGTCCGGCTAGGTGATATTCTTTAGCTAATTTACAGGTCTCGGAGCTCTTCCTACTTGTTCCATCTCAACTTTCGTACATGGATAGACGGTGAGTTGTCCGCATTCTGCACGGGGATCAACACGTGTGGCATAAATATGCATAAATATGCGTTTAATTTGTTCCAACATTTTTTCACACTGAGATGAAAGCAGCGTTTTTCACGTAGCTTGACGGAACAGACTTTCTTACATCCTGATATCGCTACAGGTTTCAACGGATTATTATCTAAGTAGTGTCTGCAAATAGATGTTACTGATGTATTTTTCAGAGGCGCACACTTCGCACAAGATACAGGCTCTTTCAATTCTTGGCTTTACTTCACCCATTTGTCTGGATCGTCTGAAGTGTGGATGGATCTCTAGCATCTTGCAATACCGCTGTATTTTGAAGCCAGTAGCAGAGTTCACGTAGATTGAAGTAGCATATATTGTGGAAAGTTGTTGATACAGAAGAATAACAGCTATGCTCTAGTGATTAGTATTGGTCATCTCAGACCACAAAGGCAGGGTAACTTGAGCAAGGACATTAATGGCTTCTCCTCTAGAGGTATGCCACTGAGCAAATCTAGCAGCTTGACAGTGATACCCAGACTACGGATTTTGTGTATGAATCTACTATGTAGCACCATTTCAAATACATTACTAAAGTCGATGAAAATGATGTCAGTTGATTGTCCATTCACACCGACATTCGTCCATCTCCTCCTTGACAATGTGTGCGTCTGTGTGTGCATGAGTCCACTGGTTGTTGATCATGCGGCTGTTGATCTGCCTACCGAGCTTGGAAATTGACCTGCAAACGCTTTGTCACCATAGAACGCAGTTGAGTGGGTACTTCCTCTTTGTCTGTGCTCGTTTCCCTAGCATTTGAAGACTGTCTGTTATGCTTCAACGTGATTGGCTAGTTAGATGATGGCGTTATTCATGGATTTATTGGTCCGTTTGTGATCTTTTTTTGCGCTATGCTCTACATTCCTTTGAGTCGATTGGTTATCCCAATGCCTCCTGTCTTAAATGGTATCTCCCATGGCCTTGATTTGCCCCTTCTCGATTTGCATTGTGTCGTGGTGTGATCTTCACTGGGTTGATTGGTTGACCGCCTCGCCTCATTTTCTCTATTATAACGGCTGGTGTTCATGTATCCGCCGATTAATTTGGTACTTTGGTTTATTACTTAGGCGCCTCCTTCAATCAAACTTATATGTCTGTTTGAATCATCGTCTCTGGAGGTATGCCTAGAAACGTTTAGGGGCTGTTTATCCACCTTAAAAGGTTTTGTCGTAATCTCTCTCTAGCCTACAGCATTGGTTTTGAATTCGTTCAGAACACTTCTGCGTTCATGTTGTACTGCTCCTGTGCTCTTTCTTGTTGACATAAGTCTATCCCAAACTTTGCATTGAATTAGCGTGATCTTTTATCCTGCGTCCGAAGGCAACTAGTGAGCCGAAAATCTAATTCATTGTGTCACTTGAAATGGCGTCTCTACTTTTCTGTAGGACTAGCAACACGTTTTCGTTCCCCTAGTAAGTTTCTTTTATTGTTTCCAATGATATTCAGATCCCAACTTTTGCAAGGTTTCGCCTATGGAAGGGATTTACTCGGTGGCGGAAAGTCATCCGCTACATGAAGATGGATCAGTGTCGGCGGCACCTTCGAGATAACCTGTATATTGCCAATTCTTCACTGCGCCCAGCGCTGCTCAATGTGCGTGAAATGTGTTACCGTATAAGCGATATGGGTCTTTGCAAGTTGGAGAAAGGCAAAACCTACACCCTACTGGAGTTTCTAACAAATCAGGTCAATCAACTGAACGAGGTCTGTACCCGATTGTGTGAGTTCCGAGAATTAGTCAAGGAGGTTGTGCGCAGTGCCTGTCGTACAGCCCTGTTAGAGGCTGGTTTTATGCCGGATGACTATTTCATCGAAGCCAACGCAAATCCTATGGTAATGGGTAAGTTTTAGTCTTTAACCCTTATTGTTGGTTTTTAAATGCTTGTTCTGGTAGTTTCACGGCTGAGGTACAAATAAAACGTTTTATGGTCGTTCGAAACACACAGATATCAAATGAGCTCTTCTTCTCTAGGCATCCTTAACCAGTGAGTCAATCTTCGGTTTTGCTACGGTGAGTGCAATCTCAAAAACCTCTTGTGAAGACAAGCCGTTTTCACCTCACCCCACTCCGGAACAAATGATGGAAGCCTGAAAATGTGTACGTCATCGCTATAAACATAAAAGATAGGGAGGACCGTCTGGTCTGTCTCTAGCCCATTACCCACTCGCAGCTATCTAGTACTCGGAAGGCACGCCTTCACTCACACAGTACTAACCCAGCCCGATTTCGACAGTCATGCGGATTCTTTTTGGCGTTCATCATTAAATAAAATATGTGAAACCCGAGTGTGATTCTAACATGGTTCTGGGCTTACAGGACATACTGTTGGTTACCCAAACAAGACTGTTGTTAACCACACCAGTTTTCACTGAACGAAATCAACCGAAGAACTTTTTTAGTTTTACCATATGAGGGATACAATAGTCCCTCACGAGGATAAATGCATTCTATTTCCTCCTCTTGGATAACCCTTCCCAGGTGGAGGAATTACGCCAAGTCGTGACTGACGATGAATGCATTCATAGGCTCAACCCAGGAGTTCTCCCTCTATTGCAACTCTCTTGAAGGGTTGGTATATGTAAAGGGAGTACATTCATCGAGGCATCCGTTAAGAATACATTCATCGGTGTGTTTATACACCAGGACGTGCTTTAATCCATCCATAACAAGTAAACCTAATATCCAGGATTCATCGCCCTGCAATATTGTTGAACGTGCTCAGAGTGAAGGCAACTAGTTTCGCACAATGTCATGCCTGATTGTATTCAACCTTTTCAATAAATCGGAACCCTCGAACACGTATGTGTTCGTCCAAACCTTTGCATTTTCTTTTCTGATCATGCACAGAGCGTAATCTGTACGATATCGAAGAACTAGTAGAGGGCTGCAAACTCAGTGCCAAAAGGCTCCAACTTGAACCAATCCCGTATGATATTGATCATCCTCTGGTTGGACAAGCCATGAAAGTGGTAAATTTGAGTCTCCGTCAAATCAGGAATAACCGAGCAAAACTCGAACGGCGCACGGAAAAAATGAAAACCCGTAATGACCCCGAACGTTGTTGTTGATTCGGTTGTTGATCTGTTCAGTTTCGAAAATGTTCTCGTTCACTGTTCTCCGGTCTTCAAGGACACAGATAACTCAGTAGATCTTTTCTTTCATTGACCTAGAGACACAAACACTGGGAACCAGCTATCTATCAAGTGGTTATGATGTCGAACTGTTCTCGGAGGCAACCGATAAAATGACATTCACGGAGATGGCAGCCAAAAGGAAGTATTGTCAGCGGCTCACTTGGTAGGTCAAGTCAAATAAAGCATTGTGTTTTCCTGATATAGTGGATATCACGTGAAGGGTTCACAGTAGAGTACTTGCTTTAGTGGATGAGCGCGGAACACCTTTTAACTTCAAGCTCCCTTTCGTGGCTCTCCACAATAACTTGAGAAACGTCTTCTGATAAAAGAATAAAATCAGTGCAGGGACTCCGATAATTAATAACTGCGAAGTTTCACAGTGAGATGCGACTTTTGAGTTTGTCCAGAGGAACTCCCTTGACTAAAACGTAGCTGTTGCAACGATACCGTGAGAACCAGTGTTGGCGAGCACAACAACGTATTTGTTAAGTTTTGGCTTGTTTGAAAAGCTATGTTCATTTTCTAGGTTTGATAACCCGATTTGCGCATACAGTGTCTTTGCTAGCATGCACCGCATGCAGCCAGAACGGAAACCCCAGCTGCGTGAGATTTCTTCTGAGCTTCGGCGATATTGCATGCGTAAATGATTCCTCTGTTCACGCTCATGAGGGGCGATGAAACCAATTCCCTGGGCATGCGTTCCCGACAATCATTACATCAATTTCATTTACCGAACAAAACGCTTAATCTTGGTATAATGAGGTATGGGGAGGCTCTACACCCAAGCAAGCATGGTTAGATACTGCTGTTTAATTTCGTTCCCAAAAGAAGCACATAAAGCAGGTTCTACTCACTTTCTGTGCCGCAGATCCACAAGCTACCTTTTGGTTGGACAAGGGTCATCCAACAATCAGCTCAGGCAGTCGCAAAAGATTCCAAAGGAACATGACCTCTTATATTAATGCTCACCACGCTGTGTTCCATTCGGTGGCCAAGCTCCAAATCAAGATTTGTGTCAATGCAATGTTCTAATGAAGTTTCCCGCTAGTAAGACATGATAAAACAACAATTTTTTAAACGGAGATCACTTCGAAGAAAAGGTTTTTTGCCCCACCTTTTCGTAGTGAGCTTTTTCTTATACAGAATGATGTTTGGGCCTTCCGAGGGACACACACCTGCCCAGAAGAAGCTCTTTCAAGCATTCATGGACCAACGACTCTATATCTTGCAAACACCGTTGTTTCTTCAGGAATCCTTGGTTTTGGCTCCAGAAATGTCCCGAAGTCACGGGGATTTTAGTGATGAAGTCACAGGAACATTCATGAGGCCCTCCAATGCGGTTTTAGACAAGCGTCCATACTTTAAATGGACGTCACAGACGCGTACAAAATACCTGCGAATGCTTGAATGACGCAATTCACTCAAAAAACTAGACAAACGAAGTGTAACTGAGTCTCACATTTCAGCTCACTGCTTTAAGCAGATTGTATTTTTCTAAAGCTGGTATATCAGAGAGGCCTACGTAATTCTTGAGCACTGACCTCACTATTTGATTTGCGAAGTTGAACCGATGACAAAAGTCCTCATTGACGCATTGTATGCGTTCTTCCATTCGTACGGCAGTGAAGCATCAGTGGCAACACTGATGTTGCTGTCTTCGATGATGATGATGATGATGTTCTTCCATTCGTTTGCTTTTCACGTTCCTCACAGCTTCATAAGGCTAGCGGATTACCAGATTGTGAGTACGTTGCACACACTTACCGTGAACTCGGTCTATACTCTGTTGGACTGTCTATGTGATCATCTGCGACATACACCGCCGGTTGAAGAGATTGCCAGCTATCAGATCAAGGTTAATCCGCTGACGGAGGCACCGAATCTTGCTTCATCTGTGAAGCGTCCGGACAATTACAGGGTCAGCGTGGAGGAGGCTGCAGGAAAGCCACAACCGGCGTTTTCGGTAAGGTTGTTCTGAGCGAAAGCTTTGCTGTTTTTTTTTTGCATTTCACTTGAATTAAGTTGTTATGATTTTCTATCCCGTTAGACTGGAATCACTTTGTCTTTGGAATAGGTGTGACTCTCGCACATTACCACCAGCGCCCCCCAGGGAAATAAAAGGAGATAGTATATGGTCAGTGGATACTGGTCGGTTTTTGGTAGGGGTGCATTGTGTACAATTATCAAGCTCGGGCGCTTTTCTTCATCAAATAATTACTGTGGTGATCCATCCGACTATATTTGAACACTACCGCTAAACCTGGAACTTGGGGAGGGACCTTTCGCTTCTTTTGACCTGTAGGCTGTTCTATCGTTCAGCTGTAGCACCCTTTCGGTGCCTAACTATCACGCCGCCAGAAGGAAGATCGAGGGCTGCGATACTGCCAAGGTGCCCAAGCCTAGACAGGGGAAGTCCATCCAGAGGTCGGATTCGAACCACGACCTTGCGGTCAGTAAATTCATACTCTAACCACTAAGCCCTTTCGCTGTTTTATGGAGCTCAAGGGAAATGCTGAAACGAGTACGTTCACTTGTCGACAGTCAGAACTCAAGCTAGCCCTTGTAATGGTACGGGGAATCAACAACTACTTGCTAGTCATCCTGGTGCACCATGCAACACAAAGTATAGACACTAGGGAGTCGGGCTTGCGACCTACTCTTTAAAAGGCAGGCCTCCAGCACACTTGGAACGGAGCAGAGATTCATCTCCCAGCCTGGAATCTACCCTTAATTTTTATTCTAGGAATATGGGGTTCTCAAATTCTTGTTACACAGTACGGATGGTATAGGGAATGGAGTTCCTGATGAATGCTTTACCTCTTGATTTGTGAGGCCTGTGTAAAACTGACGTGAACTTCCCAGAGTGCAAATATGCAATCTACTATGTGGTGGCAATTGGGGTCGGCTAAAGGGGTCGAAATCGCGTGGTTAAGGCTTGCAATAAAAAAAACGAATCATGCGTAGTTTCCCGATCAGCCTCTGCGATAAGGTTCAGCTTGCATGTCGTAAACTGGTCAGCTCATTCACTTTTCATTTTTGTTGCTGCCCGTGGTGTCCGAACATGTAACAACCCAATGAAATTGCGTGGTCTTTGATTTTAAAAAAATTATACTAGCTCCTAAAGGCACCAGAGACAAATATCTGAGTAAGTTGTGTGGTGCCCCAATGTCAAACCTATATTGGGTTTTGTGGGCTGCTTGCTAAACTGCAGAGTTCTATTAGCTCAAAGCTATACGCCTCTGTGTGTAAGCTGCCAGCCGAGAATTTCCCTGGGCATTGGAGGAAGAACGAATGCTAATGCCAAAAGTGTTGATAGATTCTACGGGTTGACTCAAATAGATCATCTTGTTGCGCTGTGTGACGATAAGTTTTACGTCAAGTTACAACTAAAACCAGAACTTGGAATTGTGGCCAGGTGGCTAGTTATGGGCAGTTTAATCTAATTTAAACGTTTTTCAAGCTTACTAGTCTCAATTGGGTGTGGGTTTTACTGTTAAGAATGCATTAAGGAAGCTGCGTTGCTCAAGCACGTAATTCTTCATTTTTTATTATTACAAGGCCTCTATAACTGTTCCCTGAAGTAATTCATGTTCCGAATAAACAGAGACAGGTTGCTGTGGTGGTGATTCAGTTCCTTCATACCACTGACTGATAAACTTGGCATTCGTCATTAAAGCCATTAGAAATTCGTTTATTCCAGTAAAGCATGAGGTATGGGACGCACAGAGGGAAAGCGGGAAGATGGGCGATAGAGAGGTAAACACTCAGTAGCCCGGATCCGCATCTAATGATATACAGATGAACACCTATCACTATTATCCTCTGCTAAGTCTATCTGAGGACGTCGAAGGCTGTTTATGGACCGCTACTGATCGCTGCACCCTCCAGACCAATATTACGGGCGCCTTGCATATCACTAAATATGCTAGATTCTGGTCACTCAACGTTTTTTCCAACTTCGCATCCCATTCCATTTTGCGTGATGTTCGACCTTTCATCCGAACAATACGTTGGACTCCACTTCGTACGAACTGCGAAGAATTTTGGGCGCAGTCTGAATGGAAATTTTAAAGCTTCCTCACTACTTACAGCGAGCAAGTAACCTGAATGGTCATCATTTATAGTTGACTTATTCTGACTGCACCCGTTCAAGCACCATGGCACCAATAACTGGTGCACATTGAAACGAACACTCTCTTATCCAGTTCCATTGAATACGGTAAGCCCCCTTCCTGTTTTATCGATAGGTGAATGCATTGACCGCAGAATCTGATGGGACACAAGTTACAAAACCGCTTTTTGTCTTGGAGTTTATCTTGGAGCACGACAAACTCTACATGATTCCCGATGAGCCGCTGTTCCGCGATGGGATTTTGGAAATAATTTCTAAATTCCAGGTAAGTAAATGCACGTGAAATTGCCATTTGTTTAAGTTGATGACACTGCTTGGGACAATGCAAAATCCCACGGTTAAGAAATGTCGAACGTTGAGGCACGCTCCAACAAAACATCCAGGTTTCCTTGCGATTGGTGGTGTCTTCAGTGGGTGCGGTTGAAGGGAGACCCATAGATAGCCAGAGAAAGTTAACAGCACGCCCTCTTCTGTGAAACCCCATTACGCGGAAACCAAGAAAATGGCACTGTGTATGACATCGGATAGCTACTTGGTGGGATATTTACTAGAGGGAACGGGTTCTTGTGTTTTAGAATTGAACCCCAGAACACCTGGGAGTAAATTTGCTACGGGAATTCACCTGGCACGATCAACACGGCAGGATACGCCACAGAAACCGTAATTTTAAACGAATCCAATATAAACCAAAACAATTCTGCTGTCTGTGAGAGGTTCAACTCAGCTCCTTGAACAAATAAGTCACTTGAATCTGACTTAGCTCTTGCCGGCCGGATTAAACAGGCTGCGCCAACAGTCCGTTTTACTCAAGACTAAGCTGTCGTCCTTGTAACAATTCTTGAACCGCTCTATCTGGCTTAGAAAAAACTGACAGATTCATAAGAAACATTGATTTTAAGTCACGCAAATGCCATACGTGACAACTTCAAACTTGCCACTGTTTTGCAAGCTATGTTGACCCCTACGCGCCGCATCATTAATGCGGAGACAGCACCAAGCAACAAAGATAAAGTGAATGTGACGCAGCAGTTTTGGCGGTCGTGGTTTCCGAACCCATCCGCGTACTTTCAACTAATAATATGTGACATGAGGTGTAAAACGGCGGGTTGTAAGATTGAGAAGAACATTCACTGGGCCATCCGGTCACCATAAGTTGACGCTGATCTACCGGACATACATGAGTGTGATGGTTATCACCCTGATGAGGGGAAAAGCAATCGGGAGAAGATATCGTCAGTTATGCAAAATGAGGCAGTTGACCATAATTGGAACTGTACAACAGGAGTCAGTCTCATTCCTTGCCCATGCTCGATTTCCTTCTCAGAGGAGGCTAGAGGTGACCCGGAATGTTTGGAACTGACCGCAGAACGGTGCAAACAACTCGAAGAACATTAACAGAAACCGTTCGGTCTTACTCGTGAGTAATCGGTGGAATTTTTCTTGCTTCATCCATGAATGTTCTATCCGTAATGGGACGGTTATACAATTAAACATTAATCAATCATGTGTCATTTCCTGCCTTATTACTCTGAATAACCGAGGCTAATGGAAGATCCACTGAGGATAGAATGTCCCCTAATAAGAACCGTTCCATTCTAGGGGGGAACCTAGTCTTGTAAGTAGGTAGCTGACTAACACTAAATGCAGCTTTCATAGTGTAAGTAAGACCAATCTATGCTGAAAAGCTTAGACACTGTACACGTGTTTCATGAGTAGCGCGCTTCTGGTTAAATTCCGGGGTGTTTAGTACCCGCGTTCTCCTGGCTAGTAGTCTGGGCATCTCCGCGAGTGATAAGTACTGTGATTACTCGCGCTTAAGCAGCATAGTATCCTTCTCATCCTCCCGATGGCGCTAAATCATCGTCTAGTCGTCTACCAAGCGTTCCTTCAAAACTGCCTAGAACAGCTCTGTTAATCACCACCAGCTCGCTAGAAAATATTCGATTTAGACAATTTGATCCCACTGGCCACTGGTATGAATGGCTGGCATCCGAATCAGATTTGCCCGTTCACTGTCGTCAAATCACTGGATGCCTTTGCTTAGTAGGAAGCCATAGACAGTTTGCTGAAGTGAATGCACTGCTGGATACAAGCGCTTGGTGCCACTATGAACTCGAGGGAATAGGTTTGCGGGGCGAATATGCAGAGGCCCATTGGAAGTCATCAGCCGGCCTAAGCACAGTAACATAAGACTGGGCACTGGTAACAGTTATTTATTTACCGATGAGGCACCGGCGTCATCCGTCATTTCTTTGGGTTTCAGCATAATGCCACACCTCCCGTAGCACAACATCATGCAATTCTCACCGGGACCCGCCCATTAACAGACCTACAAGGTAGCAATGAGCAACCCGATAGTATTCCATGAACCTTATGGATAGTGATCTTATCATCTAGTGTGGGGTGGGAAGCTATTAGAAAATGGGAAAATTTTTGCAAACCGAATTGGTTTGACAGGAGACTCACCTGGAACCCAGCTAAATCACTCGATATCTCGAATATCGTAACAAATGAAACGTGAAGCCGCCTGGTGCAGCACATTCGATCGCTTAAAAACGTCATAAATGAGGGATCCCTCTGGGTTCCAGGTGAGTCTCCCCCAAAACCAAATTGGTTTGCAAATGAGTGTATTTTGCTTGTTCTATGTAATTTGGGTTCGAGTAGAACATAAGGGTGATGGAAACTCGGGTATGGCATCTGCCTAATGAGGCCCAAGAAGGGCGAAACCGGTCGTGGGCTGTCGAAGAATTTTCAGCAACCTTGCGAGTAGTGTATTACGTGGAACCAACTTAGTTTCAACGTGGGACTCCCAGCTGTTGATGGGGTGTCTAGACCTGAAAAGTACATGTGTAGAGAACGACGTGCCCCTAAGGTCACTGTCGGTGCACACGTTCCGGATAGCAGGTGCGTGGGCGGAGTGTACCAGACACGTCTTAGTAGTATGCGATCAGCGCAGTGGGTATGAAAGTGCTCACTGCAGGAACGTCGCGATTGGCGAAAAAGGCATAGCCTTTGCCATCCTATGAATTTACGCACAAGCCCTGTACGTATGATCAGACAACACATCCGTGTTCCGGGGTTCTTCTGCGTCTGGCAGGCTCAGGCCAGGAGTAATTAATGGCGGCCACCTATGACACAACAGTGTGATATTCTTCATTTATGGTATTCTTCAACTGTACAGAGGCCGCCTCATGTTTTGGGTAATACAAAATTTATATGATTGATGAGATCTCTTCAACAGCCCGCAGCCGGTTTCATCCATCATGGGGCTTATCGGGCAGCCACACTACCGGGGTTTCCGTTGCACTTGTGTTCAACTTGAACCCAAACTGTAGTGGGGGGCGCAGGGAGAAAGGCATAACTGTTTACCTCCTAATGCTACTGCGTACAAAAGATTTTTTAGCAGTACCGGATTCTTGATCTTCAGAAGTATTCCGGCTGTGATGAATACTGCGTCCGCGGTCACGATCACATGTTGGGAGGTCAAATTGTCCGGTTTTTAGGACCGACTTTTTTCAAAGCTTTCTTCTTCGGAGGAAGGCAGCATCCTTGGACGCCTGGAGGAGGCACATAGCGGTTCTCACACTCCTCTCGCACGACTCTACTCCCAGATCACCTCGTAATACAACCTTTTGTTTGCGGCTTGAGGATATACTTGCGCAACAATCTCATCAATTAGCACAAAATGATGGTCGCAGTTCAAAGTGGCCTTCAAACGTCCTGTCTCGTCATAAATGGGGAAGCATCGACTGTTGGAATAAGTATATTATTCTCCCAAAGATGCATGTGGAGTACTAAATTGCTGGGACGCACATGAATGTAGTTGATACCTTACTAGCGGCAACTTAGGTGATATCCAGAGCTCCGTCGTATGTACGCTGAAGGTTTTCCATTAAGAGAACACCACTGCGACACACCAAAGGAGTTCATTATACACTTTAGCTGATCAATACAACCTAGGTTGCAATGTCATCTGGTACCGCCTAAGTGTACTTGTCCATATAAGTTCATATTGCAGCCAGTCGCCTAGAGCACAAGGTACTCATCCTTGCTGTCAGATTTGAACGCAGACGTTATCCTGGTACCATCAAGTTCTTAAGGCTTTTAAAAGTAAGTGCACACGACTTAAAGGACGATTAGTCCATGCATCATTCCGGCTTTAGCGTCCAGATCACGGATTATTTCACGTCAGCCACTAATTACAACGCAATTCCAACCAATAGTGAGAGTCTACAGTAACTTGGGCTAGAAAGATGGTCCGGTACTTACTACGGACCGTCATCCGAAATTATTACAAGGACCGGTTTGGCGAGGTCAGCGTAGGTTTTCGGTATAGAATGCACTTAATTTACCACATTATAAATCAGGCCGAATCCTCGTGTAAACGTGAAGTCTGTCAGTATTCATACCAGATGGGTGTACATTTCTGACGGTTGATATATTGGTCCTTGTTGAGGGGTAATGGGCTTAAAATTCCTGAAGTTCGCTAATGCCAATCGAGAGTTTGTTGGATCCTCTATCAGCTTGACGATTACCTTCCACACTAGGTCTAAATATTTAAAAAATACATGCAGATTTCTCTGTCTACTTGGAACTTCGTTCAAAGGTACCGATCGACATTAGCAATGACATCATGTCAATTCCTCCTAATACTTCACAGGAACAAGTCTTTGGAATAAAAAATCTCGTGCCAGATCCCTACTTCGACGCTTTTACTCGACCAATCATCAACAACAAATTCGAAGAAAAGACCTGTGGCAGTGGACCACAACTACAGCACATGTTTGCCGAAGACACCGGACTGAAAACGATTATCGAAAATGTGAAGATGTCATTGAGTCGGGCGTTTGAGGCCGTCAGAGCGTACATGAATACGTTCAAGGAGATTCACGACTTTTATCACGAAAACAATTTGATCACGACGGAGGGGATTCAACAAGCACAAAAGCGTGAGTTCTGCCCACATCATCTTAAGTTAACTTACGATTTTCTAATGTCCAAATCAGTACCCGAGAGCTGGGAATCGTATTAGAATAGCTTCAGCCAGACTGCGCAATTATTAGGTCCATGCGTAGAAACTCAATAGCATACCCGCACAAGCAGTGTCCCAGTGAAAAAACTTTTTCGTTTCTCATTCAATCACAGAGGCGTTCGATTCGATGGAGCACAAGGATCGACTGCAAACAAGTGAGCTAAATCTCCTGTTTTTTTTTTAAATTTTCTACTTATCAGTGTACTGTGGGTTGCAGTGTAGTTTTACCATCAAATACACACTTGAGATTTAGCTTGAATCCAACTGCGTTTGCTTGTGTTTGCTCATCTATGCGGGATGTCAGGGCAGCAGCAAAGGACAGATAGACCCGTTGCAAAGACTGGCATAGAAACTCAATCGCTCCCAATTCAAACTGGCGCATATAGAGCGGTTGTCAGCCGGTGATCTGGAAGAAAGCCTGGTTACTGTTGGTTGGACTCACCTTCCGGGATGCGGTTCACGTGGTTCACCTTCGTGCGCATCTGGAGACACTGTGAGGTATGGCTGCTAATCGAAGTCATTGGCACTGTCAATTTCCATCCAGAGTGTCTGAATGAGTGCCTGTAGATGTAGGCAACTTGAAATGATTGTGGTAGGCTGGCACCATGTCCCTTCCCCATCCACTTTTATTCCTTTCTTTAAATTAAGGTTTTCAAATAAATGCGGTATGCTCGATGTCAAACTGACTGCAGAACCATCATAGTTTATGGGTTGGTAACATCACATTAAACGTTGTTGGTTGCGTAATGAAGAACTGAAAGTTCGCAACCAATTTGCGCGAGAAAGAAACCACTGAAACGTGAAATAAATCACCTTGATGGACATCCTGAGCACGCTTGATTCATTTTCCATTCCAGATATGGCCTTTTTCCGAGATAACCTGTTGAAGCATCATCGTGAGGTTTTGATGACACAGCTTGTTCCAATGCAACGATCGATTGGGATGTTCTTAATCGACACTTCTACAATGCGCTCGCTGCTCTTACCCTCACCAAACCGGTGTCTGGAACTGTTTCACAGACTATTGCCTGTGGATGCGCGAGCTGAGGTAGACCGGTTGGTGCAAGAGACACAGGAAGCGGATTACACGTTATCTCTCACTCCGAGCACCACCGTCGACTTTGTCAAACATCTGGAATTCTTGGTTCACATGCAGACAAGGGTAAGAATTTCACCCTAATTTACAGATGACAATTATTACTCCAAGTTTCTTCTCCTGTGGGTCATTAAGTTACCAAATGATGGGGAAATGTGTGAGGCATTCGTATAGATTAACCAAGGCGTAATTAAGCAGTATCGCAAATTTCGGTAGTGGTTCTGACCTTGAATGAGAACGAGCAAGCATGTTTCACCTCCGAGTGCGGCATCCGTTTTAATATAGACACTATTATTATTGTTGGTGATAAAAAATTGGCGACTTTCTCTTAGAACTATACACAGCTCATCAGAACGGACAGAACCTTATGAATGAATGGAGTAATGACTGAGGTCGAGGATGAGGTAAATGAAGGCAAAGCCAAGTGCGAAACCAAGTAATGATGTAACCCTTTGAGTTACGGTCCCTTTCCCGCGATTTACACTTTAGGATATCTGAGTCTTATAAGTAGACTGTAACAAGGGAAGCTGCCGCTCTATTCAGCTTTTGGCATCTATAATGTCTTGATCATAATACTACTTTTTGTTATACCATTACTACAAAAAAGTACTCCCTTCTTCGATGAAGAAAACCTTGTCCTTGCAACGACATTCGCAACTCGTCAAAACATGGATAACTTTCCGCAGATTATCTGTGATGATTGCTTCTCTTTTCGTCCCCAATTCAAAAGATCGAACCAATAGAAAAGGAAGCTGACGTGGTGAAAGAGATATACGACATGATAGAATCCTTCAGTGTACCAGTCCCACCTGAAGATTACGCTGTTTATCAGGTGAGTTGTGCTCAGCCAATGGTTTTGCTGTAAATAGCATTGTAGTCTTCAAGAAGTTGTTGAACAGCCCTTTTAGAGGCTCATTTTTAGCTATGCACCTCTGGGGGGAAATGAACTCCGAGTAGCGACTTTTCAAAACACCCAAACTTATGTGTAGATTCCTACTTCCATGAGCACTGGTGAAGAGAAACTTGACAAGCCTGGCAACGTCTATCTACTAAAACAGCTAAGTGTAGCTCTCCTATTGGAAAAATAACGGTCTTCCTTCCTTCCAATTAGACTCTTCTCCCCTCAATCGAACGTGCAAAGAATTCCATTGACAGAGCACTGTCCGAGCGTGATATAATCGTGGACATGTTTTTCGCCTCACTGGACAAAGATGTGGCCGAAATGTTGCACGATATGAAGGAGGCTAAACAGAATATTAACGTAAGTTTACCTGCCTTTTCTTTTGCATCATCCATACACGTGTGAATTTGTTATGCACTCGTTCGGGGATGTCCACTCGGTGTAACTGACCCAGAGATTTGAAAAAATATGCTCAAGTCAGACAGTGGGGATCTCTGTGCAGTCCTCTGATGCTTGAATAGGAAATAAGTTTGAGAAACTCTTGACGATCGTAAAAATCAATCAGTCACCAAGTTTCGCACCAATCAAGAAAATCGGTGTGAGCACAATGAGTGGACAATTAACCAATCACGAATGCTTTTTTCCGATGCAGACTTCACCCTAGTTTTTCCGAGAATCGAACGCCGCATCAGCTGAGTCAGTTTATCAGTTATTAACCATATACCAAGGCCATGCTGGCTCCAGCTGCTACAGTCGGGGGGGGGGGGGTGAGAGGACGTGAAAGATACAAGCAAACAGTGGAGGTGATCTCATGATCACTTGGTTTGAGAATCTTGGGACCTGTGTATATGCGCCTTCGACTGCTTGATGGGGCCATGTCTGCCAGGGTATTAACCATGGTGAGTTGAGTCCTAGGTTCCCCATCCAGGGAGGCGGTAGTTGTCAACCCGATCGAGTTTACACGTTACTCTTGCCAGGTCGTACAATGTCCGCGTTTCGGTCACTTCCATTCAGCATGGGGCTGACCAAATGAGCTCCACGAGACATTATTATAAAAACAGTTCTTTCTGATGGGGAACGACAATCTTGTCAATCTTTGCAACTTTTACGAAGAAAGCTCGGACGAAACGTACATGCATCGATTTGTCATCCCAGTTCACCGATAGGGAATCGCTCATTAAAGATCTCTTCTGGTAGAAATCACTAGCCTTGTCATCTGATATAATGTCAGGGGTAATACGTTGATTTACGCGAACGGCAGCACTATCGAACTCCTTTAGGCTGTCTCAAACCATCAAGGTGATGGCTCAAGTTCACATATGTTTGACCTCAAACAGATAAACTGAATGGCCTGACAAGAACAGTTTGTTTTCCCTCGGCAACAGCACAGTAGATTGCGGTGACAGTTGAATAGCCGGTCTGATGGGAAGACGGCTATTCAGTTTTATTGTGAAGGAAAGAACAAAAGTGGACGGGGAGGGGGGACTTAGTGCTAACTTACCATAATCATTCCGAGGTGCCTACACCTCTAGGTAATCTGGATAGAAACTGACAACAAGAACGCCATTGAGTTAGATTAGTCGTCATATCTTGCAACGCCTCCTACCAAGCTCAGTGGGCATCACGTGATCCCCATTCCTAAGGGCGTGTCTCGCCATCGGCTCCCAGAGTTTTTGTAATCTCCTTCATACCCCTCTGTCAGGTCAAGGGTTGGCCGCCTCTCTCCTTCCGCCACACTTAAATGGACACAGAAAACAGCACTCTTTTCGCCAAGCTATGGTTCGGCATGTGCAATACATGGCATAGCCAACACAGCTTCTGGTGCTGGGCACATTCTTTCATGGAAGCTCCCGTTACACAACCGAACGCTCAAGTCCTAATTGCTTCGTTATGGGTTCGCTGCCACCAGCCTACACATGCTGTGATTTTGAGGCAGCGGTTGTCGAAGACCTGAAACATTTCAGTTCCACTGCTCCAACAGGCCAATTCCCAATCATACAACAAGACAGCCCTACTGCAGCCTGATACATACGTCCCTTGCTATTCAGATATGTACCGCTCGGAGGCCATAGGTATCTCCAATTAATAAACGTGACCCGAACCTTAGGGATTCGTGCACTGATCTCATCTAGGCGAGGTGGCTTAGTGGTTAGAGAGCAAATTCACTGAACGGAAGGTCCGTGGTTCGAATCCGACCTCTGCTTCTCGACTTCCCCTGTCTAAGCCTCAGCAACCTGGCAGTATCCCACCCCTCGCGCTTCCGGTGGCATGGCAGCTGGGCACCGAAAGGGTACTACGGTTGAACAATCCAAAATATGTAAAACGCTGCATAACTTCCAGTGCCTCTCCCTAGATTGTAATTGGCATGTTCAGTGACCGAATGCTCAGAAGCATGAGTTTACACTTTATGGATGCAAAGCTCATGTCAGAGGACGAGAAAAATTTAGTCAGTTCGTCCTAAAACACCTGCGTCTTCTCTTTGAAGGCGAGGAGATCCGAATCAGGACACGGCACTTATCTTCGTAACCACCGAAGTACCAGCCTGTTTGACCCCGACTGGCATGCCATGTGCGGTGGAAAAGGAGTAGACGGAAAAGTTCACACCCTTTGTCTGTAGGTTCACAGTCTGGTTACGTCGACCCGTTTCCAAAGTGTAAATTCAACGACCCATAACTCCAACTGCTGTCAGAAAACAGTACTATTCAAGCAGTAAGCTTGTCCCACTGCAACCGGTAGGCAGTAAGTGTGCTCCCCACGTACGTTTCCTCCAGTGAGATTTGTATTTCAACCCACTAAAGTGCTGTCATTTTAGGCTAATGTAACTTTCTCATCAGCGAGCCCACACAAACTACTCACCCAACTAAGTCGTGTTGAAGAACTCAACAATCGCTTTCACCGGCCGAAGAACTAACCATGAGTTTCAGTGTTTCAAAAGACGAATGAAGTATGTTCGATAGATCTCGCCGGTATACAGTAGACACAAAAAAATGTCATGTGACCATCGAGTAGGAGATGAAACTTCTGGCTCGAGACCATTTGCACCCAAAACAGAGAATACAATGGCATTCGCAGTAGGTTTCTTCAGGACTCTAGAAAGAGCTTTGAAGATATTGAGAGACATACACCCGAGACGTGTGCGAATGCATTAGCATGGTGAGCTTACATAATGATCCCTTTTTTCACTCCTCTGAGATGATGAAAAAGAGCGATTCTTCTCCTACCTTACTTAACTCAACCAGAAACCTCTGAAACTAACTGTGTGAGGAATATGTTGCTCTGACATAAATCAGTTGGGTTGCGGATAACCACAAATCCATAAATATTCAGATATGCTTCGTTCCTGTGTCCCATTTTTGAGCTCCGAAATCTTCAGCCGGTGCTGCAAGTGTATGAAATGCCCTTAGCTGCCACTATGATGAACTGCTTGAGTAAACCACACTAATTCAAGTAAAGAGATATTATCAGAGTGGTGACAGACGATCCTGGCCATTTTTCTGTATCCCACCGGAACTTATCTTCCGCATGATTCCAACGTTTTTTCTCTGGAGATGGAATGGCGTGAGGAAACACTTCGGGACTTCAGAAGGAGTTGTGAGGATGTCTTCTTTATAGATAACAGTTATTTTTAGCCAAAGAAATCGGTGTTTTCATCAAGCTTCCCCCTAATGCATTAACTTTTGATATTTTGGTATTCAGAACCCGGTCCTATTGGATGCTACAGCTGAACGTGAGACTGTCAGGTACGAACTGCAGAAGATGAAAGATACCATAGAGGATCTCCAGTATCGGGCTGCACTATACCGAGAATATCTCCGATCATTTAAGGTAAACAAATTTACTGCAGGTTTTACCTCCTTGCTACTTCACTTCCAGCAAGTCAATTAAATGTATTCTCTTGCTGAATATTGATAAGGAATTTTCAGTGGTAGGGAGGCGTGTTTGGTTGCAGCTGGATAAAAAAAAAACGATTTTAACCTTACTGACTTTGCAAAACTTATAGTACAATAGCTGTCGAGAAAAGCCGTCTCGTCCGCAACAGTTTTCTGTTCAGTCAGCGTTCGATCATTCTCAAACAACAGAAGTAAACATGTGCTGCTGTGCATGAGTGAGTTGATGATGAAGTCCTTTCCCTGACCATTAGCAGAACTGTATTTGGTGCAGGTGAACAACACCCAGTTCAGAACACAGTGGTCCGTAGAGTTTGCGAGAATCCATCAACAGATCACAGCAAGCATTCCATCAAGCAGAACAAACAGCTTCGAGTCACAAAACATTACGAGAATCTGCATTCAAGGGATCAAAACTACTCGAAGCAAGACTGAGAGTACTGAACATCACCAGTAAATGGAAAGAAATGAGAAGACAACAGTGATACTGAGGGAGAAGTACTTCGTTTGGGGAAGCCTAACCGGTTCAAGGTTTGTAGCCTCTAGTGGGGCTCATTACATAAACCAAGACTGTTCGGGTATGTGAGCAGGTGGCTATCGGGTGGACTTTAGCAGATACAGAATCCGACATGACAGTAAAACTTTCTGACTTCCTCCTAATGTAAAATGCGCAGTTCATGCACCAGCCAAGTCGGAAGCGCAATCTAGCTTTCCTTCATCATATATTATTTCTTTGCTTACAGGAACTTGTACAGACCATATCTGGAACTTCACTGGAGGTGAGTCTTTTGGCTATTTAAGACGTCAGTAGCAAGAATTAATCCAGGGTCTATTTTTAACTCCAAATGAAGTCAACAAGCACATTAAGGTGAGATGAGTAGCAGAGGCCATCTAGCTCGACATACATCATGGAAATTCGGATATGACCTTTCAGAAAAAACAGATGCATGCACTGATTGTATATGCTTCCCCTGCAGGTTGGGCTTGTCGCAAAATGTTTTGGATCGTAAAAATCTTTCCTAATCCTCCCACGATAGATGAACTGGTCACACTGCATAGGTTGCCCTGGCTCGGCCAAGGGCTCCGTATGCCAGACGACCGATTTCCTCGAAGGGTTCTTCTGCAGAACCACGCCAAGAGTGGAAACCTGCAAGGGGAGGTCTAACAATGAATTGGCAGCGAAGTGTGAAAGCCCTTATCAGCAAACTCAGCTGAGCTGGAGATTGCTCTCTCCCTAGATGGGGACCCCGAGAATGGCCACGTCAGTGGTCGGAAACATTGTCAGACATGGCTCAGTCGCACCTTCATTTGCGCTCGCGCATTTAAACTACTACCTAAAATGCATATATCTCCCTTCCTAATCCCCACTGACATACCTGTATTTACCCATCAGTTTATCAGCTCCTGCCTGCAATACGCGGCTACCTACCCCACTTACCCAAATCATCGATGGACGAAACTGTGGCAGCTACAAACAATGATAATGATAATGACTTTTACACTCTGCTCTTGGCGTAGCCAAGAAGAAGACCGCCGTCAACGACCAATACCCACAAAACAAAAGTGTGTCGTGAGATGATTCCATGAGAGCTATACCATTAGAAATCAGTCTGTCCCTCTCCGGTCTACCTAGAGGAAGAGTAGAATAAGAATAGATTCAATTTTGACACAGTTTACGAAATGTCTATTAAGCGAAAATGCAGCTTGTTAGCGCTATCGATATCTCAGTTAGGATACACTTCACTACTGTTGAGAGGGAGCTATTCTTGTGCACCATAGGTGAGCGTTATTTCACAGTAGTTAAACACCACGGGAGAGGTGAGATACCTTGGTTGTCCTCAAAGAGCCTGTCAGTGAATCTTATCTGTACTGAAAAGCCGAGGAGCACTGTACAACTGTTTCGTCTTTGTTGGAAATCATCAACCATGCGCATCTCATGGAACTCAGAGAGTATCGAACCCTCAACACTTAACCGTTTGATCATGAGTGGCTGGTCAGCAGGGTGATTAGCTTTCATTTGAGCGGGACACCGCGCCACTCATTCTTCAATAACAGAAACTACATCACGTGGTCACATACTGACCGGCTGCTGGAGTGACGACTTCTCAGATGAACGTTTTGCTCATTTGTCGTGAGATTATTCTTACTCTGAGCCATTTGTAGTTTGATCGTAGTGTGACTAATTTTCATTTGAACTTTCCCCTTCTAAGTGAAGCCAATCTGTGTCGGTAAACCAAGAAACACCGTACAGCTCTTTCATTCTTACTGATAATCATCACCAGTGTATATCTCACGAATCTCCAGGACGATTGGAACCTACATCGTCCCGCCTAGCAGCTGAAACTAACTGGCTGTTGATCAGGTGGCAACTGAATTGTTCAACGAGCCCAGCAATTGGCTTGTAAACGCTTCATTACCATGCGCAGTTATGCGACCATTGGATGTGGTCAAACTCTGACCAGAAGGTCACGAGTTCGAAACTCCCTGAGTTTCGTGAAGCGTACTGTTGTTGATTCCCGAAAAGCATAAAACAGCTTTACAGTGCTCCTGGAATTTTCAGCATAGGCTGGTTTCACTGACAGATCAAGAACTCTATTGAAAATCACCACAAACAGGACATAGTGCCACTCGTCACGGAATTCATCAAAGGCTTATTCTCCCCCTACTAGCACAAAGGTCGCGCGTTTCAACCGCCCTGGCAACCAGTAGGATGTGCGTTACTGGTGTTTCCCGATAAAGATGACACAACTGTACAGTGCTTCTTAACTTTTCACCCCAGACTGGCTCCCCTTACAGGAAGAAATTCCGACTAAGCTGTAGATTTGTCACCAAGTGGTTTGAAATACATTTTGATGGGATAGAACGACCGTTCGACCGCACTATTGTTAAATTTCGGGAATAATGTGCACATAGCAGCGGCGATTTCACAGGCGGGCAGCCGTATCCCTATCCACAAATACCTCATGAATATCTGGCCAGCTTACGGCAGCAGGACGTATGCGTTGGTGCTGATGCGTGTTCCTTGGACAGAACCCTAGAGCATATAGCGATTTGCTACGGATTTACGATAGTGAATTATTATCGAGAAAGAATATGAAATCATTTGTTTCAGTGGGAGTTTTCAGCAACCTTGTAAGTAGTGTTTCTTCAGGAAAATATACTGCGATCTTTCGAATATCGTTCCAGCTGAAGCACGGGACAGCCTTTATAGAGCATATTCATTTAAAAAATAGCAAAAGCAAGAGGCCCAGCTTAAATTTGTCTGAGGCAGCTAAATTTGGATGCGACCTAAATTTGGACGACCTGAAATACCACACGATCAAGGCTCGGATTCAGTATGCATTTGGGAATTAAGGAGCCCATGCCGGAACTATGGTTTGCATGAAATTTCCGTTAAAACCGCCATTTATTTAACACAATGGTATAGGTGTCTGCAACGAGACACAATGCTCAACAAAAACACACGCCATTCGCACGTTTGAATTGCAAGAAATTTATTCAAAATGGAATATTTTTGTATCACTTTTTCGTCAGAGTTGCGCATACTCAGTTCCAGTCCAAACGTACAACTTACGGTTACGTCCGACATACAACAAACATCTGATTAGATCTGCACCTACCTCCAGATGGTTAGCCGAATAACACGATCCATACAGACAAGTTTTATAGAAGAAAATCTTAGGTTCACAGCGTCCACAAACCTGTTTGGCAGTTTTTTTCGCACTATCCTCACAGTTCACTTCTACTGTAGAATCATCTCCAACGATTGTTTCATTAGTCAAATTACGTATCAGTGCCGAGGATCTAAGGTCTTCGAAGACTTCTTCCAGGCATGAGTGGCGTGAAGATTCGTCTGCTGATACCATGTAAACGCCACTCAGTCAGCAGCTTCCCTTTAGTGTTGGCCACAACGGCATGCGTTCGTGTGCCCCTGAGTGATTTATCCCCCTCTGGGTAGGAGAGTTTAATTTCTGTTCCGTCGGCCCAAACGATCAGTCCATCCTCGGCCTCTGACTGCATACCTTCTTCCCATTCGCTTGTTATCCACTGAGTTCATCATTCTCACACGCAGGATGTAATTTCCACAGTGTGAACAACCATTCAGTTGTCTGTCTCTTTTAGTCCATCAGGGACACGCCGTACCTTTCGAAAACCCAANACAGGGTCGAAAAGTGAGCGACTTCATGGTCGAAACTGTTGCTAACCCACCAGTAAGTTTGTCCGCGCCCTTTTCAGCAGGATTTCGAACCCTGTGTCATCCTGGAGGCTCCTTGGCCGCACAATGCCCCTATCTGCAAAACTTTTGCGAGTGGAATAAGACTTTTACGCCACAATGTTGCATTCTTTTGCGTATGTGAGCAAACCAAAAACCACCCTAATCTACCACCATGTTTTTGCAGCTCAGCAAATTTCATTCTCCACGGAAGCAATCATTCCTCTGTTGAAATCAGTCCATCCTCGGCCTCTGACTGCATACCTTCTTCCCATTCGCTTGTTATCCACTGAGTTCATCATTCTCACACGCAGGATGTAATTTCCACAGTGTGAACAACCATTCAGTTGTCTGTCTCTTTTAGTCCATCAGGGACACGCCGTACCTTTCGAAAACCCAATAATGTTGTGTGAATATCGAACACCGCCGTCCTGTGACTGCAACTCCAGTCCCTTGAACTCCCGCCCACTAAGCTGTTGCCTGCCCGTTCACGCTCAGTGGTGCCGCAATATTCTCCCCCCCCCCTTTTCTCCCGCCCTCAGACGTTCGATGAATCGGTCGTCGTATTTCGGCGGAACATCGGTCGAGGCACACGTCGATCCACCCCACGTTTGTCGTGATCCCGCAGTTGGTACGGTTACTTCCGTCGCCTTGCTTCGGAAAATAGGGGAGATGTGGCCAGCCAGATTGGTGGGAGCTGCATTTGTCATGTCGTGGCTAACCGGTCAACGAGACTGGCGCAGGCAGTTTCACGTCCACCAGTTAGGGCCTGAGTCACGCCGAGCCTAGTCTGATTTTTTTTAATATAGGCTTAACATTCGTGAGGTGACACAGTTGGCGTACAGGATCGTGCGGTCTTCCAATTTATTCGCTCCCATCCCGGCGTCGATATTAAAGCAGGGCCCAACCCCACCTCAAGTGAGGCGATCGCACGCACAACCGCCCAAGCCGTAGCAACCAGTCCATTTCCAGGGTCTGAAATCGTGCGCTAAGGCGCTGATCTGTCTAGCTCTTGTGGAGGCCCAGGTGTTGATTGAACGAAGCCTCATGCCTACCGGTCGCAGTGTGGCCTGAAACGGAATAGCTTCCTCAGTCCGGTCACCCATCGGTGCAGATGTCAGTGGCTGGAACTAAAACTGTTCACAGTGGGATTTTGTTGGACCTACTCACCGTGTTTACCCTAAAATTCGGACTGAAGTGCGTGTGACTTTCCGACCAATCGGAATATCGCATAGCCTGGTATTTCATTGGAAGAACTCTCGCCAAGTAATCGCCTACTCTACAGCACCGGTCAACTCCCGCTTACTGAGCTACTAACGCCTTCGGGGTGTCCCACGCTCGCCACTGGTCGTTTCCGATCGGTGAGGGTTCCAACTTCCTCACTGTCTTTAAACAACTGCGTTTTCTTGAAACGAAATTAGGAGGAAATAGGTTGGAGGAAAACAGAGGAAGTAGAAAACAAATGGGTGGGAGAAGTCGCGAATAGTCGGGTGATTATCGTTCATTCTATGCTCGACTTCGCACCATGGAGACAACTTCACGTTTCGGTTTACTGGAGCGGGTTCTAGAAAGCATTTCCTAAGGTTTTATGACAATTCCAACTTCCTCACTGTCTTTAAACAACTGCGTTTTCTTGAAACGAAATTAGGAGGAAAATAGGTTGGAGAAAACAGAGGAAGTAGAAAACAAATGGGTGGGAGAAGTCGCGAATAGTCGGGTGATTATCGTTCATTCTATGCTCGACTTCGCACCATGGAGACAACTTCACGTTTCGGTTTACTGGAGCGGGTTCTAGAAAGCATTTCCTAAGGTTTTATGACAATAAATAGACAAATCAGGATGACTGCTCTCACAAGAATGTCTGTGATATCTTCCCTGTAAAACAATTGTCAGCAGCCGATTTGAGGAGCACACGATTAGTTTTCTCGAATACATATCAACGCACACTTGGTACTTTACCGCTTTGCATCGATTTGGGTTAGAAGCAGATGTCTCTTGTGGCTCTCAATTCAATTTTTCAGTGAATGTTGCATTGATCTGTCCAAAGAATATCATAGTGACTGAGAGGTAAGTTGCCGGGAGAAATGCTGCGACAGTGGTGGGCGGTTCACAATCAATAACGATCAATAAACGTTAAGTTCCCCTTTTCCAATTGAATCGGAGAGTAAGTACGAAACGCACAATTACTGTCCTCTAAAAAACGCAGAGAATATGCGGAATCAATTAAGCACAGGTTTGAAGTAACTTGTTTCAAAATACTTATTTTGACAACTACTTTTATGGATCAAGATGGATGAGAATGGCAAGGGTTCCACATCCCGTTTTGTGTAACTCACAAGGTTGCTTAAAACTATTCGACAGTCCACGACTGGTTTTGCCCTAATTGGTGTGATTCAGCTGGGATTCAGCGTGAGTATGCAAGAGTGTATTAGTCGGATTTCATGCTATTTGGGCTCAAGTGGAACATAAGGTTGACGGGGGCTCGGGACTGCACCTATCTGATGAGACCCAAGACGGGGGCCAAACCGGACGTGGGTTGTCAAAGATTTTTCAGCAGCTTCATGAGTAGTTTCCTTTATAAAATTTCGGTGGTTCAGTTAAGGACTACAGTGATGCGCAAATCTAGGTGAATGAAGCTAGTAGTTAAAACAGGCTGACAATGTCACTAAAATGCATTCGGAGAATCGAGTGTCATTACAGGTTCGGTTTCACATGATTTTCGCATCGATGCCACCGATTTCCCAATTCCCTATCTCCACCAATGTTGTTGTCTCATTCTCTGTAGGACCAAATCCTCTCAAGAGCCAGTGTCAGAGCGGCATCCCTCGTGGTAAGTTTTTCATTACCGAATAGCTGTGATCTGTTCTACCATTCCCCGATAAATCTGTCAGTATTCATGAGTATCTTGCGCATTTCTACAGGAATTTTTGCAAAAATGGTTCCCGAATGTGCTCAGAGTAAGCCCGACAACCGAAGCGTTCACGTTCCCTAATTTCGCGTTTTTCTATTCGAACTGTTTGCTTATTGAGTAGCATTGTTTACTTGCAGATGGAACAACCAAGGATCGAGGAATTGGATTTGTTGGTGGCTGAGATCAAACTGAAGCAACTGTTGTGGAATTCACTAGAAGACTGGGATGAAATCTACGAGCAATGGCTCACAGCCGACTTCTTGAAACTGGATACAGACGAGCTGTCGGCCACAATCCAAAAGTACATCAAGTCTGTCACAATGTTGGAAAAAGGTCTGCCACCAAACAATGTTGTACCGTTGCTGAAAGCAAAGGTGGACGGTATGAAATCCAAGGTAAGTTAGTTAGCCAGTCAAGTCAACTTCCCAACTGTGATCGGTGTACTAAGATGTTTTCGAGCACATGAGCGATTACTCATGAACCTGAGAACATGTCAACAGATGTACAACTGTGAGCATCATCTCTATGCCTTTCGTTACTTTGTCTTGAATAGAGTCTATCACTAGTTCACCAACCCTGTTGTTTAACTCTGCTTTCAAACGTAGTCAGTAGTAGTGATGCAAGATAGCACATACTAATAACTACTAAAAGATACGAGGAATCAATTCATTACTTTCATGGTGATTGCTTAATTAAGAGGACTTCTCAAAATGCTCGAAAATAGCTGTCTGGAATTCATTGTTGTATGCATTCACATCTCCAGCTTCCATCGATTATGGATATGCGAAATCCGACCTTACAACCTCGACACTGGCAAAAACTGGAAGAGCTCATTGGATTCCATCTAGCCGAGATGGAAACCCCTCTGAGTCTAGGACTTCTGATCGAACTGGATGCATTCAGTCATGCAGAAGCTATTCTCGAAGTATCCAGTCAGGCGAGTTCTGAAGCAAGCCTCGAAAAGTTGCTCAAATATCTCGTCTACGGAGAGTTGCGTTCGTTCTTGCAGCGTTGTGTCCGCCAGTAAGAGTCTTCTCGCTAATTCCACAGCGTCCGCTTTAGGGACGTTGGTATACATCGAATTGGTGTATCCGTGGATCAGATGAGTTGCCTGCTGGAAGAGAGGTCACACCTCTCGGAAGGCCAGATCATTCTTCCTAATACGTAGTCTCTCAGGGGAGTTTTTTATCCCGATTTACAGCCGCGTTTGAAAGGAATGATAAGTTAAGTGCACAGAAATTCACCAAGAACGTCCTACTTTCCCCTGATCCCTCGGATAATGTATTGTCCACCAGTTGATCTTGGATCGGCGAATAATGTGCCTGTAAAGTGCCCATGGGAATCACACCGTATGGGTGACCAAATTAGCCATCTTTCTCATTGGTAATTGGGAAACTGTCTTTGGCACATAACCGAATGCTGAATGGTGTGCATCTGCCCCTTAACCATCAACTTCCGAGATTAACATGGGCTGTGAGCCACTCAACCATTCATTGTCAGATTCAAAGTATGGCAAGCGAATCAGTGCTGTATGAGCCTCAATAAGATTAACTACGACTCAGAATAAAGACTCAGGAAGAAGCACCCCCAGTACAAAGACCCACAAACGTTTTCCTTAGCTTTCTCATCTACTCAACCACGTGTGCATCGATGATGAAGCATGGGATTGACGGAACGATTTCCGAATGCTTCTTGGTGTTGCCTTAAATCAACCGACGAGTGTCCTAAAACTGTGCAGACCGCGGACTTGATTGCCCAACGTGCAACGCAGATAGCTTATGCCTCAACACATCTAATGTGCACAAAGATGAGAAACATCGATGTCCAACGAAGAATGAACAGGATTATAAATCATTGTCTGAAAACGAATAGACCGTTCGGGACTTCAGTGATGAAAACACATTTGAGTTGAACGGCTCTGATGGACCGACCTACTACTCGGATGGTGCACGAAAATTTGTATATCATATTCCAGTTCGCGGTGGTAGTCCTGAGATGATTCAGGATGCGACTTTCACAGGCAGACAAACACAGTCAACGATTCTGTAACTTGTACAGACAAGCGATTCGTACTCCAAAACGGTGGATAACTATGATGTGGTTAGTTATTTTTCAAAATCGAAGCCTTGTAATGACCAACTCAAATATTTTATAAATACAGAAGGAATTCCGGGGTACAATACTGAGAAGGGTTTATCCGGTGGAACTATTTCCAATCTTGTGCATAAAATAGTTGATCTAAAACCTCAGAAATCGGATGAATTTTAAAGCTGAAATGATACGAAATTTGACGAAAGGCACGACAAAAATATGTTCCAGTCGTAAATAATAAACACCGTTGATTTCTTCGATTAGCTGATCACCTGTCCACGATATCTCCGATAGAGCTTTCGAGATTTCGGGCATACTGCCGACCATAATTTGATTAGACTGCATCGAAGTCTGAACTCGAATAAGTGTCACGTGATGCAGTCGGTTCAGACATCCAGGAAAGCCAAGAAACATAAGATGTTTTTGATGGCGTATCCCAGATCATATGTATCTGCATCCTATGTTACTACTTGAAGCCTGAACTGCGAACCCGGCTGAAGGACAGACACCGAGTACCCATACCACCAAAAGTCTGATAACTGAGAGCACAATGTGTTGCAGTAACGCAAGCTATTTCTCCAGAACTGTTCGTTTCCCAACAAGAGTCCTTTGGATGGACAGTACATTCCGAGTGCTTAGTTACATAATTCCAAGTAAACCTTTACAGTGACTGGACGTGCACGAATAAAAGAATGAAGCGTTTGCATCCCCGGAGTGTTTTTATTACGGAATTCTACAGTTTGTTGTGTGTATCAGTATTAGCTTCTGGTTTACACTTGTAGCGCGAGGTACTGCAGCTAACAAAACGACTGCCTATGTCATTTGACGCATATCAGAATCACGCCATTCCCTCTCACCTTAAATTATCTACAAGCCATTCAATGCAGTGTGGCGAAGGCTTCTGTTACTTCCAAATTGGTTTCCTACCAACAATTTCCTAAGATGAGTATTTTGTCACAACGATCACTTTCTCTCGGTCACTGAGGTTTAACCTTGATTTGTGTTTTGGTGCATTCCCTGTGAGTTGAAAGCACGTACAAGGGCCATCTGGATCTAGCACAATAGGTTAGTTTAGCCACTTGCAAGTCACTTTCTAGTTTCATTTCCTATTCATATCTTTATTGTACACCGCCAGATACTCTGTTATGTGAATTTTCGAAAAAAGTTCACTGTATATCTCCATGTTTAGATGAACTGCATGTCAAGACGTACTGTTTGCTTTAAGGATAGAAGTTTCACAGGGTTTGTATATGGTACGCATCAGACAGGTTACAATCTAGGCAGACCGACTGCGTGCTATCAACCAAGCTTCAAACACTCTGTGTAGTTTCCCAGATGACTTTTTGGTGAAACGTTATACGAGAAGATACTTCTTGGTGTACCGAATCGCATACTTACTCGGTCGGTCAATTTTACTCTGGCGGAGTTGTTTCCCTAGCTGATCACAGTTTAGGAAATGCGAAATCCCTGGGTCGGGAGTTTGATCGTACGCCATTAGGATAGATGGGATTGGACACCGAAAGCTCAGCCACACGGTCCCTCTTGTGCTTCACGATTACGAAATAAACAGCTCACCAACGCACCAACACGCCCACCTGGGGCCAGTGCCAATGTCCGATAGCACATGGACGCATTTCACACTGGTGCAGTGTGCTCAAATGGTGTTTCTTTCATTATGTATACTATTCGTCTCTCTTGGTAGTTTTTTTGCCAAGATTTCAACACCTGTGGGACAACCTTCGTGAAACCATAAGTTGAAGTGCCACTTGGAGTTAGAAACCTATAAACGTGTTAATTGGGTCAGGTTGTGGAGGTCGTTCTTTTTTCTTTAAAGTTTTTGCGTAGCCTACTTCTTCCATGACGAATGCATCCTGCTTACTCTGTTAATTCAGGTTGAAGACGCCTGGAAGTCTACGGAATTCACTGTATTACCTTACAAGGATAGCAAGGACATATTCATTGTTGGTGGCACGGATGAGATTCAACAACTGTTCGATGATTCCATCATTAACATTGCAACCATCGCCTCTTCACGTCATGTGGGCCCAATAAAGGGCCGTGTGGAAGAATGGTCAGCGTTGCTCGACCTGTTTGGAAAAACCCTGGTATGTGTTCTCTTTGTTCGGTTCTAGTTTAGAATGGCGAATCGTCTGATATCCACTGCTGTACACCTGTGGATCTTCTGTACAAGTAGAAGTTGTGTGACGTACGCCTCTCGATCTCGTCCACTTCTTATACAGGAAGAATGGCTCATTTGTCAAAGAAGCTGGTTGTACCTGGAGAGCATATTCTCAGCTCCAGATATTCAAAGACAGCTGCCTAGCGAAGCTAAAAGTTTTATGGCTGTAGACAAATCGTACAAGGACGTCTTCCGCAAAGTTCAAAAGGTGCCTTTGGCAATGAGAGCCGCCACACAGCCAGGATTGTTGGACACATTCCGAAATAACAATCACTTCTGGAACCATGCGATTAGCAAACTTGAGTTCGCTCAAACTCCAGAAAGCAAGCCAGGCAAGTTGGTGGTTTTACTACTTGTTTTTTTCAACTTGCTGTGGGATATGCCTGAAGAAGCGTATGATTGATCATACCTATTCAACCGATAACTCCATACTGGTGCAAGGAGGTTCGCTGTTGACAGTTTCAGAGCAACAATGAGAATGTCAAATGTATTATAGTGGAAAAACAGAAAATTAAACATACAATGTTAGAAGAATTCAACCGAGTGTACATGAAAATAAGTATGATGGCTTTGTGGATGTTATTGAATGCTCAAATGTACTCTCTTTGTGCTCTTCTCTGTGGTGGTTTTGGCAATCCTTTATACTTTTAGTACCACGAATTCTAAATTAGTACGGCACATGGTCGTATGTGTGCCGACCTACTCATCGGAAACATCTTATCCAGGATGCCGCGTATGTATCCTAGCAGTCCCGAGCATCTCAGGTCAGTATGAACAATACCTCCTTTGTAGTCCTGTCCAAGAGTGTCGTCAGGAATATGGGGGTATTCGACGTCCTATCGGATGGATAGCACCTGACACCTATATATGCTCAGTGTGAGTAGGTTTTCAACAGTCCATTCCTGTACCCTCTTTAAGTGGAGTTGTAGCAGGACAAATTTTTTCGTGTTCGCATTGACAGCCTACCTTGCTGTTATTGACAAACAGCAAGCTGGGTGATTGAATCTGTGCTGGGAGAGGTTGCAATAGATTCTCTCGAAGGAACACTAATCATAAGGTTGTCGAAAACTCTTCTACAGTTCACGACCAAATCGGGGTACAACTGAGTGTAATTCGCAAATTTCGCACCAGTTGGGTTCAAGAACACACAAAGTTGATGGGGACTCAAAGACTGCGCCTAGCTGATAAGACCCAAGAAGGACGAAACCAGTCGTGGGCTGCAGAAGAGTTTTCAGTGACCCGATGAGTGGCGTTTCCTCCCAAAAGGCGAATGTCCCCTTACTCTAATAAAGTATGTTTTACTTTGGTTTCTCTGTCGGTGATAAACAATACCGCAGTGCTACGCTATCTTCATACCGAAGGTTGGTACTGCGAAAGTGGCCAAACAATTCACGAGGTTTCTTGCCGATTCTATTCTTTCACTTGTAGATGAGCCGGTCTACACAAACGATATACTAGCAATGTTGTCTCCAGAGGGAGAACGTGTGGCGCTGGGCAAAGTAAGTTCCTCCTGGGGTCTTCTAGAGAAAACCTCTAAATGAATCCTCTTGTAGAGGGATGAGGTTGGCCGTCTGGCTTGAAGCCAAATGTGCACAACAGTGATTCTAAGTAGGCCATCCTGAAACACCTGGCATTGAAAAGTGCATTTTCGATATGCAACAGGATTTTTTTTTCAAATTTTGGGTCGCCATTTTTTTCAGGGTTTGAAGGCTCGCGGAAATGTGGAAGACTGGCTGGGTAAAGTGGAAGAGGCGATGTTTGCAAACCTTAAACGCCTTATGAAAATTTCCATCAATAGTTTCGACAGTTCAGGTCGAGATGAATGGCTCAAGTCTCATGCGAATCAGATCATTCTCACTGTGGAGCAACTGATGTGGTGTCGCGATATTACTCATATTCTAGAGGACCCGTTTCCAGAGGACCGTCTGGAGGGGTTGGAAGAGTTTGAGAAGAAGTGTTTCGCGGTAAGTCCACCACCCGTTCGAATTATCTTTGGAGTGTATTGTTGCCATAGTTGCCACAGGTAACTACGCCGTTGGTCTCAGATTCAGTTCGTTTTAGACACAGCAAGGTGCAAAGTACTTTGAAGCGAATGCCATGGGGCCAGCTCGACCGGAAACAAATGATTTTTGGTAACTGCCGCCACAACCATGCTGAGGTCATCGCTAGGCCACCGTCAGTGGGCCCGAAATCACTTGCAGCGTACGATCATTCCACCTTGCGACATTTTTTCAAGGGAAGCCATGCCACTGAAAATGAAACAAAATGTTTTGTCTAAGAGTATAAAGCGATTCCAGGCTGTCATCAAACTTAGATCCACCCACAAGTTACTGGAAGAACGGGGTTTATTGACTGACTTTTTTTTAAGAAAACATGCTTTCTGTACAAGACTTTGTTGAATAGGGACAAGCGCCGGCAGGTTGTTCACCTAGCTGCTTCCGTTCGTCTGATCAGTGTGTACGAATCGGTAAAACGTTCTGGTGTTACTCTGCAGATTCCCTGTGGTCCCGTTCTTGGAAAGTTATGAAATAAACGTGGTGATCTCTCGTTCGACGGCGCTCAAAAATGGACTATTACGTTGTATGATAATCAGAAGCATTTCCTAGTGGAGAAATGTTGTTTTCGTAGAATCTTCCTCGTTGCGCTGCGAGAGATTTCTTCACTTCTTCCGAGAATTTAATTGTATCTATTCTTCACGTTGTTTACGCGATTTCTTTCATGGGATTTATGGATTTTCGGAAGGGTGGTTATCTGACGGACTACGATAACGGACCTGAATGAAAACCCGTTTGAGAGCTCGCATGGGGGTTGACCCAGGTGGTTGAAATATTAGTTTAGGGTTTTATCGCATCGGTTACTTAATCCCCTACAAATCTTGACATGTTCACCCATCGTTTTGTCCTACTTGCTTAGCTGATGGTATAAAACTAGGTATGTGAGAGTATGCATGTCAGACTCCGTCAGTGGTTCTGGAGGACGGCGGTCACAATCGTGACCCATTACTCATACTATCTCGAGAATTTTCGACCGCGATTCCCAAATCCAGGCGCCATTTCCACTTTGATGCGATAGACTGATTTGTTTTCCTACACTGCATCTTCCTACTACAGTCAGTCCTACGGGAAGCACACACGACAAAACGGGTTGGAAGGTTCACACATAGATTGTGATGACTCTTCGACTTACCATATTAGCATATATCAGAGGGCCAGGACTTCGTCACGAAAATGGAGAACGAGGAATTCGACAAACAGTCATTTGGTTCTAACAGAAGACTGAACCAAATCAAGTTAAAACTCTCGTTTACGATGGTCCGCTCCAACTGTGAATGAGCAGTAACAGGCTGCCTCGTGTTTCAGTTGGAACGATACTCGGGATGTCGTAATACGTTGTTGCCTAGACGTAACACACTACTTCTAAGGTTGCTGACAACTCTTCGACAGTTCACGACCAGTTCCGTCCTTCTTGAGGCTCATCAGGTAGGTGCAGTCCCCGAGCTTCCGTCAACCTTAGGTTCCACTGGAACCCATACTCTCATTTGCATATGAGTTCGGTCTTGACAGGAAGCTAAACTGAATTCAGCTGCATCTCGTTTATGATGGTCCGCCTCAAGAAGGGAGAAACCGTAATGTACTACTCATAAGGTTGCTGAAAATCCATCGACAGCCCACGACCGGTTTCGCCCTTCTTGGGGCTCATCAGGTAGGTGCAGGCCCCGAGTTTCCGTCAACCTTATGTTCTACTTGAAACCAAATTGCACGGAATTAGCGAATATACACTCATCTGCAAACTAATTTGGTTCTTTCGAGAGAATCACCTGGAACCCAGCTGAATCTCTCGTTTTTGATGTTCTCAGGCAACTGAATGTGCTGCACCAGGCCGCCTCAAGTTTCAGTCGCTACGATATTTGAAATATCGCGATAGTAGTACATTACCAAGATCTATATGTATCGCGATATTTCAAATATCGTAGCGACTGAAACATGAGGCGGCCTGGTGCAGCACATTCAGTTGCCTGAGAACAGCAAAAACGAGAGATTCAGCTGGGTTCCAGGTGAGTCTCTCGAAAGAACCAAATTAGTTTGCAGATGAGTGTATATTCGCTAGGGGAGAAACCGGTTGTGAGCTGTCGAAGAGTTTTCAGCAACCTAATGAGTAGCATGTTAGGTCTAGGAGTACAAAGATGCTTTGGACCTGCTCGTTTCTGATCATGGCAGACCTACTAAGCACACTACAAGTCAGCTTCCAGTACTTGGTCCCTTGATTTGGTAACTTCTAACAAGACTATTACTGAACAAAGCTAGACACTACATATTTGAATAATCAGGTGTGTACCACTGTTGGCGTTCAAATACCTCACTGACTTCGTAGTTCCAGGACCGTTTCTTCATTGGTACAGGATTTGAACCAACTGGCGGGAATGGTCCGTGGTGAACTGCCCAAATTGCTCCGATCTCTACTATGCGCCCTAATCACGATAGACGTACACGCACGTGACATGGTTACCGAACTGGTGGCTAGCAAAGTGGATTCCCTGACCAATTTCGACTGGCAACGTCAGCTACGCTACTACTGGGACCAGGACCAGGATATCTGCGTGGTGCGCATGGCAAGTGCCTGCTACTCTTACGGATACGAATATCTCGGGGCCTCACCGCGGCTGGTTATTACACCACTGACAGACAGGTAAGCTGCACATTTGGGTTCCATGATCAAGGACACGTTTGCTAAAGTAGAACATACTTCAAAACTTTATTTAGGATTCTTTTGCCAAGGAGATGCGATTTCCTGCTAGCGCGCCCAGGTGCTGAATACTCAGCATAGAAAGCCCAGGCAGGATCTTGTAGAGAGCGCCAAGATGGCTTTGCATATCGAACTGTTTTTTTTCTTCAGTAATTCCTCCGTACCACAACACAACCATGCGACTCATGAGCCTTCGTTTGGGTTTGTTCTATCACCTTGTGTATCACAGACGTAGTGCTGTTAGGCCAGTAGGTTTGAGGACAGAACGCAACGCTAATAGGGCTCACATACTGAATCTTTAATTTCTCGTGTGGCATCAAGAATGCTTTTGTATAACGTTTTTACACCAATACCCAGCACATTTTCGTGCAAACACTCAAAGTACCCTGGTCTATTTGTCAGGTGTTACCTCTGTCTTATGGGAGCATTACAACTGGATTTGGGGGGAGCGCCTGCAGGTCCTGCCGGGACAGGGAAGACAGAAACGACCAAGGACTTGTCCAAATCCGTGGCCAAACAATGTGTGGTTTTCAATTGTTCGGACGGGCTAGACTACAAAATGATGGGCCGCTTCTTCTCTGGTCTCGCTCAGTCCGGTGCGTGGTGTTGTTTTGACGAGTTCAACCGAATCGATATTGAAGTATTGTCGGTCATCGCGCAACAGCTGATCACAATTCGAAATGCAAAGGCATCAAAAGTGAGTGTATTCCGCGTTGATGATGCGGGTTTTCGGTCCCTCTCCATTGTAACAGGATAACTTTTGACTCTGACGAAGGACCCAACTTAGCAACGCTGGGGATGTTTAACCATATATACACGGCAATGTTCAAGTGTACTTTCAGCCTGTGGCCTGGTTTCCCACAAACTCACAGAAAGAACTCTCAACTTCAACTAAAATTAACTTGCTTCTAACAGTAAAGTGCTAGAATTCCGGGAACAGAAATCAAATGAGAGAATTTTTCACTTGTGGTTGATTTGAAGAAACAAAAAACAATCATAGATGTGGATTCGTGCCCAAGGTTAAACAGCCCACACCTTTATACGAGTATAAAACATCTACAGCTGTAAAAGCCATTTACCCATTACACAGTTCCTATAGCAACCACAGTTTTACGAGCCAGTAGCCTGGTGAGATTAAGGTAGATAGATACGCATTGGAGACGGGACTAGTTGTTATTGATGCGTGATCGATCACTTGGGAGATCGAGAGGGGAAGCCATACCCTGAAGGCAACAGCCTTCATTCACGCGCATCATTGATCGCGCTACTGGACCATGTTTGACAATGTTTTGTTTCCACTCTTCGTACGGGCCTTCTGAGGAAGTCGGTCGGCTGACTTACTGAGTACGGCTGAGTACCAAACCAGCGCAACCAATGCGTGGGATCGGTTCATCTATCGTCGGCGAGTTGTTTCTTCCGAAAACCACTCTGTATACTTCAGTATTGTTGATCTGGTGTTCCAACCAGACTCGGGCAATGCTCCGACGGCATCGGTGGTCAAACAATGAGAGTTGTTTGACGTCCTCAGCGCATCAAGGCCGGGTTTCTGACTCATACAACAATGTGGAGCTTGCCGCATCATTTTAAAGTCGACACGAGTGCAAGACTGCCACACACCGTCATTGGTTTAGCATGCACGCTGTGCAAACACCGCGGGACGGTGATGCTCCGACGGTAGAGGTTCATGGCAGTTTCTGTGAGCAGGAAGCAGTGAGAGGCCACATGAACCGAAATGACGGGCACTACCAGTCGCCCCGCTAGGTTGTTAACCTACTTAATAATCAAGAAAAATTCACTGGTACAACACAGTTGAAGAACGAATTATACCTCAGAAATACGCAAGATAATGATAAAAAAGTAATCAGTTTGCTTCAATAGCTTGGCACTGAAAGCTATTCAGTTTGACCGTCACAGGGGAACTAAAACGCATACTGAAAAAAAGATGTTTAAGCTTTTGTTTTTTTGCGAACAGGCAATTAAGCAAACAACCAACCATAGGGTGGAGAAGAACGATAGGTCATTTGAAGAGTACCCAGCATGATCGAGTTAGGGAACAAACATTCACTCTAGTTTAGCGGAGCATCTTGCAAAGCTGTTGTGTTTCATGCAGGAGTAGTTTTCCTCTATTCCCAACCGCAAGAGTTCTGCTGTGTTAGAACAGTTTTCACCACCAATTTGATGTTGGAAACATGGTTGGAAACATGGTTCATTTTCAGCAGAACTCACATGCAATACACGAGTAGTAAGTTCCACCAATATAATGTGCTATGGGCAACTGCAAAGAGTGAAACCAGTCGTTGTTTTACACCGTTTTGTATGGGACCATGAGAGTATCAAAGAAATTTCGTCTACAGGCATATAAAGTGTATGTCAAATTATTCACCCCACTGCAGAAATGGGCCGATTGCATAAGCGACTTATCCATGAAAGATTAGTCATTGATACCCACGATAAGTTTTGTCAAATTTCCACCAGAGTTGATTAAACTGCGAAGGCTACTGGATTTGTTGTAGAGGAGTGTGCCACAAAGCTTTTGCGAATTGTTCACTGGGCAGCACCCTTTCGGTGTTTAGTTGCCATGCCAGCACGAGGGCTGGGATACTGTAAGGTTGTAAAACCAAACAGAAATCATCAGTCGACTCCCAAAACTTTCTTTCAAGTATTTACAGGGATCCGCCATCATTACACACACTCTGTCTGACGACTGATCACAGTTCGTGTGTTCAGAAACGACGACTGTTCATGAAGTATTGCTCCCTTTCTATGTCTAGGTTTCTCGGTTCATGTTCGAAGGTCGTGAAATAAAGCTGGTCCCAACGTGTGCTGCGTTCATTACAATGAACCCTGGTTACGCGGGTCGGACAGAACTGCCAGATAATTTGAAGTCGCTCTTTCGTCCGATTTCTATGATGGTCCCAGATTACCGTAAGTATCCGCAGCATGTTTGAATGAATTGATGGTCTTCTCTTCGTCACTGAAACTACTTTCAAGCGATTCGGAGGACAGATCAAAGGATGCCACATCAGAAGAATTTATTCTAGAGTCCCGGAAACTTGTTTTCTGTGATTTAAAGATTCAGCTGAGACACCAAGAAAGTTTCGGAAGATTCAGCGGAAGTAGCATAGCTTTTTTCCAAAAGTAAACTGAATAGAATCGATTGGGAATGAAACAGCAAGTCCCAGATCATAGAGCAAAACGGAATAAGATTTAAGGGAAAGGATATTGCTTTGTGTGAAAGAGTAAAGTTGTCAAACTTTGCTTTCTGCTGGTACCATAGAGAAAGCTGGCGGTTCATTGGCGCGTCGTGACCGCGCCACCGACAGCTACCGATCGTTCGGCGCCGAGCCTATGCTTGATCATGGACGCCCACCGCTACGGTCGGCTTTCCGGCTGTCAAGACTCATTCACTCTGTCTGTCCCACGACTGAATGTACCATGCGCCCTGACGGCTGTGCCGATGTTCTGTTATGCCCGAAGGCCAGGAGCATTATGGTCTGTACTTGCCTGTCACATCCCAATCACGAGGACAGCGCACCGTCTGACTTTTCTTATGCGGTGATGGTGCGCTAGACTCAGGTGCGCAAGTGGAATAATGAGGCGTGCGGATTGGACGATCGGATAACTGAGTCAAGGGCTCGGTGTCAGAGCCGATGTGGTCTGAAGACGCATCACACACGCACATGGGTCGAGTGCCGCAGCCAATTAAATGGACTATAGGGGTTGCGTTATTTCTTACCCTCTTGCGCCAATCAGATCACCATATTTGTCACTGAACTCAGCGTCCAAAGTCACGTGAGCCGGGTGGGACCTTATCCCTCCGTTCGGCTCCTGCCGAACTTGCTTATAGCGGCACCTATGACGGAAGTGCATGCGCTCGGCCAACTCAGCACTGTTTTAGTCGAATAACGACAAAGCCTCCTGAGGACACTGCATTCAATTGCCGAAGTGAGTTTTGGCATGAGACTACTGTACACTCAGAGACTGCGACATGAATAAACAAGAGGTGGGACGGATGTGACCTTGTGTTTGGATATCACAGTGTTCAAACAACTCGCCTGTGTGAGGCCAAGGCTACCGGGTTGTCAGCGTAAACGACTGCACGTTCGTATGAGGGTGGCGAGTCTGAAGCAAAGGCCTGATTTTACCTTCGTGTCACGTGCGGCAGTCCACTGGTGACTTCCTATAGGTCAGTCGGTGCACAGCTGGTCGCAACGAATAGCCTCAGCTACAGAGACACTCATTGTCACTGCGACTGCGTGGAAGCAAGGCTAATTGGGGTGGGGTCGGGTGGGGTGTTATTGAGTGACTGCATTGTCACCGGATGCGAAGTCTTGCGACGGAGGGTTACGAAAGTATATGGCACACCTTATTTTGCTCTAATTGTTCAACAAATGGTGCGTGCGAAATATCCAACAAGACTCTTAGTCCATAAGCTCACTATGGAGTTTCAATCCTGACTGTGCATGACCGGTTGCGAACACTAATACTTTGGTACAGTACACAAGGTTTTATACATCACATGGTAGCGTTACTGTACTGTATCAAGCCCAAGCAGACTGTGGATTGTACGCACGGCACCGTTAGCTAAGCGACACTTATCACCCGCCTCTTGACCTTTTACGCGATATTGTCGCAGTGCCTAAGTTAAGCTCTCTATCTGCATAAACCAAAGCCGCGCTGGATTATCATAACCCTATTGAACTACGATGCACAATGGGCATACGACCACTGATCCAAGGCTTGGATGTCATACCTGGCCCGAAGAGTCATATGTGCGTTGATGCCTTTTTAGTGAAGGACTGTAACAGAACAGTGGAGACATATACTGGCCACCCACATCCATCTGTTGCAGGCACCTTATCTCCAGACTTCTCATCACTGAATGTTTGCTTCATATCAATCTGATTGTTTTATCTTTACCGTTGACATTCCACTAGACCGACCGGTGTCCGTAAAAGACACTTGACAAGTCCTGCTCCGTTACGCTTCTCCCACTGGATCAGTCACTTAGAGTATTTATTCATCCAACGGTGTTTCGCATACCAATATTAGTCGAGACTCGAACTGCAGTTCATTTGCGGCCATTTCGTAACAGGCAATGACAGAACTCCAATCCAACTCGAATCAGGTTGTGCACAAGCGTCCGATCTACAGAAAACAGTTTAAACAAGTAACGTTGAGCGATGGTTGACCTCGGATGGTTTCTCTCGAATACCTCTGGAATGCCAGAATTTACCGTTTTTTATGTAACTATGCGTATGCTACCGTAAGGGGTCTCTTTCCTTCTCGGTGCTTTTGAGGCGATACTCGGCAAGTGTGCATAGCTGATTGGCTCACAGCTACTCCCACGCTATTGGTTGGGGCAGAGCGGACAGCGTTCTGGGATAAGAGGTTTTGGGAGATAGAGGCTGGGAGGACGCCTTGAAACAGATGAAATCTTATGGGGTGGTAGATGAAGTGTGTTTATAGAGATCGGGGCTAAAGCGGGCTACCCATGAATAAATAAGTGGCATTATTAACAAGTGTAGACAAGAAAGTCAACCTTCCAAGTTGGTTCATAGATCGAAATCAACCATTCAAATTAATACTGTGTACTGTGTTGTACCTTTGCGGTTGGTAAACATTACGATGGGAGCACTACTCGGAATGACAGTCATTACTCATTATCTACTTCCAGGTCTTATCGCAGAGGTGATTCTCTATTCAGAAGGCTTTGAATCGTCAAAGACACTGGCCCTAAAAATGACACAAATGTACAAACTATGCAGTGAACAGCTTTCCCAACAAGACCATTACGATTTTGGCATGCGCGCGTTGAAGTCCGTATTAGTCATGGCTGGTTCGCTTAAACGACAGAATCCGGACAAACCGGAAGATGTGGTATTAATTCGTGCCCTGAGGGACAGCAATCTACCGAAATTTCTGAAACAGGATTCCGTTCTTTTCACAGTAAGTTTGTTGTCCAACCACATTCTTGCTTCGTTCCTTGATTGAATATCGTGCTTAAAATTGCCGCTTTCCTCATGTAGGCCATCTTGCAAGATCTGTTTCCAGGAGTCACTCTTCCGGAACACGACTACGGACGCTTTATGGCTGAAATCGAAGCAGTTCTCACAAAGATGGGTCTACAGGTTGTGCCTGCACAAGTGACCAAAGTAATTCAGTTCTATGAAACGCTTCTTGTAAGACATGGTGTCATGTTGGTTGGACCAACTGGAGGGGGAAAAACAACAGTTTATCGCGTCCTAATCAAGGTTCTGACCAATCTACACGAGGCTGGACTATCTTCAGAGGTACCGGAATACCAGCCAGTGAAGACATACGTATTGAATCCGAAAGCAATCACAATGGGTGAACTTTATGGAGAAGTGAACAAATTGACTTTGGAATGGCACGATGGTCTGTTGGCATCCGTGGTCCGCAAAACATGTGCCGTAAGTTGTGTAAACAGTCTCGTGTGAATAGCAAGAGTTTCGTGATACAAACTGCATGTTTCTTCGTCGGTAAGTGCGGCTGCAATAAGCATCACATAAGCTTCTTTGATTCAACGAATTGTCAGTTTCCTAACTGTTGCTAGGCCGCAGTGTTTTACACGTTACTAAAAGTTTAGGATTTTAATTTGGTGAAATACGTTTGTATGTTCATGTCTTGGACGTTAGAAGGAACACATACACTGCCCTGTAAGACGTGTAATACATACGGTTACAAATTTGGAGGCAAGGAACTGAGTTCTGCAGTTATCGACACAACTGCCGTCGCGGTGTGGTTGCCAACTTTCTCATTGACACAACTTGGAAGCTTCGTGATTCTCTCCAAATCCTGGGGAGGATTCACAAATACAGAAGGGGAAAGGCATCACGAACTGAAGCCCAGTAAGCAAGGCAGTTCATCAGTACTTACACTAACCAATAACAATCAGACTTCGTTAGACTGACAGGATCTGAGGGAAGTTCACACAATGAGACATCCCAGTTTTACTGGTCTAACGATTTATCATGCAAAACATGGCGGTAGTTCGGATCAATAAAAACTTGTGTGACTCGGGACAGGTGGTACTTAATGAATTACACGATAGATAGGGCATCATTCCGTAAGCCTATATGCTTGCAAGTAGCGATAAGTCTTTCGGAACTAAGATTCACGTTGAATCTATGCTGCATTATTTAAATTTAAAAAAGATCCACTCTGGAAATAAGGACCACCGGTTTCTCGGGAGCTCGGATTTCATGCCACAGTGAGACAAGCATTGAGTCAAACACAGTATAAAGAGAAACTGTAGAGATAATGACAGATAATGACCATGCGCCAGTCAGTTCGCACTCAGCCACTATGGTCCGGATCAGAAACATGAAAGTGGGGCTTTGTTTAGGTTTCCTACTTGGAACTGATGAAACAGATTATTCGTTTCTTATCTGCAGGATACCAGTGAAGACCATCAATGGGTCATCTGTGACGGTCCAGTGGATGCCCTGTGGATTGAGAACATGAACACTGTGTTAGACGATAACAAAATGTTATGTCTTGCCAATTCGGAACGGATCAAGTTGACCAACTACGTTCACATGCTATTCGAAGTACAAGATTTGGCTGTGGCTTCACCGGCCACGGTTAGCCGATGCGGTATGGTGTACGTCGACTCAGAGGAGCTCGGTTGGATGCCATACGTTAAGGTAAGTCCCATGTGATAAGTTGTTGATACAGTAATGGTTCGATTTTAGTCATTGTTAATTTATCACCAAAAAACCTTAGAACATACGGTCGATAGAAGCTGTGTTGGAGGACTTATTGGAACTGACTGGCAGTCTATAATCGGTTTCGTCCTTTTCGGGATACATCAAATAGGCGTCATACTATCGCGGGACTAGTGACCGACATTCTCGTGGTCTTTCATTTGCTCACGGAGCTCGGTTGGATGCCATACGTTAAGGTGAGACCCATATGATAAATTGTTGGTACAGTAATGGTTCGATTTAAATCATTGTTAATTTATCACTAAGAAGCCTTAGAACGTACGGCCAATAGAAGCTGTGTGGGAGGACTGACTGGAGCTGACTGGCAGCCTATCATCTGTTTCGTCCTCTTCGGGGTTCATCAGATAGGCGTCATACTATCACGTGACTGGTGACTGACACTCTCGAGGTCTTTCATTTGCTCATTTTACCGGAGTGCATTCCCTCAGTGTGGTAGCTTATTACGTTTGCCACAGGTTAACTGATACCTGCTGGCTTACCTGGTGTGACAAGACTGAACAAGTCTCATTCCGTCCACACCATGATAACGGAAACCCGGTAGTCTCGGTTGATCAGTGCAACCGGGTATGGACCGCTCAAATTACCTTCACTTCAGAAATTAACATTGCAGTGGCCACCACGCTCTCCCACGCCCTTGCATTCGGTTTGTTTGTGCATAACCAGCTTCCTAAATGCCCCGGATGCTCGGGACGTGTTTTCTGTCACGCTAGGTTCCGAAGCAGTGGTTCCCATTATTCCTGTCCTCATGCCCCATTTCAGTGTGTGGACATTCACTGACCACCACTCGATGTCATGTGACTCAGAGTGCACGTCGCAATATGAGGACAATCCTGGAAAACGGTCGATTTTTCTGTGTTCAGAGAACCCGGCTTTCGGATTACCAAGTTGGACGAAAAGGTCAGCAACTTTGTCTCGTCCACTTCGAGCAGGATGATGATGTTGGGGTTTCTAGAAGCCAGGAAAATGTTGGCGCTGGAAGCTTGCATCGCAGCTTAGTTTTGCCATCCATGGATTTTTTAAAAGTACTGATGCATATCCCCCTGGTTTAGACAGATAATCGGTAAGGCAACAAATACTAACAAAAATAGACTAACGTGAGCGTTGCGAGGTTCAAGCAACAAGTGTGAAAAACAGTATAACGAGAGCGTAAGGCTCCGAATATGTACTCCCTATCCCCGTTCAAAGTTCGAAACCCCAGGTAGTTGAAAATAACTGTTCTGAACGATCTGGAGTGAGTTATGTTACCTTATGTGATTTTAATTTTAGACGTGGCTCACTGGACTCCTGGACAAATTGACGTCACCGGTTGTGGATTACCTCATGAACTTATTCGTTAATTATGTAGACCCCTGTCTGGAGTTTGTCACAACACAGTGCACCGATGTCATTCCTCAGGTAAGGCCCATGAGCTTTTGAACTCTCCTTACTTTAAAGTTACTTTATAGCAGTCATTTGATCATCACTCTAACCTCATGTGATATATCTTAATTTTTTTGCGGACAATTTACAGATTGTTTGTTCCCCGGACTTGAGTAAATTCAAAATGTGCCTTCAGTATGAACTCAAAAATAATAAATGTATGGAACTTTAGCCTCGTTCTCTGACATTCCGATCACTCAAATCAATGTGGCTAAAGCTGATAAGTTTTCGCCTCAGGTACCCATCGCGAGAGTTCAGACAATGTGCAAACTACTCGAAGTCCTACTCACAAACCCGAACGCGCCTTCGATGACTCAGGAAAAGCACAAACTGAATCCGATTCTTGCCATGTCGTTTGTGTTCTCATTGATCTGGGGTCTGGCTGGTGGAACAATCGATGCCAACTGGGATCAGGTGGATGCGTTTGTCCGCAATGTCTTCGATGACGTTGGTGATGCCAGGGTGGGTCTTCGTGTGTTAATTATTGAAAAGTCGGTTTTGTCTTTACCATTACTCATCAATTTGACTTTTTTAGTATGAAGATATCTTCGAAACATGGATCGGCAAGCATGCTCGAGATAGCTCCGTGGTTGAAGCGCGAACTTACTGATAGGAAGGCCCAAGATTCGAACACAACCACAGGCATCTCGATTGCTCTTACGTAGGCTTGGGCAACCTGGCAGCATCTCAACCCATCTTGCTTTCTTCGGGTGGCATGGAAGCTGGGCACAGAGTGTTAGAGCTGAGCTATTTTCTAACACCGCTATATTTGGTTCCTCGGTGCACAACTCCCCCATTTGATGAAACCATTTAAGAGGTTCCCGTTTTTTGGGAAATTAGTTTTAGTGCAATACATCACCTCTTGAAGGAATAATCTACCAGAGTTGAACACAAGTTGAAAACTAGGTTCCGAAATGGCTGATTTGCGCTTCAAGTAAAATATGTGACGTTGGATACCTGCAACTGGCCGAAAGTACCGAAATCAATGGTACGGTTACCGTAATGTCCCATGATGGTAGCGGGTCTAATTAAATGAACCCGGGTTGATTGATAGTTTAACACAGTGACCGTTTTGATGATGTCAAAAAGTCGCTTTAGGGAATAGAGATAAAGGGTGGATAACTACAGGACAACTGGATAACTGCGTTCCCGAAGGTTTCATTGCAGGATTAAGTAGAATATTCCCTATACAAGTGTCTTTTTTGTTTCTGGTCGTTCTTTCTCATGCGTGATAAAATGCCGGAAGAAACTGGTGCGTGTAATGTTTGCTCCTCACGTTAGTGCCACTGTAGAAACAAGACGACACTAAAAGTGCTCTTCTACCTACCTGGCAAGTCGAGTGAGTTCACGGCCAAACATTACTATGTTTGATCTATGTTTTTCGTTTACCAGTAAAGCAGGCCCACAGTCTACTTGAGAGGATGAGAGAAAGACCGTTGTTCTTAACAGTTTAGTTGTTCCTTGACAAATTCCACTTATGTGAGGATGCTAGAAGTAACATTCAGTGAACGTCCTTACGCTGAGCAGGTCGCATAGTGACTGACGCAATTTGATAACATAAATCTGCGCTCTGTCTGATTCACCAGTACAACCCTGGTATGCACCTGTTATTCGATAGTATGGTTATTCTCACCCAGCCAGGCAATCATGAGCCCTCAGTTTAAGATACTGATGGCGTAAGAGCTCCCCGTGTTTGTTTCTCCCTAGTTTACATAGGTATTAAGACGATTACCCACACGACTCAACGGGAACGTATGTGACATCACTCATCTTCTACGGGTGCGAAAACGAATACCAGCCAGGCTGTATACAACTACTATGATGGAAGTGAAGCAAACTCCCGCAAAACCGAGTTTTTCCGTAAACCAAGCACGGAATTCGTCGGGCACTATGTTTATTAACCAGGCTTCTTTATAGAAGCCTCCTGTTTTGTTATCAGTTGAGAAGGGATTGTGCTTATTTCAATCGAATTTTTTTCTACTGGTATAGAATTATTTCAGTCAGCCCGAATTGTTACTTCAGTACATGGTTTCTATACTGTTTCGTCACAGTTCGATATTTGAGCAGAATTACCTTACCAGGAACTGATCTAATACGAGGTATCTGCTTGGTGCACACTGGCATCACTAGAGTTCTCAAATGGCAACTTCCGTCTTTGTTCACTAAGACAAAAAGCAGTGGCAGCTCGATGGGTGAGAGCTGCTACTTGCCTCACCCTTTTTTAGGTGGCGAAGGTGTCATTGCCTGGTTTTACTAGGCACTACCAACAATCTGTAAGTAGCTCAGTGGAAGAATAAACTTCACCCGATGAGTGAAACTTCCATCTGAGAGCTGGTTGCTCAAGAAGCCAGTCAGCATGTGTGACTAGGTGACGTGGATCCCGTGATTGAAGGATGAGTGGCGCCATATCCTATCCAAGTGCGAGTCAGTCACACTGCTGATCAGGCGCTCGTGGCCCAACTCCCTGGAGTCTTAGGTGAGATGCGCACTGCTGATGACTCCCAATAGGGATGAAACAGCTATACAGTGCCTCTCGGATTTTCAGCATTACAGGATGAAATATCCTAAAGCTTTACATGCTCGTTTCTTTCTCATTGTTGGATTGTCTGTATTGAAAACACTCTTGCATTCCTTCGAGTCAGGAACGTCTTCAAACTCAGGGAAAAACAGTGTTTCCAAGCGCCTGAAATGAAAAAAACACTATTAGCTGCGCATTTATGCTATCACAGAGCGTTCATTCGCCTCAACAGCGAAACTAACCAATACAACTAATTTGCTTCGGTTGAAACCGGAATATTTTTCCCGAAAGGGTTTACATTGAATTGAAAGGAAAACATTAGAGACCCACTCATACCACGACTATTCCTGTGCTTCTTTCCACAATCGGATAAAAGGGGTCTGGGGATAAATCTGACAAGTGCTACTAACTGACTTGTCGTTTCAAGCGGTTTTCTGACGGTATCCAATTCGTCCACTTTTTTGTTTAGCTTATTCTGGTCACATCACGTCGGCTTTGTCCACGTACTCAAGTCATTAGAAGCAAACCATTGTGTCAGACTGCGCTCATATGGAATTAATGCTGAAATCCGACACCAGTACATCTGTCCCTTTTTGGAGGGCCGAAGCTCCAGTCTCATTCTGATCAAAAGCCGCTCTCATTACTTTTCGCTATATGAGAACTCAACCAAAGTGGAAGTTAGACACGTAATACACTCGTTTGTACACCAGTTCGGTTCTGACAGGAGACTCATATGAATTCTAACCGAGTCTCTGGGATTCAGTTAGGTCTCCTGTCAAAATCTAATCAGTGTTTTTGGACGAGTGTATCCGTCGAATTTCGTGCACTGCGCCTACCTGATGAACCCCTAGAAGGGTGAAACTGATCGAAACTGTCGAGACGTTTTCAGTAACCTTAAGAGTAGTTCATTTCAACAAACCAGACACGTTTTTGCCAAGGTATAGTTATGTTTACATGGTCCGGACAACGCTTCCTCATTTGCCCATTGTATTAGCTCATGAAAGATGCACCTAAACAGCCATCCATTTGGTTCTCCTTATCTCTTGCAACACAAACCAAGTGTCCTGTTTTGCTTTCTTCCGCCCGTTTTGTAGCTACCCCAGCATGGGGACCTCTGGTCATGCTACGTGGATATGGACACAAGGCGCATGGATAGTTGGGAGAAAATGCTCGTGTCTTTCACCTACAAGAAGGAAATTCCATTCTTCGATATGATTGTCCCCACTGTCGACACTGTCCGATACGGTTACCTGCTTGACAAACTTTTGGAGGTCGATCAAAGTGTTTTGTTTACTGGATTAACAGGCGTCGGTAAGGTAAGCTTGAGTGCGGATCTGTAAAACGGGTAGACACAGGAATCAGGATGATGAGGCATTCCGACATAAGCAACTCCGTAAGGCATTAGTGTCAGGATTGCAGAACGAAACTGACTGTCTCTGTTTGTTGGTGCCTTATCACATCTCCAGAAAGTACGTGCAGGGCACACATCGAAGCCACACAAAAATCTGTCCTTTGGCGGTAGAACTCCTCCCCGGACGAACCTCCTTGGACTCTTGAAATCACTGAGCCTATGAAATACAGTTTTACACAGATGTAACGGACCGACATTTGACAAACTGATGTGTATGGAAAGAAGGAAGGCTTGTAATAGGTCTGTCATCTGATCTCCCATCAAGCCATCCCTATCTTAATGAAGGACCTAGTAAATCTCTACACGAATTCTCACTATACGGAAACAAAAAACGGACAGTCTGAGTTAACCAATCTTGTGACAGTTGTTTTGCTCACCTTGAATATTAGTCATCACCTTGGTTACAGAATTGAAATGCGTAACAAAAATAGGAAGCCTATATGTCAAATTATTGGTGGTTGATCAGATGGCTGTTGATCTGTTCGCCTAGCTTGGCAACCGACTTGTAGATGTTTCATCACAGTTCACAGAGACATCAGTAGTGCGCTGTTGCGTGGCAAGTTCCTCAGATCGTATTGCGCCTATGTAGTTTAAAAGGATCAGCTTTGGGCTGTAACTTGTTTGGCCGTTTATGATAATCTTGCTTGACTGGTCCGTTCTTGGTCTCTGTTGCGCCGTGGTCTGCGTTTCCTGCGTCGGGTTGGTCCACTAAACACTCCTTGTGGTTGGTTTCTCCTGTTCGGATTAGTGATTCGCATATCGGAGTTATAAAGAAACGTTCTAAACGCGCTGTAAACGGATATTCACAAACATAAACAATTTACTCCTTATTCGCTTGGACCATTCAACCTAAAAACAGTGGGCAAGTACTGGTTACTGAATAATAGTAGTTACTCGCCACCACTGAGCGGAACAACCAGATCACCAATCCTTAGCCAATTTGACGTGAATGGTTTAGGAAAAACAATCGGATCTGAATATGAGGGAAGCAAACAGAAGTGCATGAACATGCCAATCAACAATTCTCGCTTTGTCAGGATGTAGAATGCTTACTGGTATTATTTCAACATGTCGAAGGCGTGGAAAAATTGTCGAACAAGGGACTTGCGAGCGTTAGCGTTCATCAACAATCTAGGACATTACGACTGTTCTGACTAGATACAATCTTTTCATCGTTATATATCCAGTTACTGGGAGGGCGCTGGTTATAAACATCTTTTACTGCCAGACTCAAAACCTACAAGACGAACAAGACGAACCTTATGAGGCAGCGTTACTCACCTGAGGACAGACCAGAAGGATCAACACAAGATGAGAGTTAAGGGTTGGTCAAACAAACCTGATTTTCACACATCCATCTGCGTCAATGAGAAAAAAAGTTGTGTTCACCTACTCAGATTAACAGCCTTTATATTTCGACCCACGTCTACTACCGCTATATAGGCATCCCTAGGCAAATAATACAAAAATGTCGCATGAATAAGCTTTTTCCTGTCTTTGTCTACTGTCATGGTTAAATTGAGCATTTCAGTTTACAAACTCCGGTTTTCTCAGGTTATAATTCATCCGTTAGCCGGATAAATCGGTAGGTTGAGCTCTCATTACACGAACTCATGAAATTAAAACGAGGAAGAAGAATTGAGCCATACTTTTCCTAGACTTTAGGAGTTTTTCGAATTACTTGATTTTGACAGTTGGGCTGCTGAAAAGAATCTGATTCTCAAATCCGCAGTCATGGAATCAGATCGCAGCTACGTTACTGTCTTTCGGCTACTGGTCGCGAGTTACACGAAACGCTAAGTCAACCGTTACTCATTATTATCGAGTTTTCCTCCAGTTGCATGAAAATGTACTTTGTGATGTGCCCGTGTGATGTGAATGATCCCACATGTTCGCAAGAATTTTGAGGCTTCTGATGATCAAACCGCATGTAGCTTTAATTCTACAGAAATCTAATGAGCGTCGCACTGTATAATTGAGCCCTTTCTCTTCTTTCGTCAGTCTGTCGTGGCACGTGGCACACTGAACAACATTGCAGCCGCGCGCAATTATGTCCCGACCTTCCTCAACTTTTCTGCGCAGACCAGCAGCAATAGGACACAGGAGATAATCGAGAGTAAATTGGAGAAACGCAAGAAGGGCATTCGTGGAGCACCAAAAGACAAACGAGTGATTCTGTTTGTCGATGATTTGAACATGCCAAGATTAGACACTTACGGAAGTCAACCACCAATAGAACTGTTGCGTCAGCTAAAAGACTTTGGTGGATTCTACGATAGGGACAAGCTGGAATGGATTACAATACAGGATGTGACGTTGTCGGCGGCTTGCGGACCTCCAGGTGGTGGCAGGAATCCAGTCACACCTAGGCTAATTAGACATTTCTCGGTGTTCACAATTCCTCCACCTTCGGAAGTCAACTTAAAACAGATATTCTCAACCATTCTTAAAGTAAGCCATTGTATTTTGGGATTTTTGCTTCAGTTTCTCGCGAAGTCGGAGGTATTTGTGGGTCATTGGATGCAGCTGGAAAAATGGGAACATCCATTGTAAAGCAGAGCATGGAATGTCGCATAAGAGATGGGTTCCGAACATTCATACACAGCGTAGTCACAAGTCGTAGCAAAATAAAGTTGTACTGATGGTCACAAACATGGTTGTGAAACGCCTTCTTGATATAGTGCAAGATGCACTACTAAGGTTACCTAGTCCTCTTGGTTTTTCTGCGCCATAGCTGAATTTGAAAAGTCCAAATTTTCAAGGGTTCTCCACTGAATTTATGCTTTGTTGATGAACTTTGATGTTGAACTTTCGTCGACGGCCTGTTCATCACCGATGCTTTGATGCCGTACGACAAATGATTTATTTGAAGGCTCATTGTGAAGAAGAGAATAAAAGTGGATGGGAAGTGGACTTAATGTTAGATTAACACAATCATCCCGACAAGCCTACCCCTCCAGACACTCATTCAGGTAATTTGAATTTGATGTGATAGCATCAATTAGCTACCACATCTCACAGCGTCTCTAACCATACATGTGTCACATCTGCTGATTCGCCAATCTGTGGTATCTGCTGCTGACCCGCTCCAGTGCCTAGTTGCTGGAAAAAAGACAGAAGAGAACACAACAGCTTTGCTCCGAACAAGCGAGTGCGAGTGCGAGTGTGAATGTACAACGGTCTCAAGCCATTTATTGGAGGGACATTGAACTTGGTCTAATGCTGAGGCACGCGGCCTGGCCTTGGTACGAGGCTGCGACGCGCTGCATATTGTGGGGGTTTTGTCTGACACTGTCTCTCGCCCTGTCTGGGTTCGATACAGGGCTGTGAAGCGCTGCATACTGAGGGGGCATTGCCTGTCTGGTCAGCATCTAGCGGAGCAGAGGATCTCGGTAGATTTCGGGATTCAGTGGTTGCTCTCAGGAATGGGACGTTCCTGATAACTCTCTCCTAAAGCTCTATTCTATACGAGAAACACCATCAGTGTCAGTCCAAACTAAGCGGAAAATCAGAAACTTTCAAGGTAGGTGATATCTTTCATTCGTCATCAGGAGGGGACGGCGTTTTGTGTACTGTCCGTACGAGAACATCGGTAGTGCAATCGGTCCCGTCCCTCTACTCTCTACAACAGATATGGAGTTTTAGGCAGCACGTTTTTTTTTCTATTTTGGCTTTGGCTACCGTGAATTCCCTTCTGTTTTTCCCCAACCAACCCACTAGCGAACTGAACGATATGGATGGTCTGGGTCGTACTTTCATCATCACCATCTTTTACCCGTGATTCTGCTAGATACGGCATTTTACTGACCCGTGTGGCTTTTTGAAAGTTCATTTGCATAAGATATACTGGATTCACATAGAAACTGATCACCTATTCTTGGGAGAAGGAAAAGTCCTTTCTAAGTTTTCAGTTCTGCTCTTCTTCACTTTGTCCTAATTCCAACCTGCCAGTCACACAGACTGGTCTGTAATTGGTAGAAGAACATAAGGTTGACGGAAACTCGGGGACTGTGCCTACCTGATGAGGCCCAAGAAAGGCGAAACCGGTCGTGGGCTGTCGAAGAGTTTTCAGCAACCTTGTGAGTAGTTCCCTTTATGGTGTATGTTTAATTTACACGCAGTGGATTCTAACATTAGACTTCATCTTGATTTCAGGGATTTCTACGGGAATTCCCTCAAGGCGTTCGGGGAGCAGTGGACGCTATCATAGGTGCTGCGGTTGAAATCTACGTTCGGATGGGTAAAGAACTGCTGCCCACTCCAGCCAAATCACATTACGTTTTCAACCTCCGGGATTTGTCAAAGTGTGTGCAAGGTGAGTACATATAGTGAACGTCTTTGGTAATGCGCATCAGACGATATTGACAAGACCGATCGCAGGACTCATTACGCTTAGATTTCTCTCGTCAGTGACGGACATTTTCTCTTTATTCGCGTTTCTTATTCAAAAATAGGTTGACTGTGGAGAAAATCGGAATGGCTCCGCCAGTTCATTCACTAGGTTCATTAACAGCCATGTTTTTGAGGCTTGTTTTCAGCTCTATCGACCCATTTTCTTGTACTGAAGAGAAGCTCCATTGTCGCCGCCTTGTGCTTACTTCAGATGCGCTGGTTACTAGTTTCTCTATCACTGGCATCATCGTCACCATCGTCAGAGACGGCAACTTCACCGTTGACGCTGACGCTACACTGTCGTACAACCACAAAGTTTATTAAGTTTCGCTTAAAGCTTCAAAGTAGAAATAATAGAAAAAATGAGTTAGATAGGGGTTTGGTGCTAGCCAAGCATTCTGAGACGCCTACGCATTCAGGCCCTCAGTCGTACTACCTCAGAATAAACTGACAGCACGAACGCCACTGATATTAATCAGGTACCATTTCTTCCAAAGTTCCTAGCCAAGTGCGTGGGAGTGGATACGAGGACCCCACTCTGCAAGGAGGACCGCGCCAACAAGACCTAGACTCTTAGTGATCTCTTTCACACCCTTCTTTTGAGTCGTGTGTTGTCCACTTTGCACCATTCCGAAGGATGCAAGAAGATCAGCGATACTTGCCTTGGTAGACTATGTTCCGGCACTGGCATCGCGAGACAGATGTTTCACACTGAATGATTGTGACGGCACACATTTCATCCCTGAATTTTGTATCTCTCAACACGTTGATTGTTGTGCTGTATTGCACGTATTCCGAAAAAAATCCGACACTGGGCCATCATCAACTCATATGGGCCTTCGAGGTGGCCGGGCTGGTATATCTGTACAAGACATAACACCGTTAACCCGAATCGGTCTGATTCGGATATCTGGAAGGTATACCCGAAAGCTTAGGAAGTTACAAATACTACAGGATTATCCCTCCCTCCCCCAGAATAATCCTTACAAAGTCATTTTTCTGAGGATTTTCTTTCATAAAGCATTTTCTCGCCACTGTGCTCATTTTTATATCTCATTGAAGTGACTGTACGTAACAATGGTTCATACGAGGCATCTTTCTCCTCTCAAAGTGGTCCAACCAGCCTATCAGCCATAAACCATGCACGGATGGCACACATGTTCTAGCTGCCACCTACTGAAGCCAAGTTTAGTTTGAAACCAGAGGTTTAAATTTATGGTTGCAAAGACGTTGAGACAAGTCCAAACCAAGCAGCTAATAAAATGGAGCTCATTGGAGACCAACTTGGCACTAAATTATATTATAGTAGTTCGCGGCTTCGTTCTATAACTTGAGAAGTGGCAGCCAACCGAGTCGGCTTCCAAGTAGCAAGCTTTTTAAATTCTAAAGTTTCTTTCCATATCATGAGAACAACGAAGGTGGCGAGCAAATTTTGTTTTCTGTGACTGATACATCACGAATTTACGTGATGCCGGAAATCACTGGCGAAGGTTGTGTGGGATCCTGTATACATACTTTTAATGTAAGAAAAAGAGGAATAGAGGGAGAGGAAGTAAATGAAAGGTACACAGGTCACTGGGTTACGGAACCACGAGAGTGATATCAATATCAGTTAAGTTTGAGGGCCCGGATTTGTCACTAACCAGAGGTCGCTCACGTCTTTTCTGGACGGAGTTCAGTTCAAATTGCCTCTTAGTCTGATAACAGTCTAGATTGTACCAGCCGTGATCGTTTCAGAGGTACCCGGTGTATGACATCTTTGTCGCTTGGCCAATCTCAGACAACCAGGTTTGTTCGCTACCTTCATTCTTCAGACGACTTCCATGGGTATCTTCGAACCTCCTAATGTCGTTGGTTCTGGAACGACACGTGTGCAGCTTAACGGGCGCGGACTGTTAGCCGATAGGAAGATGCCCATGTGAGCGAAACGCACTCAGTTGCATACAAATTTGGTTTTGCGAGAGACTCACCTGGAACCCAGCTGAACCTCTCGTTTGTGATGTTTCCAGACAACTGAATGTGCTGCACCAGGCCGCCTCATGTTTCAGTTGCCCATGTGAGGCTCAAACCCGGGCCAACAGAATGATAGTCAACCATCCTGAACATAGGTGTACTTGCTAAATTGTAATGTCTATTTCAAACCGCGTTATAAATAGCTGTCCAGCAGCTTCCAGCTCATCATGATTTAAGTAAGGTGGTATTCAATCTCTTTCATATTTCACTGATCTCCCAGGTATCCTACAAGCGGACCCAACTGTTATTCGCGACAAGAACGCAATCACACGGTTGTTTCTTCATGAATCTCTCAGAGTATTCCATGACCGTCTCATCAGTCAGGAGGACAAAATTTTCTTCTATGAAATGTTGGTCGAGATGGCTGGAAAATACTTTGGTGAAGTAAGCCATCAGACGTAATCTAACTTTTATCTAATTCATCCTCACATTCAGATAGGAGTGTGTTGGTTCTTCTAAGAAAGGGGGCACACTGAGGGATAATTGTTGATCCTTTTCTAGTCAACGATGAAAAGAATTGTTTCTAACGTGAGAGCACACTGTGCTTGAACGTATTCGCAGGTGTCGGGGGGCGAGTACCGGGAAGTGTCTTCGGCGCTTTGACCCGAAAGTCATACAAGTACACTGACACAAATCGCATCACACGAAATTCGATGCATCCGTTGTCGCTCTCTATGCCTTTGCTATTATCCGGACACACTGGTATGAAGTCGTCCTGTTTTGTACGTTCCAAGTTCCGAGCGAATGGAAGGTTCGTCGTCACATTCATATTTGAAAAAGAAATATTTTTCAATTTTCTGACTTTTAAGAAGCTATTCACAGTAACAGAAGAAAATGGTAGAATTATGAAAGGAGTTGGAAAACCGAGATAAGCAAACCGACCATATCAGGAGTTGACCATTAGTTCAACTTTCAGTGATACGATGACGTTTCTGAATGAAATTTAAGTACACTTTACAGAATATTCGTCCAATTTGGAAGACACCATCTGCTAATGTGTAAAAGATACTTTTCAGTTCCCTCATAATGTGCTGTTGTGTGAACACTGTGGTGCAACACATCTGAAAACAACGTGGCCTCAAACCAAGACAAAATCGGCCAAAATCTTTTGCAAAGCAGTCTTACTGATACGGACGAAGATCCCGGATGTTCAAGAATCTTCGAAGTTATTAGACAGAGAGATTGACGTGTCTCTTCAGGGGGGCACAATATTTTTGCATGAGTGGTTTATATCAAGCGGTTCTTGTGACTACGTGAGATCATCCGTTGAACGTCAGAGTATTAGTGGTGATGTGCGTGAAGAAAGTGCACTTGAAGTCGGTGATTTTTAAATGGACAAAAACCCTATTCGGCGTTGTTGTAAGTCATGCTCAAATATATTACGTGAAGTATCAGTTCCTTCAATAGCGACATTAGCTAATATACACTCCCACACATTTCTCCTGCGCGATAGTTACATCTGGGAGTTTTTTCTACTCCTAGATCATCAGAGTGTGATTGGTCTTCATCGTTTTCCACGGTTGGTTCCTCCTGCAGAATGATGTAGATCAGCGACAAAGATATTCAACCCTTCGATTTGATAGATTAGATAGAGTAGTGTTTCTGCACAGTGTCGGTTCGATTGCATGTCATTGTACTGTAATCGGTTGTTGCGCTCAACGGAATTCCTGTGATAGAACACTTTTTTTGGCGCCTTGATCTTGGGCCAATGCATCCCACTCTATTTTTCAGGATATGGAAGTGGAGAGCTTTTCAAAGACACCAATACTTTTCGGGGACTTCCTCAAACCCGGCCTGCCCCGATCTGAACGTTTGTATGAAGAACTGACAAGCACTGAGAAGGCCCGAACTCTTCTAAATGAGGTGAGAGCCTTGGTACACAACGGTGGTCGTTTGTTGCTTGTCGTATCGCGTGTGCTTAATATCGTGACTTGGGTGTTGTGTGTGGAATATACCGATATTGTTAACAGAAGGAACATCAATACGTATTCGATCCTGATTCTGGAGCAGGTTCATTGTTTTCGGAACTTTTTGCTTATCCGCTTTACCAGATCCAGAAACGTGTAGGAATCCTAGAGTATGGCGCCTTTTGCCTGTGATCATTCGCTGTCCTAACCTCAGTGCATGTCTGCATGTTTCATGTGTCAGCAGTAAGGGAGCATCGGGAATGATGGTTCTGGCTCCATCGTATATTAAATCTCCTCCGCAGGCCACCTCAGCCACCCTTCCCTACTAAGGGCATTGCACTCTGGTCCTGTGAATTTGGCTTGAAATTCATACGTTCTGAATGTTTATTTACAAATTCCAAAGAGACCGCTTTAAATGTGTCGACTGCCTGAAATTTCGTCTGAATAAACGCCAAAGTGCAAAATTAGTGAACCGTGCTTCTACGCACTCTGATACCAGCTAGGCATCTGACCACTGGCCCAAGGATAATTAATAATCTTTCTTTTGTGACCGGTCACAATCCATCCAATGAATGAATGGAAAGAGACCAAACATGGTGAGCTCCTGTAGGTGGTAAATTTTGAGAGGACCACCGTACCACACTTTCTTGCTTTTTCTCGAAAAATCGCGCTGTTTCGAACGTTTGTCTATTTTGAAGAATACAGTTGTACATTTGAGCCACCTGGACCGAAAGTGCCTTCTTCTGTGAGTTAGTCTCTTTCGGGAGAGAACCAGGTAATGGTTTCCTCTTATGGGTGATCTCTCCGAACAATATTCTTTCCACAGGGAATATACTGTATCTCGAAATAAATTAGCAAACCCCGTTTAGACATCATGTCCACAAATGCAGTTTTGAGCCATCTGGACCGAAAGTGCTTTCTTCTGTGAGTTAGTCTCTTTCGGGAGAGAACCAGGTAATGGTTTCCTCTTATGGGTGATCTCTCCGAACGATATTCTTTCCATAGGGAATATACTGTATCTCGAAATACATTAGCAAACCCCGTTTAGACATCATGTCCACAAATGCAGTAAGTTCCCTCGGCTAACCGCTAACACGTTTCGTCTTTCAGAGTAAAACATCTTGTGCTATCCGTATGAAAATTTACCCGCCCCATCTACTCCGTTGTTGATGAAACTCTGTTTGTAGTTAGGTTTCTGAGAGAGACCGATGCTTCTCGGTTGACAAGCAATTCTCAGCCTAGTTATATGAGACTGAAGGTGAGATATTTTCGGGGAGTAAGAAGATGGAATTGATTTGGAATGGTAGCCAAAAACATGTACGCCCAAGTCTGCAAGACTTATTTATGTATGATGGATGTGATGAAGATGGTCTTCTAGGAGACATCTTATCAAGCTCGTGAATAAAATGGAAGTGATAAATTTTGTATGAGAGTAACCTGTTCGAAATGGACAAAGTAAAGGATCATGACTGCAGCTTCCGGAGACTGCGCTTAGACTGGACTCAAAACGACAATGTCGCTTGGTGAAGTCGTACCGTGAACTTTGGTACCATCAATTTCTAACGTTCAGCATAATTGGATACACCTAATGCGGTTTTAGGGTCTGTGATATCAAACCATCTGATATCAGCAGTGGACCCCAAGTTTTATTTCCAAGCTTTCGGAATGAACGGCATTCCAGAAGAGTCCAGGACTGGTCAAAATCTCTAAGCGGTCTCCCCAGAGCATGACAGATACTTGGGACAGGTTGATTTCAGCTGGCTTAAAGTCGGTGCCGTCTGGACAATCAGGAAGCTTTACCCAGATTCAGTCGTCTTCCAATATAGAGGGTCCTTTTGTGATAACTTTAAAGCTGTTTTCTTGATGATTGGGCCTGCGCGCATCATTTCTTGGGGCTTGCGCCGCAAGCATGCATATAACCACTGGAACAAATCAAAATGTCTGTGTCCGGATGTATTCTGTAGTCCGCTCTACTCCACTTTAACAAAACCGCCTTGCATTAAGGGCGTGTCAACAGGATGAACTCCTTCTCTTGTGAAAATATGTGCAACACTCTTCTAACCTCTGATGCTTGTGGAAGAGAAAATAACTGCAATGGAATTGGGAACGAGTTTGAGCCTCAACAAGAATCTCTGATGTAATTTCAGTTCGAGTTTTTAACGTGGTGACTTCCTAATGAAACTACCCTGGTTTTTACAGTTGAACTCGTTTTCATACCGTACTGAACTGGCTTCAGTGTCCCCCTGCATTAGTATCGAAGTTCGAGCCACATGTACTGTTATTTAATAGTACGCTTGATAGAATATGTCTTCCAAAGGAAACCATCTAGGCCACTTCACATGAGGGAACTTTTCTCAGGCAGTGTGTCCCTGGAGATAACTCTAGCTAGAACATTCTGTTAGTTTAAATTGACTTTGTAATTTTGCATTCTTGAGTAAACCCACTCCATCTGAAAGTTAGATTAACTGGGAAGCGATTGCTGTAGAAATTCACATACTGTCTGAACCCGCGACTTCGCAAATCAGATCACTCACCCGATATCCGCACAAGAAACCAAGGGAGGCCAACAATTTTTACCTCTTCAATGCTACAAGGTCATTATGATTGATAAAAAACATCTAAACCGCAAAGTTGATGGTTAATGACGCCTCTGGCAGTCTTGGCCTCACGATGTCTTTGTGTCAAAAGCGAAACGTTGCCCAAATAAAAACTACCGATTGTTTGCCCATCTCTTGAAACGATGCACTCAGAGCAGTCATAGGCCCGATTGCAACAGTAAAGTTTTTCAACTCATTACCGTCGGAACGAATTCCATTTCATCTACAGCTCAGGTGAACTTTTGGAAGACTGTAATTGTTCTCGGTTGATGATAACTCAAGACCTGTTGTTCATCGATCTTCTCATTCCACACAGTATCTGGACGAATACAACTTTTCAATGAGCAAAGAAATGAAATTGGTATTCTTCGTGGATGCAATCGAACACGTTTGCCGTATTGCCAGAATGATTCGGCAAGACAGAGGAAATGCACTGCTCGTCGGGGTTGGCGGGACTGGAAAACAATCTCTTACCAAGTAAGCCCGAAGAACAGTTTTTGGTTGACTCAATCTGCGTCGGCCTGCGTCGTATTACGTCAGTTACGATATTTCTGATTTGGAAAATAAATTTTAAAAAACTTGGCAGCATATGATTGGTTTCTCCCTGACTGGGATCTATCGTGTAAGCACACTTTCCGGGTACTGAAGCGGTCCTCCAATCAACCAATGATGGTCTGTGTAATTCGAAAGGACTACGTTCGTGCGGTTGATGAAACTGACCATCTTTTGTTGTTATATTTCGTTCAACTATTTCTATGCCTTCTGGAGTCAGTAGTCTCTCCCAAGCACAAATCCTGCCGGTCTATTGTTTGTAGAAGAGAATGAACCATGCATCAAAACAGGACCGTGATATTATCACATTTTACAGGCATGTGATAAGTTCATAGACAGATGAACCAATCACTCAAAGTGACCATGTGAATAGATTTCACATGGCCTGTAATTTTTTTTGATTTTCCTCAGGTTTATCAGGATCTCGTCGACCCAGTGGGTAAGATCCGCGGGTTTCTCTCAGACCTATTAGTTGCGTGTTTTCATCTAAGACACACTGACCACGCCCACATTCCCCCGATTTGTCAGGTAAACGCATCTCTAGCCTAATTTGCAGTCTCTTCGACTAGGACTATCACAACCGCTTTCAGTTACCAGCTCAATTTTTCAACAAAGCTCAAAAGCTGTGGACTTTAGTGCACCCATGCCAGGTGCTAACTGGTGTGCTTAGTGCTCCAAATAAGCGCGCTCCGTAAGTCGACCTTGATATGTGCACTCTCCATCTTGTGGTGAACCACCCTGCTCTCGAACCATTCGTTTACCAGGGCTTGCTCGAAAGGCATTTTCCCGAAAAAGTAAAGCAGCTAACCAGTTGTAAATTGACTGCTTGAGAACCCAAAGATCTTGAACTTAAAGGACTCTTACAGAGTCAGTGTCAGTACACAACTACTTTTGATCAAAACGGGTTTTTCTATGCAGTCAGTGCAAAAATCATCACGTGTTCCTGGATATGGGCGTGTATCCTCACAGTTCTTGTCAAAGGACCACAATGGTTCAAATCTGGAAAGTTAGAAAACCCACTTAAATCTTTCACTTGTGGCACACGTTTTTCTGGAGAAAGCGATATGGGCGTGTATCCTCACAGTTCTTGTCAAAGGACCACAATGGTTCAAATCTGGAAAGTTAGAAAACCCACTTAAATCTTTCACTTGTGGCACACGTTTTTCAAACCTGGAGAAAGCATCAGAATAGGAGAGTGCCAATTACCAATATACACGCAGGAACAACCGAACTATGGATCTATGGATGGTCAGTAGTATGCACGTTAAGATATTGATTATTTTGAGCCTGTTTACTGGGAGAATACATGGATGTTTTGCAGTCGATATTGAGGTGGCTCTAAATTTTCCAGTAGTTTGCATACCTGTTTATTGTAAGAAATATGGTTGACTGAACACAGCGGCCTTCGGCAACCAACACGCAATTTATAGTTACTAAAGTGTTTGTGAGTATTTATAAGCCGTCTGGTTACCTGAAACGGAATTCCGTGTACCGTTCATGAATGCCAAATCACTTTTTAGAAGACCATTAAAGTTCATGCTACTCGTTCTCTATAAAACTCATAAGACATCAGCCTATTGTTGCCTTCCACAATCCCCAGAAGTTGACGGTTGTTAACTGGTAGACCATGTGAGCTTTTTCATTCATCTACGCCCCCTGCCTCTTTCATTGTATGTCCATAGACTTGCTGCATATATCAACGACTACCAGTGCTTCCAGATCGAGCTCACTCGTGGTTACGATTACCAAGCATTCCACGAGGATCTCAAAAAGCTGTATTTTTGGGCTGGTGTGGAAAACAAACCAACAGTGTTCCTGTTTACAGACACGCAGATTGTAGTCGAGGAATTCTTGGAAGATATCAACAACATTCTGAATTCTGGTGAGGTACCCAATCTGTTTGAGAACGAAGAGTACGAGCGTCTTATAATTGGATGCCGCCCAGCGGCGAAAGAAGTTGGTATACCCGAGGGAAATCGGGATGCTATTTTCGATTTCTGTATTAATCGGGTGCGAAATAATTTGCACGTAGTGCTTTGTATGTCACCGGTTGGGTCGAACTTCCGTGTCCGCTGTCGCATGTTCCCCTCATTGGTCAACTGTTGCACCATCGACTGGTTCGTCGAATGGCCAGAGGATGCGTTGTACGGCGTGGCTCTGTCCAGCTTCGAACATGTGGATCTCGGATCGCCTGAGGTCAAGGTTAGTACCAACCGACTACCGTTTTACTATTTCTGTTTTCTCGTAAGTCAAGCCTACCGTGAAAGGTTTGTGTATCACAGTTATTAGGAGGAAAAAACTAGGGATAATACACTGTTGAAAACATTGTTATTCGGAGAACAGGGACATGTGTGTCACTTGTTTCGCTTCAGAGCATTTTCCTGAAGGATCCTTAGCGTAGTACTGTAATTCTAGGTAAACCACTGTCCAGGGAGTCCAGTTGAGTCAGCGGGGGAGAATTTGATGGTTTTCATAAGTTTATTCGTTAACTTCCCCATTTGTCATTTGCAGTCAACTCCAGTGCTCATAGACAAGGCTGGTCAAACAAGCCGGCATTCTTAAAACATGTCCTAAACATCGTCGTTTGTGTTCTGTTGAAACCGTATTCATATTCCACCAAACACTGGTGGTTCTTTGCTTGCATGCTTAATCATGATTTACAGGCATCGGTTATCAGACACAGTCATCCTGCTAGTGGTTTCTACTCATAGAGCTCATGTTTTATACCCACAAAGAATCACGGCAAATACTGAATCTCTGGAAACTTTGAGAGAGAGAGCCACAGATTGGTAGGTTTGGCTGGAAACTTTGAGAGAGAGAGCCACAGATTGCGTAGGTTTGGCAACTCCACTAAAAACTTTTTTATGCGACTAGTTATTTCCTTCTTTAGGCGAGCAGTGTTGAAGAAACATATTGAATGCACGTATCACTCGACCAACTTGAGTAACATTCTATCGAGAGAGAAAAGCAGGGAAAAGGGAAGCCTGAAAGGGAAAAAGTACTAACACTGCACACATTCTTGAGTGTGAACTCAATCCAAAGCAGAGGTTGTATGCTTGTCAAGGGAATTTTGGGTCACACTCACATAATCATAAGCCCCTAATACATCCTCCATATGAGCCTCAAACCGGGTTCTCAGCTAGCAGCATCAAGAGTAGAAGTACCAGCCATTTTCCAGAGAGCGCCATCGATGGCAAGGTTTAATAGGAACGGAGATATCGGACAGTCTTTAAAGAGATACCGGCAAGTAAGGTGGTTAGGTGGACATTTGAGCATGCCCAGCTGTAGAGGTCCTTCAGGATTTCAGCACGTTTTTTGGGGTACCCAATAGTTTGGAGGTTTCCGTAAGGGAAAGCAATTTCGATATCGATAAAGACCAGCAGAGTCAGTAGAATAGTTGTATAAACGGTATCGGCTCCGACAGCATCCTCCTTGATCTCTATGAATGACTCGCTCGCGTACAGCGCTTAGTCGATGAAGCATAAACAATGTCACTATCTAAATACCAGGGTAATGAGCATGATGATATAGTAGTTACTGCAACTGGTTCACTGTTCTTTCGTGCGGAAAGAAATGATTATAGAGGTATCGCAATCAGTGGGCATACTCACTGCCGGAGAATTATTTCAATATGATCTATCTGTGCTTGTGGTTTGTTGGGAAATGGAGAGCACCAAGTAGCAGTTTGACAAAACTGTGCTTGAACTTAGTGCTAGTCAGTTGTCCACATCTTCTTGAACCACATGTTCTCCATTGCACCACGTTGAATGCTGGCAGAATATCGGCCTCCTAGACCGCCTTCATCACGTTCGGTCCAACCAGTTTGAACGTTCATATCTCCCCCATACGTGGCTATGTCCATTCAATTGGAAATGACATCATCTACCATGAACTGAAGACTGACATCACCTGAGACGTCGGCGGGGGTGAGACCTTTGATCAAAACGTTTGTTGTTTGAATGCATCTTTGGGTTCCATAGTGCACAGCGTAGGACTTGCTGGCCTATAGTCAAACAAAGCAGATTCTGCAGAGGAACTAAGTACAATTCAAAAATCCTTCTATCCCAGGGGTTCAAGTTGGACGTGAGGTGTGAGGATGGTTAGATGTGGCGAATGGGGGAAATGCATTGTGTACTTTTTTCATGTCTTGGTTTCTGGCCTATAAAAATAGCGTGACTAAGTTTTAGGATTTCTAAGGTTCGAGGGAATCTCACTGGTCGGACGGACTGTAAAATCTCACATCAAAGGCTCTCAGTACGAATGATGATCTGTCTGATGTTTTGAGGAATTCTCCATTAATCCTATTTGATGAACCGGCTGTCTTGCCAGCACAGCGGGAGGGCTAACAATGGAATTCCGGTATGAACTGGTGCAATTCAAAGTATGCTTCCAGAGAGTAGCCTAGCCACTTTTACCGCATGGGCAAGTTACGTCTTGTTTACCTTCATCGAGGAGGAGGCTGGAATCAGGAATCCCAGTTCAGGGTCTGCTCAGAGAAATTCGACACTAAGAGCAAGATCATTAGGCAATAATGTTGGAATCTTCTGACAGCCGGCAACTGAGTTCATGCTCAGTTGCTTTTTGGAAAGAGTTCAGGTACAAACAGAGTGATGGGATAAACTGGCGGGCAAAAGTTTGTACTCTGAACCAGTGCTTGGGACGAACCTTTTAGAGGTACTAGCGGCTTGACAGTGGGGCAGTACTATTTCCCAAGGGTTCGCGGGAACAGAACCAGATGACATAAGTCGATTGAATTCAACAAGTAACAAGACTTTGGACACCATTCATGAAGACCAAACGCGTCCCCGGTTTCATGGCATGGAAAGCCAGACGTCAGACTCCACTAAAGACAGGTAGGTGGCTGTTGATCTGTTCGCCGAGCTTGGCAATTGGCTTGCAAACGTTTCGTCAGCAGACGAAGAGACATCATCAGTGCCCAGTTAGGTGCGCAATGGGGATATCTCTGAGCAATAGGTGTATTTTGGCCAAGCTCTGTCGTTTAAGTTTTTGAGACCGAAGTAGAAATGTGAAGAACAGGCGCAACAAAACACATTACCCCATGGTTTGATGTTGCAATATTCTTGTCGGATATTTCCGCCCAATGGATATTCTGTAGATCTGGTTTCAGATTTCGAACCGTTATTCCTCATCAACTCACCGATGCCTGTGCGGTAAAACCTTCCCTGACTTTTCACTCTGACGATTTCGCTGCAGGAATGTGTTGCAAGACTGTCCACGGAAATTCATCTCAGCGTTTCGGAGGCGGCCGATCGTTTCTATCTTGAGCTGAAGCGACCTTATTACACCACGCCAACGAGCTACTTGGAGCTGTTGAATCTCTACTTGTCTATGTTGGCCACCAAAACAAAGTAAGTGGCACCTCAAACTGTCTTTGTAGATGTGAGTTTTCATTGTCGGTCATGCGGTCTGATCAGGACTTGATAAAATGCGTTTGACTGAACCATAGTTTCATCAAAATCATCCTTTGTCTCAGTTGATTAATTGAGTCTATCATAAAATTCGCCTGACATTCCATCAACAACACTGAAGAAAGCAGAAGAGCTGTAATTCCTGGGAAGGTTTGAGTCAACGCCGAATTCGAGGAGAAGCTTTTCGTGGTCCAGCATTGTTTTGCATTTTACCAGAAATAGCACTTCATGAATCCTTTTCTAGCAATACGTCGATTGGATAAGATAGCAGAAAGACGTTCTGTAGAATGCAGGAATTTCGAATAATCTCGCCAGCATCTGCCTTGTCATTTGGGTGTGTGAGCAGCAGTAACAGTTCAACGGCTCAATAGAACAGTCACTTGATCGTCAGCTTGGTAATGTGACCCTGGGACGTCATATCTTTTAAACACATAAGATTAGCTGTTGACGTTTGCCCAATAACAATTCTATGAAATGAGATTCCGACGTCCATAGATCACAGTCATACTCCTAGGGAACGTGGCTCAACAGCTTTCAGAAGATATGCGGCAATTATGTCCCGAAAGGAAGTTTAAATTATCCAGTATGGAGTTGTCTCAATCATGGTATGAAATCAGAAGCATTCCGCAGTCAACATCACAGGAACATCTTCGAATCCTACGAGGACCTCTGTACTGTCGATGTGGTCCAACTTCTAGAATTGCATTCATCCTACAGGTGTCCATCCATACTACCAGTGTTATTTGGACAAACGGGGATGTCTTACCACGCTTCTGATATTGCACTACGTCTTCAATGCTGTACGTTATTATTTTCTGTTATTTTCTGTGTTAAAGCGGATGTTGACATATCGCACTCACCTATGGCTAATGTTCGCGACAAGCCAGCATATCCGATTGCATCCGTTTGTATAGCTTTAATCACTCTATTCGTAAAATTTTGCATGTGCCAGAGAAACGTGACGGAGTCCAATGTGATATACAAGTTTGCCGCAATGGTTATCCACACAGCAGACTAGTTTTTTTGGTTTACTGTTCGCATCCCTCTCGTGTTATTTTGGCACAAATATTCTGTCGAATCTACAACCAATCGACTAAAGTTTTAAGCATGGCGCTACCTGACTGGGAAGGCCTGGCAGGCATGTTAACCGATCGGCAACCAGGACAGTTACTAGGTCGTCTTTCGATGCGCCTAGCAAACTAATCATATTACTTAAGCGTGAACACGTTCGCCTGTCCAAACGTGAAAATTCATATGTAACCAGCGTGCGCTGGTGCGATAGCTGTAGCAAGCTCTCCTCGGATATCAGATTTGCGGAGTTCGAACCCTAGCACTGTTAAGGATTTATATGAACTGCTGATGAGTTCTCACTAGGGCGAAACTCGGGTCCAGTGCCTTGGTGTGTAATTACGACAGGACGGGATGTGAACGTGAATACTGGAAATACCGCAACCATCTACTGGTTTTTTCATTATGGCAGTATGTATGGCGCCCGTTTCTGGTCTTGCCGTGCAGTGAAGTGATCACAATGACGTCTCTCGAGAAGGAGGTTTACTAAGACCAGCCTGATGATGGCTCTCGTCCACAGATAGGAAAGATAAAGTAGGGGTGACCCGGACAAAAGGTTTCAGTGGACGTCTCTCGAGAAGGAGGTTTACTAAGACTAGCCTGATGACGGCTCTCGTCCACAGATAGGAATGATAAAGTACGGGTGACCCGGAATAAAGGTTTCAGTGAGACTATCACGACGCTGCGACCAGGATGCTGCATGATCCCGTTTACATGGGACGACGTTTTGAGCCCGCAATTCGAACATATTGGTTTCAACATAACCAAGCCACATTTGGAGCGGCCGACTGGTGGGCGTCCCACATTTTCAAAGCCAACTATGGCAAGGAAACACTTCCATGCAACGGTGTTACTTGTGTCACTTAGGGTTTCTCTCCCTATCGGGCGATGGCTAGGGACTGAATTTTCAATCCCTCTGGGTTATTTGTGTATGTTTCGGGGTTCAGACAACGAACCATCCAGCGATGTCCACTTTTTTTCTGTGGTCGAACAACAATCTACTACGGGGGTCAATGTTCTGTTCCTTCTGTTCTACCAAATACTTACTTATAACTTCCTCTCCCCACTCTTTCACGCCCTCAAAAGAGAGCTAAGTGAGCTGCGCAATAAATTCCGAAATGGTTTGGACAAAATCCTCGAGACAAACGAACTGGTGGTTAGTATGGAAGTCGAACTGACTGCGATGCGACCCACGTTGGAGGTGAAACAACGCGATACGGAAAAACTGATGCACAAGTTGGGTGAAGATCAGGAGCAGGTGAGTTGTTTAGTGGATGAATACACAAGATGTGTTCCGGTCCGGAACTAAGCTCATTCTAAGCCTTAGTGTCCTTGCACCGAAGAAGCCTTCTAACGTATCACGAAACTGGATCCCCTCTCCTGCGTCCACGGGGTGGATTCCGTAAAGTGCGCACAATAATGTGATTAACTATTGTCTGTCTGACCCTGTCTGTGTTCTCTTATCTCAGAGAAAAGTGCTCCTTATGGACAGAGAGGTTGTCTTATGATATATAATCTTCGATTTTACTTTCAATCAAGCTTGATGAGTTTCGTGGCGCGTTTTCCAACCATCCGCGGTCCTGAATTTAATCTTCGATTTTACTTTCAATCAAGCTTGGTGAGTCTCGTGGCGCGTTGTATAGCGCATTTTCTAACCATCCGCGGTCCTGAATTCAGTTTAGTTCAACCGCCCCAACTCATTTCACCTGATTTGTAATTCAACCGAAATTGTTCTATCGGTGGTTCACTGTCCGCAGTTCTGACATCATGGCTTCCAAGGCAACTTGGATGAATCTTTGGAGTATCTCTCTCAAACAAACCCTCACCATGAGGTGGTGTACAGAAGACCAGCTAGACATCAAGAATAATTTTGAATTTGGCTTGCTTCTTTGCTGAGTCCAGCGATGAGTGGGATTGTCATGAAATACTTGGTATGTGTCACGCTAAGATTGTGCGAAATGCAACTTTGACGTGGTAGCTCTCATCTGCCTCGAGCTACAACTGTGAGGAAAGGATGGGTGTCTACCTTTGTAGCGTCCTTTACTACGAAAGGAGGAGTTCCAAGTTTTTCAGTGATCAACATCATGCGTACGGCTTCTAGTTTGTGGATGTTCTCCCACTTTGTGAACAATGTATCTGACAGCCTAGAAGTTTCCGAGGCTTTGACGTTACTCCGTTCTACGCTTCCATAAGAAGTAATGCGTTCCTAATGCTATAACTATCATTCAATAGGGCTAATTCAAGGTATTTTGCCCCGGAAGGCTTAATAAAGGAATTGAAACTGACATTATTTGGAGGGTACTCTCCTATGGGGAGGCATTTGCTCAAAGGAGGAGAACAGTACCTCCATGTCATTAAGTGTACATACTTTCCTACCGCGATGGCAAAAATAGCGAGGTTTCCATGTGTCCAGACAGCATCTGATAGTGTTTTAGGACCAGCGGGCTGACTATAGAGAAACAAACACCATTAGACTTTTAGAAACTTTCAGAACGTTATTCGCCTAGTTTATTAAAAAGGTTCTCGCTATCACCGTCGATGTGGTTAACTTACATGTCTAAAATATCTACGGAAAGAAGAGTTGTAATAGCCTTCATGAGGACCTCTACGCCGTCTTTCTGGGAGCACCGGAGCCCGAACACGTGACACTTCCATGTAGTGTGTACTGACTAGCCCACAGAGCCAGTGGAATTTTATCGGGACCAGATACTTCGTTCTACTTAAGTTCAAGGGATTACTGGTTAATCTTCCACTCAGTCGCCGTTTCTTGACAAACTGACCACGATGCGTAATGTATGGTTTGGTAGCGATATCTTTTGCGGCTGACTCAACAACTCCGGAGGTTGTCTGTGGGCGTATCACCAACGCTTTATCGTTTGGCTCCCACTGCATGTATACGTTGGAGGTGCGTCTGCGAACTTAACGTTGTGCTCATACCACCAAAGTTTACCGTCTACCCCCAGCTGAATGTGCTGCACACAGGCCGCCTCATGATTCAGTTGGCACGATATTCGAGATATCGCAGTATATTTTCATGAAGGAAACTACTCACAAGGTTGCTGAAAACTCTTCGAGTAGTTTCCTTTATGAAAATATACTGCGATATCTCGAATATCGTGCCAACTGAATCATGAGGCGGCCTGTGTGCAGCACATTCAGCTGGAGGACATCATAAACCAGAGATTCAATTGAGTCTCCCGTGAAAACCAAATTGATTTGCAAATGAGTGTATTTCTCGAAAACAGTGCAATTTGGGTTCAAGTAGATCATGAGGTTGACGAAACTCGGGGGCTGGGCCTACCTGATGAACCCCAAGAAGGGCGAAACCGGTCGTGGACTGTCGAAGAGTTTTCAGCAACCTTGTGAGTAGTTTCCTTTACCGTCTACCCTTATGCTCTTCTTAATTACCGACTTAAGGCTAATTTTGCATCGTCGTGAGCTTCATGCACTTGTAATTCAACATGCACTTCGAGGTGAATTATCACACATTCGATACGTTTTGTCTTGTCTGGTGTGACTGAAACTAGCTAATTAAGCAGGATGGATGGCGAGTCTAAACCATACCTATGGTGATTGAAAATTGGTGGGTAACACACAAAAAGAGGCAGGATAAGCAGAAAGCTTGTTCTGATAGGCATGAATCACCAACGTTTCAGTCGTTTCTTTGGGTCTAGCACAGTTCCTCAGGTCCAGTGAATCACAACGGATATTTTGCCGATACAGCACACGGTCGAACTTAGTACAGGTCAATCTTTCTATCAGCGACTGACGGTCACATTACAGATTTCAGTCCGTGTCTATATTGCTGACGAAGAGTGGATATCTATAAAGCCGGAAGTCGGTACGAGCGATACACAGGCTATGTTGTAAGCATAAGCTGTGAAACATGTCTGTTGTACATTCGGACAGTGCTTTAGAAGTATTGTAATCCTAAACGGACCTCGTGAATCGTTACTCGCACTGTGTGTGCATTTACGTCTACGATTACAACCGAGATATATGACTCTGGTGCCCGGCGAATTAGCTCTTGCAGACAATGAGGGGATTCCCCTTCATACACCCTACACCCAGTAAACGCAGTAGGTCGCGTTTTATCTACTTTGCTTGACCCCTCAAGTCTAACAGCTCGTCACTGACTGGATGTTAGAATATCGTCAGACTGGACAGTCCGAGTGTTTGCTAGAAGCAATACCTGTTTTTCCCAGTCCCCGTGAAAGCAACATCTCCAGAAAAGCGCAGATAAAATTGTCACAGAACTGAACGCAGGAATCACAGCTTTTACCCAAATTGCTTAAGGATCATGTTAAACTGGTCCATTTTTCTAAGCGCATTATTAATGTAGGGGATACGCAGACGAAAACGTTTAACAGCAAGTATTAGAAGGGGTCATGGGTGTGCGTTGCTTAGGTAGAGGACTCGGGTGCAACCAGAACTTCCCAGCCAAGCAGCATACCGGACGCTTGAAATTTGCTGGGAAATTTTTTGAAAGAGTCTCATATCGCTCCATCAAATATGTTTTATTTGTGCGAAAGCTTTGTTGTGGCGTGCGTGCATACGCAGAAAAGAGTGCAATAACACTCAAGTTTGAATTTTGTCAATTGAAAAAGTACCTTAGTATGATTTCAGTATGCTTTCAATGCTCTCTTGTCCTACGTCACTTTTTTCCAGGCCGACATTGTCCGCACTCGGGTTAAAGAAGATGAGGCGATAGCTAAACAGAAGGCCCAGGAAACGCAAGCTATCGCTGACGATGCTCAGCGTGACCTCGATGAAGCTGTGCCCGCCTTGGAGGCTGCCAACAAGGCACTTGACTCGTTGGATAAGAACGACATATCTGAGATAAGAGTGTTCACAAAACCCCCACAATTGGTTCAAACTGTCATGGAAGCTGTTTGTCTAATGCTTGGTCAGAAGTAAGTCCGATGTTTCCCATGGGTCGATAAAATGGATCAATAAAATTGTGAATTGGATGACATCTGCAGTAAAAAAATCGTTCAGCTGTAACACCCTTCCGGTGCCCAGCTGTCATGTCATCCGAAGAAAGCACGAGGGCTGAGATATTCCCAGGTTGCCCAAGCTTAGACAGGGGAAGTCAAGGGGAAGAGGTCGGGTTCAAACCACGAACCTTCCGGTCAATAAATTCGCCTTCTAACCACTTGAACCATCTTGTTCATTAGCTGTACCAACACGTAGATTAATCAACTGATCCCCTAAGAGTCCTACACCGTTGAAACCTGACAAAAAGTTTGCTTGCAAACTGGGTGGAATTCGGATAATTTTGTTTGGCAGTGCATTTGGAAACAAATACTCTTTTGTCCTTCAGAACGGAATCGTTTTCGACTGAAAGAAACAAAAGTATCCCGTCTGTTCTAGTAGACTACAGACCCGCGTAGAGGTAGAACAAAAGACCGGTTTTATGTCGGCCTGGTGGCCACCTGTGTGTGAGAAGTAATGCGGAAATTGTGCTGTCTATGAACGCTTTTGCTGACACCCTTTAAGTATAGTACTTCGGGAAAGACTACCTTCCCTGAAGGCTATCCCACCGTGACCAACGTCGATTGAGTTGTAGACAAACTAGCTTAATTTCCATACCTAGTGACCTTTAACCCGGCGCACCAAACGGTGCGACATAGGTTCAGAATTATATATATAAATATATATATAATAATTCTGTGCACTGTTCCTTGTTTCCTCTGCATTTCAGACCAGACTGGGCAACCGCAAAGTCACTACTTGGTGATTCCAACTTTTTGCGCCGCCTGGTTGAGTATCCAAAGGATGAAATCTCAGACGCCTTGTTGAAGAAACTGAAGAAATACATAGATAATCCTGATTTCGTACCGGAAGTCGTCGAGAAAACCAGCAAAGCCTGCAAGTCCATGTGTATGTGGGTTCGGGCGCTTGATCTCTATGCACGACTGTTTCGCTTGGTGGAGCCGAAGCGAAAACGGCAAGTTTATTCAACACCCATCCTCATAGCGTATACTGAGAAGCAAACTACAGGGGTGATAGGTCTGGGAACAAGCTAACGGCGCACATCTAAGCAAGTATCGCGCTATTAAGTTGGTCCCTCTCAAGAAGGGACACTACTTAAAACCGATCTAACTCGTTCCTTTAATCGTATGGGAAACCACGGCTTTTGTAGCATGGGGGAGGTATGGTTTTCGAAGAAATAACTGGCGACATGTCGGTGCGCCTTTACGACAGCTATGCTGTTCCCTAATTATTCACTTTCCTTCCTTCCCACCTTCTGATAGACTGGAGGCAGCGAATGCAGAACTGGACGTGGTGGTACAAAAACTGCGCCAAAAACAGGCAGAGCTAGCAGCTGTTGAAAGGAAAATTGCCATACTGCAAAGCGAATTCGATGTTTCCGTGGCGGAGAAGAAGAAGCTGGAACATCGACTGGCTTTGACCACGGCACGACTCAAACGCGCAGCCAAACTGACCACTGCATTAGCGGATGAACAGGACCGCTGGAGTCTGTCGGTCGACCAGTTCCAAGCTCAGATCGCAAATATTGTTGGAGATGTGTTTGTTGCCGCGGCGTGTGTGGCCTACTACGGTGCATTTACTGCCGACTATCGTGAAAATCTGGTAAATAAGTGGGTCGCACGTTGCAGGGAGCTTGGTATCCCGGTTAGTGAAGACCCAAGCCTGTTCAATGTCCTAGGCAATGCGTTTGAGTTGCGTCAGTGGAATACCCAAGGTCTTCCTCGTGATCAGATTAGCACAGACAACGCTATCCTAGTTACCCGGACTCGAAGGTGGCCCCTCATGATCGATCCGCAAGAACAAGCCAATCGCTGGATTCGCACAATGGAAGAAGAGAATAACCTTCAGGTTATCAAATTAACGGACATGAACTTACTCCGTTCTCTAGAGACCTGTATCCGTCTCGGATACCCTATGTTAATAGAAGATGTGGGCGAGACTCTGGATCCGGCACTCGAACCTGTGCTACTTCGACAAACTTTTGTGAGTAGTGGTCGACTTCTCATCCGTCTGGGGGATTCAGATGTTGACTATGACAAAAACTTCCATTTGTATCTAACTACGAAGATGGCCAACCCTCACTATTTACCCGAAGTTTCAATCAAAGTGACCTTGATAAATTTCACAGTGACTCCAGCCGGCTTGGAGGATCAACTACTGGGAGACGTCACGGGAATTGAACGTCCGGAACTAGAAGAACAACGTAGTCAACTGATCGTACGAATAAATACAGACAGGAATCAGCTCAAAGTAAGTGGCAAACCATTTTGATGAGGGCGACCATTTGTGGAGTTTGTTGAATTCGTACCCAAATTATTTTCTTTAAGACGGCCTGGCACCAGTCTTACTGCGTCCAGTCTGTTTGTCCACGCCATATGGGAAGCAGTGGGTTCATGTTTAGCGTCGATCGATAACCGAGACATGTTTTCCAGGACAGAACTCGTGCACCCACTAGTGCACAGGTGCAAAATTTGTCACGTAACAATGCGTCATGTGACTGAAGTAGGTAGGTGTAGGTGTGTAGATAACTGCGGTCACCTCTTCTGCACAACTATGAGGCATTTTCAAAAATTTGTTTGACCTTCCAACCCATATGTTCAAGTAATACAGTCATCTGTCTCGAAGTGGCTCGTGAAAAGTTAATTTTTTGGTCGATCAATTAAACCAAGAGAAACCAATGTGGAACGTTACACTGTTTCTGTGTGTATTGAACCCAATTACACGTATCCTTGTTGGAGAACGGTAGTTAGATCGGAGGGGCGAAACCAGGCGACATGACTGGTAAAGACTACACCATTCTGTATGTCAGTCTATCTGCTTGAACCCCCCTTTCCATTTCCCTACTTGAAGGAGCCAGGTAGCTGAGCCTGGTTGATAAGAGCAAGTCAGGAGAACAAATATTGTAGATTACCGGACTAAACGAGGGAGCGTCACTTCAATTCGTGGTTGATGTTACCAGGTGTATAGCATCATAGGTTTGTAGAAGTAATTGCCACTTTTAACCTTCTTACAGGTGGGACCATGCTCTCAACAAACAATGGCTCCCAACGGGTGAATCATGTTCGCGGCAATATACTACCAAGCTCCATCGCCGAGCCCATCAGTATTTTGAAGCTCCTATCGGGTACATGTATAAGCGAAGTCCATGAAAATAAGTAGGATAGAAACGGTTTCAAGGCTTGATGAGATGGAATTTAATAAATATCCATCTGATGCTCAAGTAGGGGGTATTTTAGAGGCAAGATTCAAGTAGACCTTCTAGTGCTCTGTGGTTTGGGGCTGTGAATGAAACTTTTTGTTGATTCTTGTTCGACCGAAGACAATAACGAAGAGCCAGTTAAACCCGCCCCTGTTGTGAGTTAGCAGGAAACCGATGAAGGAGCAGTGCGTCTATTTGCTGCAACCCTGACACCTGACTTATATCTCAGGGTCAGCCATGTGTCCACTGGTATATTGCTTCTAGGACAGCGCTAAAGTCACTTACAACATTGTCCTATACACTATGGAGCCCACTAAATTTAACAAACCTGTAGGTTGATTTCCCATAGCAAAAAAGTGCAGCTTCATTTTTTTGCATTCTAACCGGTAATCTGGTCAGCGAATTACATTGTTGACCTTCCTCTTGCTATGTTACAGGCTACAGAGGATCGAATATTGAAATTGCTGTTCGAATCAGAGGGGAACATTCTGGACAATGAGGACTTGATTAACACACTGAATGAATCGAAGGTGAAATCCGGTGAAATTAACAAGCGTCTCACAGAGGCCACCAGCACGGAGCAGAAAATCACAAACGCGCGATCCAAGTACAGCCCGGTGGCTGCGCGAGGTTCAGTCATGTACTTTGTCATCACCACAATGGCTGAAATTGACTCGATGTATCAATTTTCTCTCAAGTACTTCAAGAATGTAAGTTTGTTGACCTCGTTCAGTGACTTTCGGTTTCTATTTACAGTTGTTCCATTGCGAGGAGCCACTCCAAGGGGAGATAATGACGTACAGAGGGAACCACTTTCTTAGATCCTCCAAGCCAATATTGACTGCTAATATGAAAATAAATGAAAAGAAACGATCCGCTCTGAGTCAAAGACAGATGCGTTGTCACATTTGACACCGGGAGCACCCGGTCTGTAGTAGAAACTTGGGGGTTTGCACCTGCCATAGTCCTTTTCACTACTTCTGTATCGGGGGTTTTCGACAGCTATTCCTCTGCTGTCCCTTGTTCCACTTTTCACCCTGAGCACCAGTCTTGCTCATATAAATTTTTTTGAATGTCATATGAATGGGCGAATTCGATACGTAGGATGGAGAATACGATAGTCGTAATTTGGCGGGTAGGTATAACACCTCAGAAGTAATTCCCAGCGCTTAACTACCGTATAACCGTGGATGGAGAATGCCCTAGCAGAATGAAAGGGAAGTGGGTGGATGAGATGTACTGCAAAGGCCCGAGGTCCTTCGGAAAAACGGTCAAAAGAGTTGGAAAAAGCTACACACTCGAAGAGGCATTGCAGTGAACATATCTGTCCATTCTTCTGGATTAAGGTGTCACCAGCCTTAATGCTCCAACATTTTTGCGAAACACAAGCCCAGCACAAAACGACCGACGGCCTATAGCTAGCCACTCCGGCCGGAAGGTGCCAACCTGTTGCTTGTATCATTTACCGGCCCGCAAAGGACCCAACCGAGTGGTGTTCGGTTGGCGTAAGGCTCGTGTGGCCTGCCCGTTAAGCAAACGTCCAATCAACAATGACGCAATCAGCAGGAGCGGAAAATAATCACTGACGCAGCAGGGATTTCTAAAGGTAATAACACGTTAGTACCAAACGATGTACAGACATACGTATAGAGGCAGTCTGACAGTGTGAGTTGGCCGTATAGAGAGATAACGGCGCGGAAATCAGTACGTTCGGGATGTGAGGGGCTGTCTTTCGGTTGGCAGTGCGACGCGGCAGCTCGTGTCACGTGACAGGTCAGATTGCGTGGTTTCGTCCGTTTAAAACAAATCTCGGTAAAGGCTATCTGGCAGGTGCGGTACATGGCTTATACAAAATAATAGACCACCTCAGGTGTCAGGCTGGTGTAGCTGGTGGCGCGTTCGCCTGCCTTCCGGAGACTCAGGGTTCGATATCCGGTCGGTCGATACCCTTCAAATCGTTCACTTTTTCATGAACGGCCGTTAAACAGAACTGTAGAATTCATTACGGCCACATTCAGGGCTTATCCCGTAACGATCTCTTGGTCCCAAATGGCTTTCTCTGGGTGCAGAAAGCCCCGGACGGACAGTATCGCACCCCATGAATGAAACGAGGATCTGTCAGGCGGACTTGTACTAGTACTAGCATTTGAAAATAATGAAAATTAAGAGTCAGCCAGCTTCAATACCTTCTGAGTGCATGGCCGCCATTTTATGCTGCGGTTTGGTCCACACCACGGACCTTCCAGTCAGTGAGTGCGTAGCCTAACCACTGAGCTGTCTCGCACCAAACGGGATTGAGACGTGCCAGTACAATTATGCTAATGAGATTCCACAATCGTTAGCATTCCCTGGATAAACTGATCAATGAACAGTAGAGGCAACCCGGGTAGTCTTCATTGGCTTGAAAGGGACCTCGCCACCATGATTGTTGTCTACATCAATGCTGATTTATCTCACTGCCAAATTCGTGGTTACATATCAGATTTCAGCCCATCATATGCTATTCGGACTGTACTTACTTTGTGGTCCGAAACACCTTACTTGCCCGGAAACGGTTGTACAAGTAGGTTGTCTAATCACTCTACTTCCATTGTTGTGCCATCCGAAGTGTGCTTTTGTTAAACACAGTTCTTATTTGGCTCTCTGCACAGCTCTTCATCTCAACAATCCAGGATAGCCCTGAGTCCCCTATTTTGGAAGAGCGAATCCAAATCTTGTTGTCAACCACAACGTTGGCTACCTACAACAGCGTTGCACGGAGTCTGTTCGAAAGAGATAAACTGGTCTTTTCCTTCATGCTCTGTGCACAAATAATGCGACAACAAGGTGGAATAACAAGTCCGGAGTGGAACTACTTCCTACTGGGTTCAGGCAATTTGGAGTGGGCAAGACCACCGCAACCTGAGGAGACAAAGGGATGGCTTTCTGCCCAACAGTGGCGCCGGTTAGTCGATTTGGCTCACTACTTCCCCGAGCAGTTTTCGTCCCTACCAAAAGATTTGATTGACGGAACTATCATGCTAGACTTTGATCCGCCAACTAAAGACAGAATGGAAAGACGATCGAGTATCACCTCAGGAAGAGAAGACAACTATCTGCTAACCCCTAATGGCCCAGAGCGTCGAGCGACCAGGTATAATTCGGAACTAAGGAGTTTTCAAAAGCTTCTCTTGATTTCAAACTTTTCAAAAGAAGAGGTTGTACGAGCTGTGACGGATTTCATACGTTCCAATTTGGGACCAGAGTTTATTGAGGCCCCGGAATGTTCACTGTCTCTGCTATTCAAGGAAATGGATCGGCAAACACCGCTAGTGTTCATTCTCTCCCCCGGCTCCGATCCAATGGGTCAACTGCAACGATTCGCCAAAGAGCATGGGTTCGCTGATAGGATACATTCTGTCTCTTTAGGTCAGGGACAAGGGCCTGCGGCTGAAAAACTGATGGAACAGGCTGCCCGTAATGGTGATTGGGTGTTTCTACAGGTGAGTCGAAAACGTACCTTGAGTTGAAGTGGCATTATTTCATAATGACCGTCCATATCGTGGACTAGTCTCACAACAAGTTTGAACAACGTTGTTCCGTAACAATGCAATGCGCGCACAGTGCAATGGTTTTTGAGATTCATCCAGTGGTTAGTACTGGGAATAAGACTCGCAATTCGTCTTAGTAACCAGCATATTAGTCGGTTAATCTGAGCACATACTACCGATGGATTTAGGGTATAAACCAACTGCCAGTTTGACTTTGACACTTTCATATGGGTAAACCTGGGAGCACTCGGTCAGTCAGTCTCGAAGGGAATTACTAGCAAAAGCACTGTTAACGTTGGTCGGTAACCACCTTTTGCAATGGACTGGGTAAAGTACACAGATCAACCACTATCTGACTAGTACTTTCTTTTTATAACAGGAGAGTAGCAGTCATCCATCTAAAAGTTCATGTGCCCACGTGGTCGTCTAGTCTATCGACAGGCATCGTCAATTTATGAAATGCCATCCACAATAGGTTACCGATGGCTCCAAGTGAGGAAGAATTCTAGAAACCCATGGTTGAGTTCTTCTTAAGGAGGATGGGAGCATGATGCTTTCATTGTCACCAGATTAGACTGTCAGTATGTCCTACCGTCTACGTTGGAGTTGTTCGCTCCTGAGGAATCCTTGGGGAATGGCTTAGAGGACCATTTTCCCCACGACCGGATAACTTGACCATCTGTCGGAAAAATAAGCTGTTTCGTAATAATTTGCATCTCGAATCGCTATTCTGTATACTCAAGGGTGCTTAATGAAACTGTTCGATTATGTGAAGCAATTCAACTGGAATTCCCGACAGTTTTCAGCTATACATATCTCACTTTCTTGACTGTGTTTTTCCCAGAATTGCCACTTGGCAGCTTCTTGGATGATTCGTTTAGAGGAGCTGGTCAAGAAGCGCTCAGATGACCCGAGGCCCACAAATCGTGAATTCCGTCTATTCCTCAGTTCCATGCCGGCGAAATCTTTTCCCATTTCGGTATTACAGAATTCAGTCAAGGTGACCAATGAACCGCCCAAAGGACTGCGCGCTAATCTCAGTCGGGCGCTGAATGAACTTACAGCGGAATCCTTTGAGACACACTGTAGGTTTGCCTGACAGTATTTCAAAGACAAACGCTAAGCTCGTAGAGTTTTGGGCGCATAACTATGTTCTACAACTTTTAGAATCTAGGTTCCGATTTGAGAAAATGTGACAGTTGGTCAGCCCAATCTTATGTTTCCTTGGCACTAGTTTCCAGTCAGTCTAACTCTTTTGGTTGAGCTCTGTAGAACCCTCGAAGGCGCATAGGAATTGTGCGTTATATAGTGCGTTTGCGAGTTCCGGCAATGCAAATGTGCCAAAGAAAACCACCAACCCATCTCTACACACCACTACGCTCCCCAATAACGCACCGATGGTGTCACCTCGATCGGTGATGAAATGTTTGCAATCATATTGCTCAGCTCAGCGAACAAACCAACGACAATCTAAAATCCACCTCTTCTGCCTGCACTTATTTGGGTTCTAAGCAGCATTTAATCACTGTAACATGAATGGTTCGTCACGACGTGGCTCTCGTGTAATCTAATTGATCAGTTTGCAATCTGAGTTACGTCGTAATTTTAGTTCCTCGCACCTTATTGGTTCGTTGAATGATTTCAATCTGACAGTTCTGTTCTTCCATTGCGGTTGGTCCGTTCCCATCCTCTAGTCTGGTTTTATTCTTGACTGGTTGATTGGATAACCCTTTACCCTTAGTAGGTTTCTTTCCTTTATCAAATCGGTCCGTTGGTTATTGTAGTGTTGTTTGATTTCCTATGTGATTCGGAGAGTCGGAATAGCGCAACTCTTCGTCTGAAGAGTTGACAGACAAGGGGGGTGTCGATGTGAATTTTGATTGCTTTAAATAAAACATGGCTATCTAAGGAACGGGGATTCTTACAAGGTTGAAGCCAAACCAATTTAAAGATACAACCAGTACAGAGGATTACTCTTTCGTATGTCAAGCACAAAATATAATAATGGTAACCGTTCAGCTGTAACACCCTTTTGGTGCCTGGATGCCATGCCACCCGAAAGAAGCACGAAGACTGGGATACTGTCAGGTTACCCAGGCCTAGACAGAGAGGGGTCGAGAGGCACAGGTCGGGTTGGAACCACGGACCTTCCGGTCAGTAAGTTTGCGGTCTAACCACTGAGCCATCTCGCAAAGCACAAACACACACAAAAGTGCAATACACTTGCGACCATACAGAAAAGTAGTCATCTTTAGGTCTTTTAACACGTTTAGATGAGCGCTCTTGAATCCAGAAAGATGGCTAGGTGCCATGTAAAAATAAACGCCATCTACAAAGTTCACCATAGAGCGTGCGCCAAGAGCTGTTTATCAACCTGGGAGAAAACTGGCCATCAGATTACACGACACAATCTTGCCCGTAGAAGATATGACACAGGATCACTTGCTTCGATTAATGGAGATGGAAAAAAATATCGGTTCAATGGGGATTATGGCAAAATACGGCTTATACCGAGAACTGGGGGAGGGGGAACGGGACTTAGCCGAGGCCTGCATCCCCACGGAGAAGTCAATCAATAAGCATGTGGACATTGACCTGGTCCATCAGCCTTTACCAACAAAGGAATCAGGTAATTACTGGAAACTGAACTACTCGGGGAGTCAAACCATATAACACCAGCCGAAGGGCCAATCTGATCAGCAAGGTAGAACAACTAAAAACATAATCGAGTTTAGGGAAATCATACCGTAAGGTAAGTAGGAAACGGACCAGTCACAACGGAGGAAAAGGCTTCCGGATCGAAGGCACTCAGTGAACCCAGCAGGTGCAAAGAGATGAGACCACGACGCGACTCAACTTTGAGCTTGGCCAATCAAATTGGCAATCAACCAATCGCTTTGCATTATCAGATGATCGGAAATGATGTGAGCACAGGCGATAGGGAAGAGAAGGTGTGTTCTTAATTGGTGACGGAACGTTTGCAGTCCAACTGCCAGGCTGGAATAGCGGACCGAAAATCCTAGCTACCTATAATCCTCAACAGCTCTGGAACTGTTTCTTCCACGGTAAAAGATTTCCAAGCTTGGAGTGCAGGAATTGGAGAGGTTCGTTGGGAAATTTCCGTTTAGAAAGCAGTGAATAATGCATTCCGCTTCAACTTTTTTTTTAAATGTTGATCGCTTGCCCAGTTGTAATTCGCTGCTTTTGTTCAGTTCTTGGGGAAACTTGGCGGAAACTAGTCTTTGGAATATGTTTCTTCCATGCAATTGTTTTGGAACGCAAGAAGTTTGGACCACTGGGTTGGAATATTAGCTACGATTTCAATGATTCCGATCGAGAATGTGCCTTGTTGAACTTGGACATGTTTTGCCAGGACAGGGGTGTTCCATGGGACGCACTGACTTACATCACATCCGAGGTGAGTTGGAACTTTCGTTCAATAAATTACAATGAAAGTGTTGATCCCGTTTCAGTCATGAATATCAGAAGAGTCCACACAAGCTCATAAGTGAAGGAAAGGCAAACACAGGTGTTACATGATGAAGGCAGACTGAGTAAAAGAGAAATTTGTGAATGGATACCGTAGAGAATATTGCTTGTCAGATTTCGATGAGAGTCCCCGTTTTGCCTTAAATTGGTATTTTATTCATTGGGGAGATTATGACTGGTTGGTGATAAAAACATGTTTAAAGGGTCGCGTGGCATTTCTGACCGCTACAATTCCATACAGATACATTATTGAAGCTTCTGAAGGTCTGTTGAATCCAGTTAGCTGGACAATAGCCTCAAATTCAAAACTAAAATAGTACATACTTTTTTAGTAATCATGAGCTTTCCCCACAAACAGAATCGGGCTTGACTTTTTCACACAAGGAGAAACTGGCTCGTTCCGGTACAGTTCACTGACTCAAGTTTGCAACACAACTTTATTGGGAATCGCAATTCACAATCAAAACTCGGATATCACCCGAACTTGTAACAAATAAACTCCCTGTTTGTCACCCATTGTAGATAACCTATGGTGGCCGGGTGACAGACTTCTGGGATCAGCGGTGTCTTCGGACCATATTGGAACGGTTCTTCCATCCCAAGACTCTGGAGCCCACGTACACCTATTCTCCGTCAGGGATCTACTACCCGCCCGAGAGGCAAAAGCTCCAGGATTACAAGGATTACGTACTCAATTTGCCACTCAATGCATCACCCGAACTGTTTGGTATGCACGAGAATGCCAATTTGGTGTACCAGGTAAGACGACGATAAGTGATGACTCCTTGAACTTGTCCAGTCCTATCTCGGGTGATAATGCTTCATGAGGGGCCTTCCGGTAGCTTGGTTGTGATGTCTGAGTTCTGAATCTGACATGTCTTGGTTTTATGAAAGTACACAACACACACACAAACACACACCAGGATGCAGAGAGGAAAATTTTGGAATAACTCTTCCCGTATCGCTCCATTTTCGGTAGCCGAAACAGTTTGCCAGAGATCGGCTCCATTTATGTGCCTACAGAAGTGTCATCACCACTCATCGTGTTAGATACGAGCGACCTCCAGATCATACTCGTACTCAATATTGTTCCGCCTTTAAAAACGTTTCGTGGTCAGTCCAATTTGTCTACCGCCACCCTAATCCGTAGCTAATAAAAGCGGCACGCCACCCACATAGCTCAGGCCGAAATGACCCAGATCTTAGCGCATTTCCAACGTGCACGTCCGTCTAGAAACCTGAATAACTCTTTTTTAATCGTTTCTGACATGTGCTTCACAACTGACCATTCGGTCTCGCTATGTTTCCATCCCAATCACTCACAATGAGCTTATAGTCGGAGCTATTCAGTAAACAACCCTCTTGTCAGAGGTATTCAAAAGTCAGCAAAACATCAAATTAAGTCAACTATTCCTTTTGTGGCACTATTTGGTTGCAAAACAAGTTGTCGTGGCGGTGTGTTCATAGGTGAGGAGCGGCCTTATCTTCAGAAGACCGGAGAACAACCAGCCAGTAAGATGGTCTACAGTCAGCATTACAGGCGCACAAATCCATGCTTGGACAAAATTAGCTCATTGTTAGATAACCGTGTACAGCGTTTTCTCTGTCAGTGTATTTCATTCATGCATCAGACTGCTGAGTATTCATGGCACTGAAGTTCCATGGTTTTTCTACTCCGACCAACTGAATGTCTCCGGGCACCGAACGTTAGCGAAGTCGACGTCGACTTCACCTTAGCCAGCAAACAGCCAGCTGCCTTATTTTCCATAATATCGAATGCAAATCCACCTGCCAAGACTCCCATTATGAATTCTTCTCTGTTGAACTTAAACCAACAGTTTTCTTGATTTCCACGAAAGCATGATAGCGGGTGCGATGGATTTGTCTTCTGCGAAACAAGCTTTTCAGAGGCATCACACAGTTTGGTGCTGGCGAAACACAGCAGCGTAAGTTCCTACAGAACCGAGAACAAGCGGTTTGAAATGACCGCCTCTTCGCTTACAATGCTGGCGGACTTTATAAAACAAGTTTCCTAGTTGAGTGGATGAATAATAATAATGATACTTGCTCAGCTGTAACACCCTTCCTGTGCCTAGCTGCCATGCCACCCGAAAGAAGCACGAAGGCTGTTAATAGCTGCCATGCCACCCGAAAGAAGCTCGAAGGCTGTTAGGTTGCCTGATCCTAGACAGGAGCAGCTGAGATGCCTGCGTTGGGTTTGAATCACGGACCTTCTGGTCAGTAATTTCCTGCCTTAACAACTGAGCTACCTGGAGCAGATTTGTTCACGTACATCATTGTGTGGGCCTGCAGAGTATTACTCTTGTGCATGAGTTAACCAGAGTACAGCCTTCGGTACAACCAATCGTAAGCACTAACGGCGAACTGCAGTGCCTCGTGTTTGTGTGATCTAATCAGAGGAAGGGATTCTGTACAGGAGTGGGGTTATTTAAGGAGAGGTAACGTGGACAATAATGTGATGCTTACCAACTTCCTCGTCATCAGATTCACTGAGGAGATTTTGAATACAGTGCAGTACAGCACTTCAGCTTTAAACTCTGTGCCCAGGTAAAATAGAGCGAGTTGTTGCAGTTCTAGATTAGCTGATTATAGAAAAATATGGATTAGGGATGGCGATATGTTAAAGGCAATAGTTTGCAGCGGTTCGATTTAGACTGCCGGTACAAGCGTGCAGATTTTAAATAACTTATGAATAAGTACCCAGCTCATGTTCCTAGACGAAATAAACACTTGGTCTATTGTCAGGCCTTGCTTATTTATTCTGGTGTATCTTATCTTTCCCAAAAAGATACAAGAGACAAATAACCTTATTGCGACCGTTTTGAACATTCAACCACGAACTGGTGCTGTTGGTACAGGAAAGACCAACGATGAGATTGTGCATGATTTGGCAAACACCATTCTGGAAAGAATTCCCGATGGCCTCGACTTGAAGATAGCCAAACCGGAGTTCTTTTTAACTGACCAGAAAGGCAGGGTTGATTCGCTTACGACGGTGATGACACAAGAAGTAGATCGGTTTAACAAACTGTTGCACATAGTAAAGGTAAGCTATCTGTTTAACTCTGTTGTTGTTGTCGTCACTATGAAAGTGGTTTTACACAGTCCAGTAGTTAGGCCAACAATGGGAAAATTGAGGTAATAAAATGTTACAGAAGCTACTGGTTCGTTGCCCCCAAACGTTTCCCAGTTACATGAGCCGCTTCACATTCAGTGAGAAAACCGAAAGTGCACAATGTGACTTTTCAAACTGCTTTGAAAAACCTATGCTCATCGCTGAAGTACCATTCTTCTACAAACCTTAGTGAGTTCGGATAGTGTAAAACTAAAGTCAGAACTACCGCCATTCCGTTTTACGGATAGTCCAGACCCGTAAAGAAATATTCAAATTTCTGACTAATCTAACAAGGGAAGGTAGTCGACGTCATCCGGATGGGCTACACATTGTCCTCTAGCCAGTATGGAAGATTGTTTTGAATTTTTCATGATCATCAGCTGTCAGAACCGCGTACTTGTCGTACAGCGGTTGTAGCTGCCACAGTTTCATTTATCGATGATTCGGGAAGGTGGGTTTTGTAGACACGCATTGGAGGTGGGGGCTGCTAAATTGGTGCGTAAACACAGCACTGTCAGTGGACTGTTAAGTGGAGGGATTGGGAAGGGAGCTATGCATTGAGGGCAATAACTTGGATGCACAAGCGCCTTTGAGGGCGCACTATATGAAATTCACGTGTTGTACCTATGGAACATTGCCACTTCGAAATGTGCCCAGGTTCCTAATGTTATGATATATCAACACATCTTTCCACTACAGGATTCACTGCGACAACTGCAGAAAGCCATCAAAGGATTTGTTGTCATGTCGGAGGGATTGGAAGAAGTCTACACAGCCTTCCTACACAACCAGATTCCGAAAATGTGGTCAGCGGCTGCATATCCCAGTCTCAAACCTCTGTCCTCATGGGTTACTGATTTGGCACTTAGGTGTGATTTCATCAACTGTTGGATGTCCAGAGGAAGGCCGCGTTCCTTCTGGATTTCTGGATTCTTCTTCCCCCAAGGTACGTAAACGTACGACTTTATATCACTGCAGTAATTGACAGGCTTATTGTAACTGAAACCAATACCTGAAAAAGAATTTGATGAGCAGATAGTTAGGCCGAGGTGGCTATTCAATGTCTTACAAAAAATACGAGTTCAATCATCTAAACTGCGCAAAACGCGTAAAAAGCACCAGCAGCAACCGCTGCTGATTCATTTCACTCAAGTGGTCCCATATCCTCCACGATGTAAGCTGATCAGCTACACAGATCATCCAGATAAACTCAAAGAGATGCACATGATAGGTACTGATGACGAGTCTCAAGTAGAACACAACGGATTTACAGTGCACTTCAGTTTGCAATGTGTACCTTAGCTCTCAAAGTGATGTACTGAGAGTCAAAGAAAGCAGAAACCACGACTTCCGTTTCGCCCATACTATATTTCCTCAACCTTGCAGAGGAACTGAATACCATGGCAATACTTATTTGATAAGCCCTTAGATCGTGGTCAGATAAAATGAAACCCACTCGTACGTGTTTCACTGAGGTATTGATCAGTTCTATGTACAGGTTCTGCTCGAATTTCACTTTCAAATGGGTTTATTATAATCTCTACTGATACTCCGGCTCGCTGGTGATCGCGGTTAACTCGAACTAAACTGATCCTCTTTGATTTCCTTCGACTTTTAGGATTTCTCACCGGGACTTTGCAGAATTATGCCCGAAAGTACGACTATCCCATCGATCACCTATCATTTGATTTTACTGTATTACCGCATTACCGTGATCAAGAGGCAGTTTCCAAAGCCATGGCAACTCTGGGGTTCAACCAAACATTGGAGGCGGACTTGGCGTTGAACGATCCAGAAGACGGTGTACTAATACACGGTCTTTTTATGGATGGTTTTCGGTAAGTGAGGATGATTTACAACAAGAACCATGACTGATGCATAGCAAGAAATAACTGCGAATATAACAGAGATTCTGATTAGGACTCATAAAATAATCGGAGATTTCTCAAAGCAGACTCTATGATCACCATCTGCCATCTGTGTCAGATGTGGTTCTCTATGTCATCTACTACTGCCTGTTCGTGACCAAGAGTTTCTGCACTCCAGCTGAATGTAGGGCTGCACATGAGATCAATCAGTTGGTCTTCTTCTAGTTGGTTCTTGAGTGATCCGCATAGGAAGACCAATCCGGTGAGTGTTTCCTAGTAGTACACAGCTAATGGCAGTTCATTATTCACAGATTACGTTCCACGACAACTTGTGGGCCGTCAGACAAAAAAAGTCACACATACGGGAATATCTGCAACTACTGAGTTGAATTTCACATGTTCACATCAATAAGGTGATAAGGAGAAATAAGTTAACTTGCGTTTCGAAAAATTAGCCTTCTTCAAGAGGTGTACACTTTCGCAACACGATATATCATGTCTGACAGTGTACAAAATTTCGCAGCCTTCCGAGGGGTTTTCACTTTTTTCGAGACTGATATTTTGATTCAGATCACATGTTGCTCTATCAGCATCTGTCAAAACGTTGCTTCAGAGCAACCCCCTGAGTTACTCAAATGGCTGAACAACGCCAATTACCACTATGTTGTAGCACCCTTGTTACTGTCTCGTTGTCCAAAGCTCTCCAAACTAAGCTTTCATTCAACCCCAACTCGGTATGGGTACACGCAGTTTCCTTCCCTGAAACTATGCTGCTCTTTGAAGTACAATTTCTTTGACACCCAAGCATTTTTTTCGAGACTGATATTTTGATTCAGATCACATGTTGCTCTATCAGCATCTGTCAAAACGTTGCTTCAGAGCAACCCCCTGAGTTACTCAAATGGCTGAACAACGCCAATTACCACTATGTTGTAGCACCCTTGTTACTGTCTCGTTGTCCAAAGCTCTCCAAACTAAGCTTTCATTCAACCCCAACTCGGTATGGGTACACGCAGTTTCCTTCCCTGAAACTATGCTGCTCTTTGAAGTACAATTTCTTTGACAACCCAAGCATATAAAACTACCAAGTAAATACCATCCGATCCAGTTGTGCTCGGGGTGAGTCCGGTTATGCAAATCACCATGTTAGAGCTATCACCAATCGTTCCAACTTCGGGTTATAGTGGGTATGCAAACTGATCGAGCGGCCATATTGAGTACATCAAAGAAACTGTTTAACATCAAGCTGCAGACGATATTCCTTATTTGACGGGAAAGTGTAAAACCAAACAACTCCAAAGGCAAGGTAGCAAACTTTGATGAACAGTAAATGCACTCCACGGCTAAGACGGTCACACTTTATCTACCTCAGTCAGTAAACTCAAGCCCAAACTGGTATCCAATGATTACCCTCACTTTCAAACTAGCCCAGAGGAGAAATACTTTTCAGGGGCACACAGGTGTCGGAAAAAAGTAACACTATGACCCGGGGACATCCGTTCGTTACAAAAGGCCTTCTTTTCCGTTGACTGTTTTGAAAAGGAGCCTTTCCTCAGAAAGAATGACCTTGATGGGATCCTACGGATGACTAACTTAGAGGAGCACCGTATAGTAGGACTCTCCTTTGTTGTCATGTTATCATGGTAACTGTTTCACAGGAAGATAACTGTACACGAAACTTTCGAAAGAGCAGCTATTCTCGCCTGCCGCTCGATGTTCAAGACCTGCTGCCTTGTGCTACCCTTTCGTATCGATTGTGTACCATCAATGCCTATTACAACTATAAACTCGGTCAGTGTCACCTGAAAGTACAACGATAACAATATCTGTTTGTCCGAACGGCCACTTTTCACTAGGGCCTAAATAACCAAAATTGGAGGCTCTAGCCACGTGACTCTCGTCCAACCCTCTGAAGGTGCGTTGTTTCAAGCACTGTATATCTTGTACAAGACACACAATCACTTCAAAGGAATCTCCGCTTTTCTTGCAGATGGGACGATGAGAGAATGGAACTGGCCGACTCGATCTTGGGGGAGACGCTGGCTCAAATGCCTGTGTTGCATATGAAGCCAGAGATGGATCTGAAACCAGATCCCAAAAAATACGTAGCACCTCTTTATAAAACTTCTGCTCGGGCAGGCGTCCTTTCTACGACAGGTGAGTTTTCGCATTGTTATGGACGTCTTCTTTGCCTGTCTACTTATTGTAATTAGTTTGCTCGACCTATGGACGTGCAGAGTTAAGCTACGGGGCATTTCCTGTATCTTCATCATGTTTCCTTAAGTTCTGCTTTATTCGACACAAAACAGAGGGAACAACGCTTGTAAGAATCTACGGAGTACTAATAGATTTTTACATACGTTTGAAACAATGTTTGTATACTTTTTTTTCAGGAAAGTACCCCTTTGGAGTTAGGTTTTCTTTCTCATGGATTTTATGCGTCGGGTCTTTCGGACCTAGACCAGACTAAGGATTGGCTTCAACTTGACGCACCTTGCCTTAAAAAATGAGGGCGCAATCCAGTTTTTCAGCATTCACCGAGCTCTGACAAATGGAGGTTCTTCCATGTTCAGATATTGGGTTTTAGAAGCCTGCCCTACTACTGAGAAACAGTCTAGGCGCACACAAGGCCGGCTAGCGCAAGCCAGTATTCAGTTTGGTCTTTACAACGATGGGTACCGGAAGTTATTTCAAGCACAACTGTAGGTTCACCGTCCCAGAAATATTCAGGATGTGAGGTCGGACTTTGTTGACATGAATGGAAACAGCCTAGCAGTTGAATCGAATGGTATCCGGTTTGGGTAGAGTGGGAGCTGCACTGCCACTAGGGCAAAAAAGAACATGTGTGGCGTTCTGCAGTTAGGTGTGATTTGACTTGATCCTGTCCACATGGAGTTTAACATTGAAAGTAGCCTTCTAGCGCAACTAACATCAACAAAAACAGTAACATCACTGTTGACACTGACGGTTCACTGTTAAACAACCACAAAGTTTATTTAGTTATTTTTAAATATCCTGAAATGAAAAAAGATAACATGAATGAGGAAGGACCTGGTACTTACGGCAAATATTCTGAAGCGCTTATGTCTCCGAACACTCAATCATACTATCTGGAAAGGGACTGACAGCACGAAAGTGAGTAACCTAATCGCTATATTTCACGATGTCTCCAGCAAAGCGCGGGGACAGAAACCCCATTCTGGAAAGCGGAAAGCACCAACAACCAAAATCATCGCAACCTCTTTCGGACCCTTCTCCCCATATCAAAGTTGCCTCCATTCTGGAAAAGGACAACGCTCGTCTCGATAGACGCTGTTTCAATATGCGCAGTGTATGGCCGAGTCACCGCATTTGGTGTCATCGACTGTTTTCGGTGGTCGATAAAACCTTATGAACAAACAAGTACCAGTTTTCTAATCCGACACCATCAATGCTTCTAAGGCGTCGGTGGTTAAAAACCAGAAGACGCCCCAAGTCATTTGTCTGCAGAGGCCACACAGCAACAAAACCTTTTCTGGAGCCTGGTACCCATAAGGACCAGTCATATCTATTTTTAACGTCTCTAATGGCACAAATTAGCAAGCTTGAGTCAGGCCTTCGAGATTCGTTCAGTAACATCATCCGATACTTCCGCCAGAGTTGATTTAACTATCTGGGTATGTCAAGTTTTCAAAAGTCCCTAGTGCTTCTCCTGGAACTACAAAAGACACACTCTGAAGCACAAATTTGCACTTTTAGGCTCGATGCGCACGACAAAAGATGGTATAATGGTGACGGAATTAACATCCTTGTCGGACTGCAATTCTCGTAGCTCATACGTTCTCACACGCTTCAAAGAAGGTGAATGTACGAGTAGGATTTTTGCCAAACTTTCGGGCATCTCCTATTGACCGAGTGTAGTTAGAAGCACTAACCGACCGGCAGAATCGAACGTGTCCTCGGAAGCAAGGAACATCAAGATTGTGGATAGTCTGCACATACTGTGCTCTAATGCCTGACGCAGTATGAAGATTCGGCCTCTACCCGGTCATGCCATTTCGAACATCCTTTAGCGGCTTTCTTTTTATCCCGTTGTGTGGATGGGCAAGAGACGTGATGAGCCGATCTGATGCCTGACCACAGGAAACGATTTCGACTGATTTCTGCACTGAAATCCTGTCGGTTTTCGGGACTGACTGAGGTATGGGATCAAATTCGATGTAGTTGTCTTTATTTTCTTGTTTTGAGCACAACATTGAAGCGTACGCACAAGCCGGTCATGTAGATTCGTTCTATCAATCTCAGACACAGTGGAGCAACACGTGGGTTGATTCCAGGGGTTCTGAGTCGAGCTATTTTCTAACGTAGTTGGACAAAACAAAACCAATGGTGTACGGGCTCGGCGCAACCTCTGAAGTGAAAAGAACTGGATTTCAAATGTTTCCCTGAAGAAATGAGGATACAGACTAATCTCACGACAAACTCTCCGCTGTTGTCACCTTTTTGGCAATCATCTCTCCAGGTCTCACTTGGTTAACACTTTGTCAGTCTTTGCCTATCGATTGTGTAGTTTCGAACAGGATGTAATATGACATGCATTTCGTGCTGCCAGAGACTTCACTCAACTCAAAAGGATACGTTCGCTTTTCAGTAGTACTGGTGTATCCAGATATCTACAAGGGGGTCAGTTGAACTTAACACTCCTATCCTTTGCCCCTGCTGTCTTTTTGTAGGTCATTCGACCAACTTTGTTGTAGAGATTTGTCTTCCACACTCAATGACTGCAAGCTATTGGATAGAAAAAGGTGCAGCGTTGCTCACCATGAGGGATGAATAGTCTTGCAGCCACAAACACCGGTGCTTAACCCAAGCGGTATTTACATTCATTTCACGTGCAGTGTATGGTAGTTATTCGTTGTGTTTTGCCCGTTACGGCGGCCGCTCATAGTTATTTTCGTTTCGTTCCAGTTGGACTGTTTTTGTTTGTTCTTACCCGAAATTTGGCGGCGATTTCAAATTCTGCACTGTAAACTGTGTTGGTTGAACGCCAAGTTTTTATTCGAGATGGCACTCAAACGAGTACTGCCACGGACTCACGTAATCTGTGATATCACACTGGAAATAGGATAGTTCGTTTGTCTCAGATAAGGCCTGCTGAAGGCAAAACCCGTTCAACCCAATTTCTGTATTCACTGACTGATCAGTCGAAACACTGATCGTTTATTTACCCTGTATTTCAGGTATGTCAACCAATTTCATCGTTGACATTTCGCTGAAAACCTCCTCCTCACCAAAGTACTGGATCGAACGGGGAGCAGCTCTGATTTGCGAGCGAGACGTGGAGAACTGAGACAAGTCCACACTTTTCCCACCCTATTATCTGATTTCTTACTCAGATATACCCTATTGGAACGATTGATCGGACCTAACCACAGTCCAAAAAATTAGTTTCAGCCCTCGCTCGAACTACAGATGACTTGGTGTCAAATACATGAATTGCAAGCATCACTTTTTTCTCTTGCCTTGCAGTCATAGGTTGGGTGACTGGAGACCAATCATTTGTGCGATAACGCACCCCAGAGAAATAACACCAAGATGGCGGACCAGAATCGCCCGATCCTAAGAGAACAGGCTGCCATTGGCCTGTCGAAAGAACGTTAATACTGTCACTGTTAGGGCACACAAGCCCTATTAATGATTACTCATCTAGACAGGAATGTTTCTTCCAGTTCCTCATGCTGTACAGGTGTGTGGAGAAGATACATCATTTGAGGCAGAATCTCCAACATTGAATGCAGTGCACCTGGACGGATACCTTTTTTGGCCCTCTCCATACACTCTTACAATCCAGTCATCATCACCATCATCGACAGCATGTCATCAGTGTTCAACGCCGATGCCGTACAACCATGATTTATTTGAAAGCCTTATTGTAAAGAAAAGAGTAAAGGTGGACGGGGAGGGGGTTTAGTGCTAGCTTACCACAATCATTCCGATGTGCTTATACCTCCAGACATTCACTCAGACGATCTGGATAGAAACTGACAACAAGAACGCCGCTGACATTGGTTGGCAGCCATATCTTGTAGTGTCTTTAACCAGACACAGTGAGGATCATGCGGTCGCCATCCTGGAAGGCGAGTAGCACCGACAGCACCCAAGCGTTTCGTGATCTCCTTCATACTTTTCTGCCAAGTAAAGAGTTGGACACTCCTCTGTTTACGCCACTCTGAGTTTGGCATGGAAAACAGTACTCTCTTCGGCAAACGATGGTTCGGCATACGCAACACATGTCCCAACCAACGCAGCTTCTGGTGCTGGACACATACTTCAATGGAAGTACCCGTTACACACAAACATACAGCTGGTCAGATGCACCGGAATCCACATGTCCTGATTCCATCGTGTGGTTTTCTAAGTGAATTCCCCCCTCAATGTACTCCCAACAGGGAACACCAGTTCTTCATGTGCACCAGTATTCCACTGAACCGTACCATAACAGCCCCATAGAAATAGGGCCTCCAAGAATACCACCCGGAATTTAGTAGTCTGTACGAAACCTATCGTGCAACCATTACTACTGTAATCCCGAATTGCTCTCGTGCGTTTTGTGCAATTTTGCTGGTGCTCATCTCTGGTATTTCATTCATCGTCAAGGCGGACGTTAACGTGACAAACCAAATCTTGCCTTTTTTTTATAAATTGGGTTCCTAAGAATTTCCCACCGTAATATCGGCAGTGGAAAAAATGAACTTGCGTCGAACAACGGTCTATTCTTACTAGTGCTGAGCTGTTCTGGAAATTCCATTTTCCAGAGCGTCGCACGAGACAAATTATTCAGGTAAAATTTGAAGTTCAGGTGGTGTGTCTGTAAGTGCAACCATTTGTGGAGTGCTTGCGACTGTTTTACATAGATAATTTACTCGAAACATATTGTTGTCAACTGTGCTGTCTTAACCGAACGATTTTATTCGACCAAACCGAAGTTTCCAGCACGTTCACTGTTGCTTCAGAGTACACGGACCTTGCATTGAGGCTACCGTAACTCGGCAGTTCCTGTTTGACCAAGGAATTTCACCTTTCCTCTTGGCCGGTTTTCATTTTGTACTCACATTGATAGTAAGAGGTCTGGTGTGGATGAATGTCGTTTAAAGTCGAGTACAGTCCCATCAGAGAATAGAAAATTCCAAACTCCCTTAATTGAGACTTGGATGAAAAAAGATACGTTAACTGGTTGCTCAAAATCCCATGAAATCTAGTAGTCCCAGGAGTGGGAGGTGCAGCCACTACGCTTAGGCACTGGGTTTATAGCTGAAAGACTGCACTGGACTTACTGGCTGAAGTAGCCTGTCAGTGCACTGATGCACCAACCCTACCTTACTAGGCAGTTCGGTTTTGTTAGACCAGCAGCTTCGTTTGTACTTAATTGAGAAGCAGTGGCTATCCACTATTCGCCTTCCATACCCATTAATTAGTCCTTTGTTATTCCTAGAGAGACTGTCAGATACTCGAACGCTCTCAGTTGGTTCTACGTTTCTTTTCATTTACCTCATGAGTCGGGGCAGCTCGACAGTGTAGCACTGAAAAGTCTAGAAGCACTGTATGGTTGTTCCATCCTTATTGGGAATCGTCAGCAGTGTGCATCTAGTCTCAAATTCGCGATTCCCTGATTAGTAGTTTAAGCACCGAACCTTTCGGCCACGAGCTGCTGATCAGCAGTGTGACTAACGCGCACTTAGATAGGATAAGGCGCCGCTCATCTCCCCATCACGGTATCGACATCACGTGATCGCATGCGTTGACTGACTCCTCAGGCAACGACTTCTGAGATGGAGGTTTCATTTATCGGATCAAGTTTATTCTTCCTATGAGCTACTTGTAGGTTGTTGGCATAGATTAGCTCCCATTAAGATTTCCGGAATTTCTGACAATATCAGCAATCATTAGGTAGCTCAGAGGAAGTGTAACACCACTTTACTCGATCTGCCAGTAATGCTGAGTCATGTGTCAAGCGCCACGTCATTTGCAAATGACCACAATTGTGAAGAAGGTGGTGCTGTAGACTTCAAGCTTACACTATCTCTGCACAAATCCTCAGCAGTGTGACTAACGCGCACTTAGATAGGATAAGGCGCCGCTCATCTCCCCATCACGGTATCGACATCACGTGATCGCATGCGTTGACTGACTCCTCAGGCAACGACTTCTGAGATGGAGGTTTCATTTATCGGATCAAGTTTATTCTTCCTATGAGCTACTTGTAGGTTGTTGGCATAGATTAGCTCCCATTAAGATTTCCGGAATTTCTGACAATATCAGCAATCATTAGGTAGCTCAGAGGAAGTGTAACACCACTTTACTCGATCTGCCAGTAATGCTGAGTCATGTGTGAAGCGCCACGTCATTTGCAAATGACCACAATTGTGAAGAAGTTGGTGCTGTAGACTTCAAGCTTACACTGTCTCTGCAGCAAATGCTCATCTGTCCCCTTGGCTGTCGAGTCAAGAGAGTTGGGTCGGCGTGGGATTGGCGAACCATCACCGTGCTAAAGTAAAGCCCCATTAGCCTAGCATCTTTTGTGAACCTTACCCGATCTGAACCCAACGCACAACGACAGACAGCTTTAGCCTACCAGTCTGGCTAGAAAATGACAAAATGCTCGCCAATGGGATCGGTTGCGTGCACGGACAGTTCACGCCCAAATCGCGTCAACCTGGCTAACTAAATCTGCTCTAATGAATAAGATTCGTTACCCGCTTACACGCCATTCCGTTGCGGAGCCGCTGCGGCCAGCTTACTCTTGCGGAGACATCGGTGGTCAAAGAACTGAAGACGCCCAAGGTCCTCGGATCGTAGCAGCCAAGTCCAAAAACCGTAGATTAAGGCCACTCTTACATTGCATACATGGCCTTTAGCCTCAGTGGAATTCGGTACTGAAGTCATAAATCACGCGAGTTGGTGAACGCTGCTCGCGCCTTGACTTCATCCGTTACTTTGCAGTCAAGGGAAATCTTGAAGTACGAATGAAATCTGAAGGTTCGAAACTCATGCAAAAACATGGGATCACCTCTGATATTCCGGTTAAAGTGCTTTGCGCGAACGAATAACCGTCAAACTGTCGTCCGCATAATCCGAATCCGGTAATCTCTCTCCAGACGTGATTCCGATATCCAAATTTACGGCCCCATGTAGTGTGTGCACTGCATGACGAGATGAGTTTGAAGAAAAAAAGAGGAGACAACCACGACTAACTCCACTAGTTGTTAGGACACCTATGGACGGTTCACTGTACACTCTAATCCCACCAGAGATAGAGGAATAAAGAACACGAAGAATGTTTACAAACTTCGAGGGCACACCCTCTGGTCAAGTATTTTTAGGAAAGCCAACCTCTTTCAGAGTCGAGCAAGACAGTGACTGGGTTCGGTTGGTGGTCTGACACTCTTTAGAAACTTACAGGAAACCAATAGACCAGGGTGTTGTCAATAGCTTTCTCTGCCTCCCAACTTTCTGAAGTTTTGGTGCATAAGCTTGGTAGATGGTCAGAACAGATGTTGATCTGTTCGTAGAGTTTGGCAATGGATGTGTAGGCGTTTCGTCAGCATTTGAGGAGACATCATCAATCCGTGGTTGGATGGGTAGTTCTTTTCGTACCTGCTCTTATATAGTTTACAAAGAGCATCTTTAAGATCCCACCTGACTGACTGTTCTTAAGTCATCTCATCCACAGTCTGATTGATCTACTCGTGATCTGTGTTGCTTTGTGGTCTGCCCTCCTGCTGTCTGATCGTATACAATCCGTTTGAGTAGCTTATTGTCCTCACCCTGATTGATCCACTCCCTGTGTGCGGTTCATCTTCATTTGGTTAATTTGTACTTCTCTCCGCAGGGGACCTGCGTCCTGACGAAAACCACACATTCCAGTCGGATTAACGTCATTTGAATCTGGATGTCCGTTTGTTTTACTTCTGTTGGTTTATTCTTTGATTCCTTGTACGGCTCAGGACATCGCCGTGGACTTCCCTTGTCCTCGGAGGTTGGTAGGCAGAGTCGATCTCAACACTCGTTTGAGTAGATTCGCATCCTTTTATTGTTCCTGCCTGACTTAGTGAACTGACATCCTAGTCTAACTCGTTCCGTTCCGGAGCTTCATGTACAGAGATGAGCGAGAGTTGATCGTGCCTTCCAGCAGCTAGATTGTGTCTACTAAGTCTAGTTGACAGTTTCCTTCTCATTGGTCTCAATTCCTGTATTGCATTTTGTAGATACGATCAATCTTAGCTACTGTGTTAGGTTTTCCTTCTGGTTTCGATAGTGCCCTTTGCGCGCGACCTTGAAAATAAACTTGCTGTATTCCTCAGGCTGCTCGGGAAAGACTGCTCTCTCTTGTTTTGGACCTTGACACCTATGTTCAAAGATTTTTTTTAAATCGTTGCCTGTGCACGGTAATCTTTGTTATGACAGCTTGGCATCTAACAACTCCCGCTTCTAAAACTCGTTCTCATTGGTGTTCGCACCTGCAACTTTTTGCTATATTTTCCTTTGTTGAGAGACTGACTCATAGCCCAGTGCCCACTTCCTGCTTTTGGGTTTCCAATAAGTCACTCTAGGTGCGCTGCACTTTGCAGCGCAACGGCGCCGGATATCCGGTTAGGTGGCACAATTAAAGCATTCAACGGCAACTTGGACCGTACTCAAAAGTTTCACATAGATTCATTTCATCTGAGCCAAATGTACATCACACTAAAGTATGCAGCCAAGCGATAAGCAGTACGCAGTGCACGAAAATCACTAGTTTACAACGGAAGAGGAACCCAGTTGGAAAAGCATCGTGATGTGTTATGCGATAAATTCGGTCGCACCAACCTATGCGTGCAAACGGCCGGGCAAATCGAGTGAAAAGCCGAGCAGGTCCGTCTCTTCCGTGCATATTACAAACGATGACATTAAACAAGCAATGAAAGCGAAGCACAGTTATCAGGGAATTGTGAGAGAGAGAGAACTTGAAGAATGGGGATATCACAAACAGTTGAAGCAAATTCATTACGTTCTGTGAAAGGTGGTGTCCAGTCATTTAGGACCTGATTATCGTGCAGTCTTTTGCACATCGACGATTTTCTCTTTGTCCTTCAAAGTAGGGTCAGGAACAGCCCGAGGAACGTCAGCTTTCGCAGAATCCAGCGCAACCGGGCCGGCTGGAACAGCACCACTTACAGGGACGACGGGAGCTACAACTGGGGTGGTCACGACAGACGGGGATCCAGGAAAGAAGGTCATCTGCAGGAAAATAAGAACGATTGGATATGAGTACCAGTGACGTTTGAACAAGATATAGAACTGTATAGCTTGTGGAAAGCTCATTTATCCTCGTATGAACACAACAGAAAGAGCAGGCTGGAAGCTGATGACAAATACTCCATGTTCTGTGTATCAGTATTACGCAGTGAAGTTTCTCAGGGACCACACATAGCAGAAGACGAACAAAAGTAGTTGGCAAAATACACTGAACTGGCCTTAAATGGAGACTTAACTTTGTGGAGCTTATTCAGTTGAAGAACGTTATAAACAAGAGTTTCAGGTGAGATTCAAATGAGCCTCCTGCTGACACTAACTTAATTTTCAAATAGGTGTACTTAGCAAACTAGTGTCAAAGTGGAACATAAGGTTGACGGGAGCTCCGGGACCGTGTCCAACTTATAAACCTAAGAAGGCCGAAACCGGTCTTGGATTGTCGAAGAGTTTACAGCAACCCTACGAGTAGTGTGTCTTGCCAAGAAAAGACAGAAGTGGTGTTAAACTTCACTTAACTGAGTTCCTTCATTTCATTATTCTGGAATGTGGCGACTTCATTCACGAGTATGAACGGCGATATGTTACACAACGGGAAACAGGAAAGAGCTCACTCCTGTGGTAGGGAGGCAGCACTCGCTCTCAAGACCCTTCATTCACCAAACTAGCTACATGTGATAGATAGAAACTTCCCATCGCTCTCTACTCAGGTATGCACGTATTGCGTGGCGTGAAGGTATTCAAAAAGTACGCTGAATCTGAAAGTCCATCCATGACGGCCACCTCACGTTCGAACGGATCTATTAACCGGATAGAGGTCGCGTCGTTTCCAAACTTGGTAGATAAATCCAAATCAAGGGAGTAAGTTGACATGGCCAATCGATGTTGCCTGGTACAAGACGAATGAGCTAGGCCTCCGAACCATACGAACGAATGAAATGCAGAATCAACTCCAGACGACTCCTCTATTAACAGATCTTGTGTACAGAGCCATTTAAAAGACTGATTCCCCATTTATCCACTCGAATGAAGAATTGAGAAGGGATGAATTGCGGAAAGCTAGCACTTCGTTTTTGTCTTTTCAAGCACGATACTGAAGACAACCAAATAACACCTACCCGTACAAAAAGTTGCACGGAATAGATCAAACCGCCTAATTTGATCAAATTCAAATATAAGTCCCTTGACAAGCTTGACTCATGAAACTGTGTACACGAATTTGGTTCATTAGGATTGGTCGGCACAGTTTCTCTGAATTCAGGATAGCTTCCGCTCCGCTGACGCAACAATATTCCAAATGATACTTCCCGGTCGCAACCACATAACCTGGATTCGTTAGCAATCGATGAGGAGATGCATGGACATTTCATTAAGTCAGTTTACGTCAGGAAATCATCTGTATGTCCAGAAATTCGCCCATCTGAACTCCTGTGGACTCCGACAAGATAAATATCAGCACTGCTGCAGGTGAGCTGATGGACAACATGAATGGTAGAACCATTATCTGAACCACTGAACCATTCTGAAACCGATCTGGCTAGTTGCTGGTGCGAAGCTGAATTTGAGTCAACACATGTTCTGCTGACGGTGGCTGGTAATTTGAGTCCGGATAGTGTGTCTACATTGTCGCCCTGAGGGAGAATATGAAAGGTCTTTAGAATTCGCCCAGAGGGATAGTAACTGGTTTCTACTCCCTGGGCACCAAATACACTTTTACTCACGTATCCACCAAGCCGGCTCATACAGGTTACGCATCCAGCTCCTAGTGTAGTCAACCAATATAACGAATCAAATTTCGCGAAAGTCAATATTATTTAGTCCATGTGTTTTCGATAGATTGAGAGTCCCAAACTATCACCTTGGTGTTTGATGATCGGAATGCGCAAAAAAAGTGAGACTATCCATGTGTTTCGCCCTCGTGGGTTACAGAAAGGTTTGTGTGTGGATTATTCGTCACGCTATTGGGAAATTCAAGAGAAAATGTGTCTAAACAGCTATTGTCAAGTAAACTAGTGGGAATATGGTCAGTTAGTACTTAGCCTTCTGGCATACCTAAGAATGCAGTGGGCATGATGCCGAGAGGGTTGCGCATTGATAGGCGATCGATGTGTCCATAGGTTTTCCCTTCAGAACGAAAGCGAATGTTTCCGGTGCAAAAAGAAATCAAACTCCCAAGACATACCAAGGGCATAAAAAAGACGAACATTATTCAAAGTAATCAAACCACGTCAGTAGACAAGTATCGAATAAATGAAAACGTCAATGAAGCAGCTTATGTCCATAAGTTCTGAAATAATCTATCTTTATTTTGGGGGATTCAAACGAATTGTTGGCACAGAGGTCACAGGGGCATATCTATTAGGAATCTGGCTCACTTGCAATATGCCGAGTTGTACACATAAAATACATGTTTTGGATGGCGCGGCGTTTGATCCAAATTTATTTTAAGTGATTAGTTACACAGTCAGGATCGAATATACCCGTATAGCATGAGAAAATGACACTTGTGGAATATCTGCTTTTCTACAAGTCTGTTCATATCGGCGGAACTATTTTCGGGACCTGGATTCATCTGTAAACACTGAAAGTGACGATGCAAGTGTCAAAATTGACTGTGTTTCGGAGGTATTCTAAATGTCGATGAACCGACAACCAACTGGGATAGAAGACGATGCAAGTGGAACGAATTTTCAGCAACCTTATGAATAGTGCATTGCAAGTATAGAAATGGAACTTAGTTTTATGTCACACTGATTGCAATGAATCTGAACTCAAAGCCGAACCCGTCGCTGACGAACATACCTTGCGAAAACAGTTACCCAATAAGTTCCTTTTTACGACATAAGTCGACCAAACCCGAGAAGATAAAGCCGCTAAAAGTAGACAGGAAACCTAGTTTCACCGGCGTCCTGGGCCCGAATATTAAAAATGCAAATGGTCGTTTTTGCCCTACCTGCGTAGCTTTGTTTTCATTCGTTGATTATCCTACGCATCATCATCGTCATTAAAGACAGCAACATCACTGTTGCCACTGATGCTTTACTGCCGTAGAACCATAAAGTTAAAAGCCCTGGAGTGAAAAGAGAAAATAGTGGGTAAGGGAGGGGCCCTATTGCTGGCCCATGTCAAGCATTCTGAGGTGCCTACACCTCCAAGTGCTCAATCATACAGTCTGGAAAGAAACTGACAGCACGAACACCACTGACGTCGATTAGCCACCATTTCTTGCAACGTCTCCAGCCAACCACAGACCATCCAACTAGGCACCCACATCACACTGAGGCAAACCTGTTTCACTCCAGATTTAGTTTGCGACTACATAGCTGATGTTCCTGCATCGCGAAGATAAGTGGGCTGATCCTGCACATGCAGTTGTAGAGTAGCGTCCAGTAAGGTAGATGTGCAATGGGATAACGAGGTATAGTACGTTTTGACTGATAGCCGGATCAAGGAATCTATCGCAAGCCCAATGTTTGCTCACTCGACTAAAACTGATCACTTATGTGATTAATTCTAACACCACCCTTCACCCAGCACTTGTCCACCAACCGAGACCCTACTAATATGTGTGTGACCACTGCTGAGGCAATTGCAAGTCTCTCACGTAGCCGGGGTATGTGTATTCGAAAAGGGTTTGTACACGCATTGAGGTTTGATCACGTGGCCACCGACCACACAAGCCAACCGGTCATGGCGTGAACAAGTGTTACACTTTTACTAACAAATTTCCTTTTAACCTTGTTTTGTCTGTCCGTACTGTGCATTCGTAGATGTATAAACTCTCGATCTGTATAGGCCGGGAGAGAGCGAAAACAGCACTGATGGTAAACTTGTACTCTTGATTGCTCGGGTAGGTGAAAATGGGAAACCGACAACAATATTCTTGTAAACACGTGATTTGGATGCAACTGAACATGTGTGTGTGTGTGTGACTTCCACATCCGGGAATGAACCAAACCATATTAGAAGCACGTCTTGGGACAAGAAGCCAAAGAACGCAGGCTTCATCAGCGCTAAACGATACTACTTTGGAGATTGCAGCCTAAGTACAGCCCTAGTAAAGGAACATATGAATGACAAGCAAACGCGTGGACCTGTGGTCATCGACGGGAAAGTTGTGTGGAAGGTATGCAGGGTGAACTGGAGCATTCCACAGAGGTGGTAAACGAACAGCAATCTGCCATGAAAGTCAAGATTACCCGAACACAACCATACACTGGAAACGTACGTTACTCATCCCCTAAATGTGCTATCTTGTCTAACAATAGTCAAATTCAAATACCGTCAGATACATTCTGGAATACGATGGATACTTCTACTTTATCCGTCCGCTATCGGTGATAGTATCCTGTTCTGTTTCGTGTAACCTTATAAAGCAGCTGCTAAACGTGTTTTTCGTCAGGAGTTCGTCTAAGTTGCATGAAGGTGCCACATATGTGTAGCTCAAAGTTTACGCTCCCCAGAAGAAGACCTCTGACCTTGAGGGTGCGTGCTCTTCCAAGGAGGTAGGGTGCATGTAAGTACACACACGAGCCCTGATGTAAAGTAAACATAGACAAAGGGAACAACAAAAAGCGTGACCCTGGGGAATGACATTATTATAGCATATGGTATGTATAATCGAAATGACTGGCACCGTTACTAACCATCAACCCAACTGAGAAAGCGCAGTGAAGTAGCACAATCCCGATAATTAGTGGTCCGGCAATCTGTGGACAGGAAGGGAAGAAGGATGAAGCGGACGGGTTGTGATGACATTCTTAACCCAAACAAAGGGCTGATACAAGGATGATGAACAGCAAACAGGCTTCATGTGTGCAACATCCATGGAGTGGGTGCTCGTTATGGTGCAGGGGCAGAAATAACGAAATACCTCTCTAAGTGTGTGCATCATGTGTTAATGACATTTGGTAGTCCAACCTCAATCATATTGAAAGCCTAAGACAACTGATAATTCGAACTATTTGCTATTTCATAATGGAAACGCCAATGATTGTACAGCGAAAGGCCGGACAGTCTAGTTCAACTTATTCGCGATACAGTTATCAGCACTTCCAGCGTGGTCCAGAAACTCACATGGCCTAGACTCTTCCATCTCTCTCGAACTCAATAGGGAGAGATATGGCAAGCATGAAATGGTAACGCAATGTAATCGTTCAGCTGCAATACCTTTTCGGTGCCTAGCTGCCATGCCACCCGAAGGAAGCACGAGGGCTGACATATTGCAAGGTTTCCCAAGCCCACACACTACTCAGGTACAGAGGCAGGGTTCGAAACACTTACCCTCCGATTATTAGGTTTGCGCCTTAAGCACTGAGCCACATCGAGCGCAAAACATAAAGCAAGCAGGATAATCATCCGTCAAAATATTTCCACAAGTGGTCGCAGCACTGAAGAAGCTCACTAAAACAAGTATCATATTGGAGACTTTCATCACGGAGCACAATAAATCCTGCCTTCAGTCCTGCCCACAAAAATCCACTTTTGTGCAGTATGCGGTCCCCTAGGTTAGGTTACACATTAGTCCTACGACTGCTGTTTAGTTCGGCCATGAACCTTGTGCGTGTGGCACCAGTCAAAACATCAAAGACGATAAACATCTCAATGTGTTAAGTCAGTCAAGCTGGGTCATAGTGTGTGTAGATCCGGTAGGGGACGGAATGGCTCAGTGCTTAGAGCGGGAATTTACTGAATGGAAGGTCCGTGGTTCGAACCCTACCTCGACCTCTCGACTTCCCCCGTCTAGGCTTGGGCAACCTTGCGGTTTCCCAGCATCGTGCTTCCTTCGGGTGGTACCGAAAGGGTGTTACAGCTGAACGATTTTTATAGATCCGGTAACCGATGGTTGTGCATCCAAGGAATTTCTGAAATCAATAACCATTTCTCAAGAGACAGGCGCTCTACAGTCAAGTAACAACGTCAAGTTGGAAGATGCGTTGGCAAAGTCTAGATTAGAGTTAAAAGCTAATGAATAAGCACTGAGAACCCTAATGGGAAGACAATGGCGGAAACGAGCAGAATTGATGCACATTAGAGACTTTATCGGAAACTTGCCTTTGAATGTTCCCGTCGAAAGAATGGAAACAGGGCGAATGCAAGGAAAGCGCCTGAAATCCCCATTGCAAGAACGACGAGGCTCCATTGCAAGACAGTGCTAGGTATAGCCCATAGAATCTGAAAGTGTCGGAAAAATGATTGTTAATTACGTAGCGTAATTATTTACGTTTCCCTATTCCCTAGACCAATTCACTACCCTTCCGGTGACTGCTCAAGTTTCAATAATGAACTACTCTATTTTATAGAAAGTCAATTCTATACTAACTGTTTTCATGACTCGATTTATTCACATTCATTTCTGGGTTTGTTGTTCAACATTTTGTCCCACTTTGAACTGCACAACATTTTCCCCGCTTGACTTGTCCGATAGCACACTGTCCTTTCTCTGACATCCTAGGTTGCTAACTGCCAGAGGTTCAATCTAGCCGTAAGTTTTCCTTTAACTCTGCTCATTGTTTACTGTTAATTTCTTATAGAACCACGATCTAACTGTCTATACTGTCTGCCTTTAATTCAATATACTGTTTGCTGCCCAGTTGCGACTACTGAACAAACGCAGGTGAAGTTCGTAGAATTCGGTTTAGTCGCATTTATTACTGACCGTTCGTCATTGAATTCGATTACACGTTACCCGTCAGATAGGACACCTAGATCGTGCGTTTAGGCTAAGTAACCGATTCCTTACCTGGAGATTACAGCCTTAGCACAGAATCGTACAATGACAATATACTAATAGTTCGACTGTGGCTTCTATTCGCTATATGAAGCAGGAGATGCTGCCAGAGCCTAGAAAAGAGCAATCGAAAAGTCAGAGTCGGACTTGAACCACAGAGTTCCCAGCCATTAGCATCGCGCCTTCACTACCGGTCTATCTCAAGAAAGCTTTTAGTTTAAAACAGTCGTTGTATCACTTTTTAGCAGGCTCTTAGGATTGGTGAAATCAACCTTTAACAGACCCGATCCGAGCAAGTATGACCAGGCAATTTGAGTACCCCATGAGCTGTCGAATGGCGCGTCCATTTACAGCGCTAAAGGCTACCTAAAATGATTCTTGGGACCTGAAATTTCCAAAGAGATAAGTGAAATCAAGTAAAACTAGCGTCTGCTGAGTGGTGGAACTTCATCCAGCTAAAGTACCAAAGGATGGTCTAGACATGTTATCCTGAAGCCAATGGCCTACAATTACTGGCCAAAGGATTATGTGGACGACCCCCACCACATCCACCTGTTAACTCTGGTGGCTGTTGATCTGTTCACCAAACTTTACAACTGACGTGCAGACGTTTAGTGCCCATTCGAGGAGACAGTGCACTGTTGGATGGGTAGGTGCTCTTTTCGTGCTTGTGCTTACATTGGTTGAAAGAACAGCGTTAAGCTATAACCTCACTTGGAGTGTGTTGCATTGTGCTGTGCATTTCTTGCATTCGACTGCGCCACAACATACGGAAGAGACTGCGCTCCAGATTTCGATCATATCATTACTATAAACGATAGTGAACTCCACGAAACTAATACAGCGATTCATCAGTTAAGGGGATGGGTAAGATGTTGTCTGTATTAAGTAAGCTGTAGAGTTTCAGTCCCTTATTATGCAGTCAAAATGTACCTAAATATAAACGGGTGGGGGTTAGTGTACTACTAGTTGAACGGAGCGGTGAAAGCACTAGTCACAGTTGGTGCATTATCAGCTGCATACATCATGCTGATCTATGAGCCAGACTGGTCGATGGGTACAGTATTTCGACAAAGAACAAAAAATACAGGACGCTGCCGTGCACGGGCTCACACTCACCGACACTGGCACGAAGATAGTTAGAGAATAGCCATACACGGAAAGAAGTTCGACGAAGTTGTGTGCCTTGACACCCGTGTGCCGACCACGAACGCGGGAGTGCGGCTGGGCAACAAGCGGATCTTGGTCCTCTCCATCAGACGACGAATTGGATTTACGCGATTGCATATAGAAAAAGGCCACGATTCCCAGAGGAACAAGCCACCAGTACATGTAGATCACTGTGGAAGCTAGCGTAACTGTGAGGTGTAGGATAGCAGTAAAATATTGTACTAGAAAGGACCAGGCCTTTAAATAATGAAAAATTACCAGGGTTTTGTGCAACAACTGAGAGGGATTGCTCTGCGAAAATTTGGAAGTCAATGTAGGTGTACTCACGCAACGGGAGATAAACCATATTAGCACCAGTTCTGATCAAATGTGATCACTTTTATCGACTGACACCGTGTGATTTAGCATTGCTAATAGTCCTAAACAATCGACAATGGCAAAATTGTTCTGCTTCTGTGATGTTGTCCTCAGAAACCCTGGACCCAACATTCTAACAAGACTACACTAGCTAAGGCCCGGTTCTCACACGCAGTTGAGAAGACTCTCACAGGCTTGCAGGAAAAATATCGATCAGTGACGGGACGTCCTGTGTCACTTCATCTAAATGGGTCATTTTAATGTGAAAAGCCGTTGGTTCGTGCTCGACTCAACTTCGACTTCACCACTGAACCAAGGGCAGCAATATCGTCCGCATACTTAATGTGTGGAAGAACACTATGGGACCATTTCGATCCGTGCAGTTTCAGAGAAGTGTCAAGCAACTTTGAAACGCCCTCTTCATATGCAGCACACCGTACACACTAGGAGATTGCCATGTGACGTCCACTAGCTTTCAAGAAAATAGGGCAGCCGCATTTGGCTGTAGTGGGGTTACACAATGCCAAATAGTGTGTTTACCTTTTACATTTATACGTTATTCAGGCATGCTTCAAGAATGTAAATTTTCAACGGTCCCAGTGGCTCGTAAACCGGATTTTTAAGTGCTGCTTTTCACCTCCACTGTACATATAGCTCATTCACTGCCGTTTATTAAGTGGCATACTGCAGGGGTCCTAATTCATTAACAGAATCTTTGGGCTGTTAGCTTGTGCGTCCCTGTATTTGCAGACGAGGTCAGGATACGGCGGTCGGTTGAAACTCAGTGGTTAGAGCTCAAATTTACTGAATGGGAGGTCCGTGGTTCGAACCTGACCTTTGCCTCTCGACGTTCCCAGTCTAAACTTGGACAACCAGGCAGTATCCCAGCCCTCGTACTTCCTTATGGTGGCATGGCAGTTAGGCACCGAAGGTGTGCTACGGCTGAACGATTTTTTATCGTAATTGAGTTGACGCCTACGTAAAGCATCCAGCCTAGCTGCCATGCCACACGAAGGAGGCACGAGGGCTAGGATACTGCCAGGTCGCCCAAGCCCAGACAGGGAAGTCGAGTGGCAGAGGTCGGGTTCGAACCACGGACCTTCCGGTCAGTAAATTCGCGCTCTAACCACTTGGTCCATCTCGCCCGCCTACGTAAGACTGGTGTGCAACCTATTTCAACTCAACTAAACGACAGTGATAGGATAGGAGAATGACTAGTTCGATTTGAAACTTACGAAAGATAACATCAGTCAGTGCAGTGTTTCTTTGGATCTGTGACCCGCATACTGGACCGAAGAGAATAAGCAGTTACATGTGTGCAGATAATCAAGGAAAAGCAATGTAGTTTGCTGGCTTTCTGTCGTGTGTAGCGGATGCCGACTACGAGCCCCCAGAGAGAACGCAACTCACCATTGCATATCACAAGTTTGATATAGACTTTAGCAAAAGACGGGCCGAAGACATACAGTACCCACTGTGTAACAGGTCGTGACGCGGTTGGAGCCTGTTACTATGCCTGCCTGGATATGTTATGAGGAAGATCCACCATGTTGTCATAATGGGATCTCTGGTGGCAATGAGGTGTCAGTTTTCAAGGATATATATATATATATATATATATATATATATATTGTTCACATCGATAATAGACATCCAATAAGACTAAAATAATACTTCTTCACTAAGGGTCGTATGTCAGTTAACATCATATTTCGCGTAACACGCACTTCTGGACAGACGCTTCATCACGATGGGCAAAGAGAAGAGTTGTACTGAGTTGTACTGTAATAGGTGTAAGCGGCCCAACTTCCGAGTGTTCGACCGCTCAAGGTTCTATTGTTTCGGAAATTCAACACTTATTGTGCTGAATGATGCCGTTCTGTTAGGTCTCATCGCCTTTTCTTCTGGGCGTTATAAAGAGGTTTGAGATTCCCACTGTCATATGGAAATTTCTGTTACACGTGACAGTGAGTGAGTAACCGTTATAGGAGATGGTAGGAAGCAGCGATTCGTGACCATAGCACATTGTGAAATTACATTCGCAGTTTACGACACTCAGAGCTAGTCCTCAGGTGTGAAGATAGACCGGGTACACAGGCGTGAGCCGTCTTTCGTCTAAGAATGTTGTACTGGAGCGAAGTGTAACCAGTAGAAAAGTTGAAGTGACACCATTGACAACGCAACATCAGTGCTCAATTCTCATGCTTCCCTACCGTATTGTAGATATCACAAGGGTATCACAAAGGATGGGATACTGCCAGGGCGCCCATACTTAGACAGAAGAACGATTTGGGTGCTCGACCAAAACATTGGGTTCAAAAGCGCATGACCTCAAGGCGTCAGTGTTCGGCGAGAACTGTAAATGCCTTACCATCCTTAAGGAACAAGTCGCCACAATGTTCCAACCCCCAAACTGGAAGGCCAGGAGACTGTGATGCTCAAGCCCTTAACCTGGTATGACAGTGAGTATCGCACGGACACCCCCTAGTATACCTCGATGATCAACAAAGGTGCACAAACCGTCACACTACGGCAAGGTTCAGTCTCTTCGTGACAGATGCCATTGAAATAGAACCACGCAATATTTTTTGTTCTTCGGGAAATACGTAACCTTTGAAAAGGTAATGCTAATCCTGAGAGTATTCTGTGTTAAAAGTAAGCTTAAGGTTATCAGGGAGTTTTCGGTACGCCAACACACTTGAACACACACCACAGAAGCGAGAGGTTGGACTATGGTCTGTCATCTGTGTTTTTAATTATGTCGACGGCGGCCGACACACACTGGATGGGAGAAACAACAGGATACCATCTACACTCCGAGAAAACCGTCGTGAACGATATCCATATAACCAAAATATAGATGTTAAGTGTACAGATGTCGCCAGCGGAATGAGCAAACGCTACTAACAAGTATCGGTGATGAGTTTCACGCTCTGTTTCGAACTAACCTGTAGCCCTCAACTGTGGTCTTTCTATCAACATTGCCTGTATATCTGATCACATCAGTGAGTTTGAATGTCACATGAAAAATCAGGCGGTATTCAAGAACTTGAGCCATTATCGTTGTTGGTTGGAGGATGAGCGAAATCCTAAATATTTCAACGGAAGGGAAACCAAGCCTTCGTAAGAGTAGGCTTCTGGGATATACACCGTTACGAGTTAGTTACCATTACGAGCACAAAGTCGCTTCAAATTGCCATCAGAAAATGTCAACCCAGTTGTCTTCCAGGAGAGAATGAGCCTTTATAAAGCAAATTGATTTCCTGTTGAGGTCGTTTGTGGGCCTTCGAATACATACTGCGCCCAATTAAACTATCACCTGAACAAACTACTAACTACAAAAGAGGGCTGGTCAGTGAGATCCAGTAAGATTCACACAAGACACACACATAAGAACCCGAAGCAGACTTAGGCCAGGTGTGACAAAAAGTTAACATACCTACGAAAAACGAAATTCTGAGGACCTGTACCTGTCTGCGAGCAACCGACAGAACTTCATCCCAGAAATGGATGAACACTGCAAGTCGACAACCACTACGGTCAAGGAAATTGAGGACTTGCTGGTCCCTCTAACTTTGAAAGATGAAGTTTCTTCAACAAAACCTTACAGTAAATAACGCGATAATGACAGGTATTGTGTGGTGTAGTAGTTATTGGGTCAGAATTTAGAAGTGTTCACTGCGATAAATTAAGTTGGGTTTCCCAAGTCCATGGAGCGATATTCTCTTTGTCAAAGGAGAAACCTTGGCTACCCTTGACGGAAGAAAAACCATAAGAAAAGAATACACATATTCTAATTCCCAGAAGGGATGGTTCACAACGAATACATCCTATAACAGCGATGCAGACTGATCAGACAACTTTCAGGTCAAACGGTTGGTATCTGGGACTTCGCTTGGTCAGTAGGTCAGCTCAAGATAAGTTTGTTGTTGTGCTTTGGAACAGCCTACTGTTGCGAACAATTCTAAGGTGACCATAATGAAATACAGGATGGTACCACGTAAGATAACTAAAGATCAATCGTTTTTAACTGATGAATGTTTTCTATGCTCTGTCGAAATACATCTTCGTGGTGAACTACTTCGTTACATGGTTCTTATTAGGTTTTGGCTGGTTGGTCCAAGACTTATAGGTTCGTAATAACTTACATCAGAACTGTAGAGATTTACCACGTTGCGCTTGCAACACGGCAGTGTTCATTCCCACCTTTTCATAAAACACGTATAGGGTCAAAGTGTTTAGAAACGTGCTGAAATTGTAGGCACCGCTATAAAATGAAACGACAGAAGGGGCAACGAAGATCATTGAAATTACCCTTTCGGAAATCATACCGCCAAGATGCAAGCCGTCCGCGAGATTGTAAATAACTCGATATATTGCCACCAATGGCAGAGGCCAAAATCAGAGTAGTTGCTATCCAAAATGGGCCGTACAGGTCTGCACGTGGTTTCAAGACATGTTGAATAAAGTTTGAGCGGGGATTTGGGATGACTGAAAACGCCAATCTTCGCAGCACCTAAGCAATAGTAAGAGCATTTAAGCAATTAGTCACGAAAACAGGAAACAATATAATAGACATTTTAAAGGAAGCATTCTCAACCAGCTTTAGTGTGAGTGGTTTGAAGGACATTATGGACCAAAAAATACATTCTGCGGGGTAAAGTTCATGCAGGAAGTCTTATCCCGATTGATTTTAGCTATTTAACTGTACAGGTAGTTTGGCTTCAGCCTCTAGTTTGATTCAGCGAAAAATGGAAAGGATAAGGAGATGACTTGAGCAGTTAGTTATGTTGACTTATTTTATTTACTCGATGGAGCCAAGTATCTGAGCCATAACCACCTAGTCTTGTAAATCTGTCAGGCAGTCAAGATGACCCAACCGAGACTAGTCTGGCAGCATGGCTCATTCCATATCCCCTCGTTAGAGTTGACACACCGCAATGTTTATCTTACACCGAACCTGGCAGCGCGCGCAACGCTCGCCTCAGTAGACGCTTTTGCCCCATCCTTAGGAAGTGACCTAGGCAACATCGCTGTAGTTTGAAAGCGTATTCGGTTAGGTGTTCTTTACATCACTTGTCCTCGTGTTTTAGCGTTGCCCACACATTGACATCACGATATACTTTGAAGACGGCGAAGGTCGAGTGCAGATAACATCCGATTATTTTGTGCAAGATCAAATTGAATTGTTCAGCTGAGACACTTTCTTAGTGTCTAGCTGCCATGCGGAAGGAGGTACTTTGAAGACGGCGAAGGTCGAGTGCAGATAACATCCGATTATTTTGTGCAAGATCAAATTGAATTGTTCAGCTGAGACACTTTCTTAGTGTCTAGCTGCCATGCCAACGGAAGGAGGCACGATAACTGGGATACTACCAGGATGCCCAAGACCAGACAGGATCAGTCGAGACGCTGAGGTAAGGTTAGAACCACGGACCTTCCGGTCCGTAAGCCGGGGCCTTAACCATTGAGCTATCTCGACGTCCTATCCTGTGCACTTAAAGACCAATTTTTAAACCCACTCAGGAGTGCTTTTTGAGACGAGGAGCTGTACGATCGCTTCTTCAAGCTCAAAATGATATCTCGTTGACTAGCGGACAATGATCCTGCTCTCAGTGTGAGATAGTTTAGAAGGCGTGCAACTATTAGCAGACAAGGTACATCTGAGTTGGATGAAGCAACACGCTTCAAGCTTCCTGGCAATAAGAGTGGGGGAAACTGTGGTCACAAGCTGATCCCGTACAAGAACCTTGCACACAAATGGTGAGAAGTACACCCCACGCCTACGGACCTCTAGAGATAACCTGTCGGGAATGAGCTGAACGGTATTCAGACGTACAATTTAAACCGCTTGATTACCAGGGTAGTTTAGGCCCATGACTTGCCTCTCTGGGACCAGATCTTCGTTACCGACTCGCCAGAGGGGTCCTAAGGATGTCAACAGTCACAATGATGGGTAGGAAAGACGACATATGGAAACCCTTGCGAGCTCGGCTGAGGACGTGGAAAGTCGATGACGGCCGGTAGTAAACCCCGAACCGGTCCGAATGTTTTTTTTTGAATATCATGCCTCAAAATCTTCACAAATTCACCCCGTAAGCCATCCTTGGTGTCAAAGGACAATTCTATTAAGAAACTGAAAGCAGCAAGATGTCCAAGGTTTTCACCGAAGGAAAACAATGCAGTCTTGTACGAAGATTACCTAAGATGGGCCGGTCAACTGAGTGAACACCGCAGCTAACTCAGGTGGGAGTGCATTTTTACCAGAGGTTGTGGTCACTGAGTAGAAGCTTTGCTTTATGGCTCTCTTTAATAAAATGACAGGTTAGAATTGAACCCCTGATGGCTTCGTACGCGGCCGGCTAAGCTGGGATAATACGTATTCTATCTATCAAGCTAAACGCCTAAAAGGCTCGTGGTCAGAGTGCTGTCAGAGTTAAAAGTAACCTCTCTAGGTGATTCTCCCGAGGACAACGTTTCCGATTATATCAAGTGGGCTACGGTCACCTGTGCAAACCCAATTTATCGGGCCTGTTTGATCCAGCAAATTTTCTCAAGAAACCTAGAAAGCTGGTACTTGGAAACCTGATATGCCTTCATCTGAGTAAAAACGGGTGAGAATCACTCTTCGGTCTGGTAGTTGCACAGAAAGAATATTAAGGGTGTTAGCTGCCGGTTGTGGAATAACGTACCTGAGTGATGATCAATGACCTTGGTAGGAGTAAACATTGGGGGTGGGAGTTTAGTGCAGTTCAGGTTGGAAAGATGCCACGGCCAACCTATCGACATCGATTTTTACAGTTTCGTTAACGTTTTTCCCCCAGCGCGCAGTCAGATAGACAAAAAGCTACCTAAAAGGATTCGGTGCATTCTGGGAAAGAGATGTAAACTATTTTTACACAAGGGAACTCCCGGTAAAATACGGAACCACTGTAAGTGAGAAATACGCCAACAGAACATACAAAAGCAAGTCACGGTACTAGACCTCGCTCTGAAGAACGAAGATGTGCTATTTACGTACATGACACTGCCAGAGAAACAAGCCAACCGCCTTTCCCCTAAGAGACAGAAACGGGGAACCAGCAAAGTACGCAATAGTGGCATACGAGGTCTGTAGAGAACACTATGAAGGCCTGTATTCTACCTCAATGACCTCGTCACATCCGACCTTGTCAAGACGTAACTACGAACTGCCTCTAACCAATGTGGTCTTCAATGAGAAGGACATTCGCCCACTCTTGCACAAGACAAACCCTTTGAGTGCGTTGGGGTCAGACGAGCTTCATCAAGGCTCTTGGAAGAAACGTCGCTCACACTATCGAAGAATTTCTACCTGGTGTATCGGCAGTCGCTTGACAAAGGCAACATCCCCCCCCCCGCTTGGGAGGAAGCGATTATCACGCCAATCTACAAAACTGGTGACGGACCATCGCGCGACAGTTACAGGCCTATTAAACTCACTAGCGTACCGTGCAAGTTGATGGGACGCATTCTGAGGTGGGCCATCCCTTCACCAACAACAACCTGATATTCCCAATGCAACACGGATTCCTCCTAAACCGTTCTTGCAAAAGCTAGGGACGAGGGGGTTATACTGGATGTCATATTTTTCGACTTCTCAAAGGCCATCGATCAGATTTGACACCTCCCGCTGCTCCACAGACTCGAGTCTTACAGGATTCGGGGGAGAAATTCTACGCCACGTTAAGGCGATCTTATCAGACAGAACATTCTGAGTGAAGCCAGACTTGACTTGCAACTCTCCAGCGTTAGTCTTTATTGCAGTCCCTCAAGGCCTTGTCTCGGAGACCACTTTTGTTTCTTATCTATGTCAACGACCTTCCAGCTGTTTTAAGTGCATGTCTACTTTTTGAAGACGACTTGAAACCCTAGAGTTGAAATGCCAGTGCCCTCCACATGGATGTAAACGCAGTAGAGTAGTCGTTGGCACCTTCCCTTGAATGACAAAAACGGCACACGTCATTTGGAAGAGACTTAGTGGACGACTTTGTCGTGCATACGGGAATGCACCACAAGACACTGCGAGGATAGATACTAAACAGGACTTAGGTATCTGGCTGTCTTCAAACGTATCGTTCTCACTACACCATGAAAAGTTGACTCGAAATGCGTTTGCCGTTCTATGGATGATTCATCGAATCTTCCCGTTTTACTCGCATTGATCTCCAGACACTCTACGGGACCTACGTCGGACTTCTTGAATACGCCAACCAAATCGTCTATTCAGGACGCAAGAGAGACGTAATACTTGTTGAGTGTCACCGAGCTGCTATGGAAATGGTTGCCGACGTTAAATAGTTGAGTATGAAACGCGTCTTGCGGTCCTCGGTCTATGTTACTGGAGCAACGTCGCCTCCGAGAAGACATAAACTTTCTTACACCCTGTTCAAACAACTTTTGGCCAACAGGTATTTCATCGTTGACCAAACACACGGCGGGAACAGGATGAGAATACTTTCCAGATCAGAACGCACACTTTTACTAGGCAACAGTTTTTCTCATTTCAGGTAGTTGGCATGTGGAACGGTTGTTCACGATGCATCTAGAATCCACTCCAAAGCATTTTGGACGGTTTTGTATATGAATCCTCACGCTGGCAAGCTTACTGCCATGCTGAGAACTTAAAGAACAGTGATACATCTTTTTTCGCTTGTGCATTTCAGGTTGACAACAGCCGCTCAGCGAAAAGAACAAACCTGACACGGGAAGTTTGGGTGAAAGCCTCGATCCTGTGAATTATTACATGAACCAGTGTGAGTGACTGCGCTTTCACTATTTTGAGTAGATTCAGCTCCAAGCTTATTTTCCTATTTAGAACTGTATGGCGATCTGAAATTCCAAAATAATATTTTATCTTAGGGGTAAAAGTAAATTCATAGTTAAAGATACGTCATGAGAAGCGGCCAGTGCAAGGATACAGGTCAACAGGTGACCTGAACTGTTTGGCAAAAACCACAAGCAACGGAAACCGGATTGACTTTCAGGGACCACAGGAGTTACCTGTGGCAGGTCTCCTTGACCAAATGGAGGAAACCCGGATTGGTTACTGAGAGGCAGGTCGACAGTGTAGCTACCAAACAGTGACTATTGGATGTGACAGGGGATGTTGCCGCAGTTCATACTCATAAAATACACCTACCTGATGTGTATCCACATCGAAGTGTTGCTGGTAAAACTCAATATTCCATGCATTGGGCACCCGTTCAGTACGCGTTGTGGTTGTTTCCACCTACATGCACATATACCAACCTAAAGGGTGGAATACCGTGGGTTCTATATCACCATCCAGCTCAGGATCGGAACTGTCATTGGCTTCTAAGCGGCTTGGCAGTGGAACACGCACATAGTCGTCGGTATTAAACTTCAGTGACATCTGAAACGTAGTACTGCTCACGAAAAAAGGCCTGCAAAAGAAGTTACAACCTGAACGCTGATTGGCTTAAAATTAGCCAACCAAAATGTGGGACCTCTTAGGTCAACTCTAGGTAAGTCATTCACGGAGTGCATGAGTGAATGAAGGAGCCTGTGCGTCTGCAGTTTCTCAGTGGCCCGGCGATGGAGAGGGAACACTGGACCATTGTTAAAGTGGTAAAATTGACTACACCAAATTCAAAGTCAATCCGGTTGCACCTTTGCCAAATAGTCGCTAAAAATTGCTGGCGAAAACTGTAGAACCGAGCAGAGAATATCAATTTCGGATTTATTCGGTCACCGTGCTTACCTTCTTTCCAAATTAAGTACACCGCCTCCTGAATACTTCGTCTTCACAACCAGCTTACCGGGGCAACCAGAGTGTTGGTAGTGTATGGAACTAGATGGTCGCTGTGGGGAGAGTACTTGGGATCACATGCACAACCGACGAACAGCGCAATTGAATGGCCATCAGTTTGAGATTTCTGTGAAATTCCGGCCTATTTTGACAGCCTTGTATGTACATTCCGAATTAGCAGACCTACACGCAGACCATCGGACTGGATACGGCAACCGCAGCACCGTGATTGCGAAGTAGCACATCGAACAATTACAAGTACCGCGCGTGGACGTCTTGGGTGAATCGGCCGTTTTCGTTAGGGCGGTCAGTTGCTGGGTGCGGTGCATCGCGATGAAACACAACCAGTATGAAGCAGTGATATACTGGAGATCATCTATGGCCCGGTGTGTTTTACTACCGCAATTCAGGGAAAGCATTAGGGGAGCTACATCTCGAAAGTGAAACAGTGCAGAAAAGCCATTAAAGAGCGCGATGGTTAGTAAGAAGGCCGCGGCCCTAAATGACTAATGGCTAGGAGTGGTTTTAACTTCCATCTTTTAAGCAACACAGCAGTAGCGGATTTCAAAACTTCGTTCGCTGTTACTTTGTTGGGGACGATGAGGAATGGTGTTAGTTGGTCGGCGCAAGTGGGTGTTGCAATACGTGAATAAGATGAGCGCGCATTAACTAGACGCCCAAGTCAGAGTCTGCTGTATAGCCCGGGCAAACGTTGGAGGTAAGCTCATATTTAATTACTTGCCACGGCACGAAAGGGGGTGAAAAGCCTTTCCGGAAAGCTGCTACAACTATCTAGTCTGACCTATCCAAATAGTGCGCGAGGGAGCTGGAAAATGAAGCGAGTTGCCAGTAGGAGGCCGCGACTGGTGCTAACAAAAAAAGTAGGGTGATGGGTGGTCAAATGGCATCACAACTTACGCAAAAAGGGTAGACAGCTAATTCTTGAATCCACGGGGCTAGTATTTCACATCGTATTGGGGTATTAAACTGTAAGAAAATCTAACGTGCGTGGTCTCGCTGTATCTTGAAAATATGAGAAGATCTGTGTACAGTATTTGGATCGAAATACGACAGAGGCATTGTTCTGCTAAATTACACATGAAACAGCACTTCTTACATCGCTGGCTTTAAAAAATCATGATGGTTTCCAGTGATGTATGCTATAAACCAAGTCGGGTTTAATCGAACGGCATCTGCACTCGACAAACACTCTTTAGTATTTAATTTTCCCCATACGAAAACTGACCTAAGAGTTCCGCAACTGGGTGTCAACAATGACACTGCAGGGCATGTGGGCAAACCTATGCACTTGGGTGCAAGGCATCAGGGTGACCCTCATTGCCGGACGTAACTAATCGCAGTACGGGTGCTTTTAAGGAAGGCGGAAACCTCAACCGGAGTATTGTTAAAACCGCTTGGGCGTGATTGGCTACGGTACCTGTAACCAGCTTTACGGGGTGGGGTAGTGGTGGTGGACAAAAGGCGGCTATAGCGAATAAGTGGAAGAACCACGGACAGTGAAAAGCATACAAATAATCGGAAGATTGTCTCGGGCAGAGTGGCCATGGATTACATAGGTGAGTAATTCAGAGCAGAGAAATCTCCCGAAGATACTGCCTGTGAAAGAGAGCTTACGAACAATGTGCTCCCGTTTCCATCCACACAAGTGGGTGCTCCACAGCCGCTGGAGGTGGCGAAGGAACCTTACAACGGCTTCAAGACAAGCCATGGCATCACTGCCGGTCGAAAGAATCCCGCAGGCTGGCATCCCTTCAAGATGGTATGGTGTGAGTATTTTGGACCGCTTGCATTTAAGAATGGCTGCTTGTTTACCTGCTTACAGATGAGGGCAGTGCACCTTGAAATGGCCTATTCACCATCTTCTGACTCCTTCATTAGGACGCTGATGCGTTTTTAGAACGAAGGGGAGCCCAAAAAAATATTATCAGTTATAACGTTTCCAATTTCGGCGGAGAAGAGATGAAATTGAAACGGGCAATAGATCGACTTTCATATACACGCATCAGCGCTGAACTAATTTGGTATAACTTCGAATGGCAATATACCCCACCGTTGAGCAGCTAAAGAAGCGAAGCATGGGAACGTCTCATACGTTCCGTAAGATGGATACCAAGGTCGACATTGAATGAGCAGAATGCGAGTGATGAGGAACTAGTGACGTTTCTTACGGAAGCAGAGCGGGTAATGAATGGACGCCCTACTGTATCCAACCAAACCAACTATTTCGACGAGCTATCCTTAAAGACAAATGATTGCTCATTCTCAGCAATCGGGTACACAGAGTTGTGCCGAAAAGTAAAACAGAAAGGTATATGAGAGGTTAACAACAGGTGAACTACTTGACTCAAGTATTTTGGAAGCGGTGGGTGAGGGAATACACACCTCTGTTTCAAGAACGGACTATGTGGCGGAAGCCTCAAAGGAATTTCAGAAGAAGGGATGTAGCCCAGGTGCAATCAGTTGCGTTCTCTCGGGACCAGTGACCCGTGGGCGTAGTTGATGAATGTGAAACATCAGGCGACGGTTTAGTTGGGACCGTAGTTGTACGCAAATGAGACGGTAGGCTAAGGAGGGATGTGTGCAGGATAGGTCTGATAGAGGGTTGTGAATAGGGGTGGTGGAAGGAGATGGAAACCCGGCGCTCAACTCTATACATGTGGGAGATGTGTTTTCAAACTCATCGCATGCAGGGAGACCACTGGGAGTTGGCGCGCGGACAAGTTCCGTTTCACGTACTGCTGTAAGTCCACTCGGAACTTGGGGTAAGTAAAATATTTGAGCCAGGAATGACCACTGCCTGATGGAGGAAAATCCACTGGGATTTTGGGTGGCTGTGTAGAAGACAGCTTACTAACATTGTGCTCCTGTTTCAAACCCCATGTGACAGCCAATCCCCGTATTTATTCCCCTTGACCAGATTAATTGAAACCTTCTTGTTTTACTGAACTATTTTTATAACTCCTACGGACTTTTATCGGACACTGTGATTTTGCGGTTGCTCGCCGTCGATATCTGTTTGGTTGTGACGTTATCGATTTCGTGGCGTAGTGATCTGCGCTTTATCCTCAGGCTGGTAACTGTACCGCCTTATTTGTAGCCCTAAGGTATCTGTGGGGGAGAATCCGTTGAGGTTTGTTGAATATGTCTACTATTATATTTGCAATAGTACCGTGATTCCAGAATTCGGATTTCTTGGTCGTTTTCCTGGATTGGCAGGCGTGACCCAAACTCAGAAAGCAGAAAACCGTTACAAAGAGTGCTCAACTAATTCAATCATTAGGTGGTGGGTACACCGTCAAACGCCTATTCAGCTAATGTGGATAAAGGTCGGCAACGAGAATGCCACTAGAGTTGAGTGGTGGCCGTAATTTATGGCGTCTCAAACCAGGTGCAGTGGAAACATTGCGGTCCTATTCTTGGAATGCGGCAGCACACAAACTTTTAACAATCATTTCCACACCCTGTGACCATCACACTTCTTTTTCCACTCTGACATGGCCAAAGAACAAGGGCTACATTTGGCAAACAACAGCCTGACACTCAAACTAGATGGCCTAACCAGTGCAGCTTATGCTGCCGGATCCGTCAATATAAGTTCTCGTTGTACAGCCGAACGCTGACTTTCTGATTGTCTCGCCACAGATTCCGTAACGCTAAATTCCGGGGGCTGCGTTTCTGCGACTAGGACATGGAAAAGTTCAACCCTGCTGTTATAACAAACCGATCATCGCAACCACACAGCAGATTTGTCCGTAATGTAGCCTGACACACGTCCTTTGAGATTCATGGTTACAGGTCGTTGGCATTATAGGTGTCTTAAATTTGCATACCCGACCTTATTCTTAGATATTCGTGCATTGATTTTTTCTGTCTTACTATAATCGTGTCCAGTTACGTGAAACACTTCACAAATTTAAACGCCACCCTCCGGACTCCGTATTCGCGGACACGTCCTTACTCCTAATTAGTTCAAAGCCTGTGCTAGAGGATAGCATAATTTAGGGCAGTTGATCTGAAAATGCCTGCGCCTTCTCATAGTCAAAGATGATTTGGACGTGGTCCGCGAGTTCCAGATCGACAAGGTATGTAGAATACTTCGACGTATTCAGGAGAGCCCACTTGAGTGACGCGCAAAATCACAAGCCAGACATTGTGGATTCTTGAGATTTATCAAAAGATGCGGTACTACATGTATAAAATACGTAATAAAAGGGGTAAAAACCTCAACTTATGGGGGTTTCCGTCTAAACTATTGCACGAAATGCTGCAAGTCCAAAGAAGGCTTGGAGAAAATAGCAAATCGATCTTAGTTTGCTACGCACACCTGGGTACAATACGTGGTAACGCAAATAGGTCAAAAAGCCCACGCAAAGAATGGTCGACCCAACTGGTTCGACAAACAAAGGGTCAAAGTTCGTGAGGAGTTAAAAAATGTAAATAGAGTCCATGAGATAGACGTAGCAGACAGCAGCAGATAAGAGAACAGTTTGACTGGGGGGAAGAAAGTACAAGGTATTTGTCGGCAGCTATTTGAACACGAGTATTTTAGCCACCTTCCTGGGTTCCTGTCACATCTTTTCGAT